TATATATATATATCTCGTCCACTGACCCGGAATAGCCGGCGACCTTTTAGTGACAAGGTAATTCCATCACCGCCAAACACCAAATGCAACTAGACCATCGGGAGTTTAGAGGTGTGTGGTAGGATAATATATCCAATGAGCTTTTTGAAAGAGACTATCAACAGGCTGTCATTGCTGCCCTATTGAACCTTCACGACTAGATGCTATTCTTAACTATTGAGCGCCATATTGGACCAGGTCACCTTTGGACCGAGGGCAGCGCTCAATCGTCGCGGCCCGGATCACGGAGACAATCTGGTAGGTTTAATTCATCTTCCCAATGCCGGCACTTCATCGCCGTGGAGCGAGAGAATAATTTAGAAGAATATACATGCTTGTATGCCCGCGTTCTCAGGTTCTGTGCATTCGTATCATCATATTCCTGCGATCCTCGCGTCTTTACTACATCCATACAGCCCCTGATTCCCTGGTAGCTCTTAAGATGCGCCATTCAGTACTAATGAGATATGTAATGATAATTAGAGTCAATGCTATTTTATAAATACAGTTTGTTGATGATGATCGTCCTGCACAAGCCACGGGGGTATGTATTGGCAACCAGTGGTATCAAACAGATAGAACAGCGAGCTTAAGGCTAAGCATTTTTCATATTAGTAGCCACCCACTCTGCATAATAACCATGTTTACGACCCAGGTTGTAGCTAAGGAAAAGGAAAGGATCTTGAAATCGATTTCAAAAGTTGGGTTAGTATTGCCTATTATGCATATTCTCCCATGACCAAAACTCCAAGGTCAAGTTCGAGGCACACCTACAGGTGAAGTGTCGTCAATGTCGATTATAATAGAAAGTAAACTACATTGAGATTGACCATTTCTATAATCAAGCCTACTCATCTATCATGCCTGCGTTCCAAGGTTCTTTCCAATTTTGCGACTATACGACTATACGAAAATACGGATATACGAATATACGACCTGTACTGCCCCCAGGTCTTAGTGGGTCCTTATGCTCTTGCTCTCTTCGTATGCTCGTACACCCTGCAAGGATCCACCCATTATGAAGTTCAGCGAATCTTGGTCGTACGTATTATGGCGGTTTGTGATTTCCATTCTTAATCGCAAAATATAGGTATGCTGGATTAGGAGTCAAAAGATGAATAAACTTTCTTTTCCCCTTTCTCGTATTCTCGTAATTTGACCCGCTCGGTCGGTACTGCCTCTCCTTGCCACCGAAATGACTTGGAAGAGATCTATTCTCGTTCCCGAGGCGTGAATGGAGATGTCTAGTAAAAGCGAATAAGCCAGGTATGGTAGAAGGGTTGATATTTGCATTATGTCATGAATCCGAGCCGATACATATATTACCAGAGAAGTTCACTGGGATTGTAACGTAGTTCATAGTAAAGCTTTACCCAACACTCTCAGCCTTTGATCCAGATACGCCAGAGTCCAAATGAGGGTCAATAGTTATGTGGCCCTTTTGGGTCTGTTACATGTAGTGGGAGGGTCTGCAGATGGTTCGCCAGCATCACTCCCATCCTATACAGCTAAGACCTACACCATTTCCGAGGGAACACCCATGGCTTTCGACGAAGGTACTGTTATAAAGTTGTCCTCCGATGGCACTACTCCCTCGATTGTTGTCCTTGATTATGGACGCAATGTCGAAGGATATGCTACCTTCAATGTCTCTAAGAGGTCTGGGGACACTTCTGCCTTCGAAATGACATACAGTGAGACTCGCGCTCTCCTGGACTCCGACATGGTGAGTTATCTCTGGTAAATTCCGTCGATGAGAACAGATACTGATCTTATCTATGGCGACGGTCCGCTGCCGTTGGCTGCTGCTATGGACACCTACAGAGTTAACCGATACAACATCACTGAACAGAAGACTTATAGCAACCGCCTTATCCAAGGGGGTCTGCGATACCAGAAGCTGAATCTGTCTAGTGCAGGCGAAGTCGAGCTGGCCAGTATCGGGTTTAAACCTACAGTGTCTAACACACCTATCACTGCTCTTCCGGGCTCCTTTAACTGCTCTGATCCTGTTCTGAACCGTATCTGGCAAGTCGGTGCACGCACAACGCAACTGACAGAAATACCTGCCAACAGCTTGCCGGAATTCTGGGTTATAACCGATGAGGGAGCCTTTATCGATAGCTTAGCGCCCCAGCCATTCAATGCTGATTTTGCCACGGCCATGACTGCCTACGATCTCGAATTTTCTGTCAAGCCTGTGACAAATGGCTTTGGGTTTACTATCTTGAGCGACACCCTTGGCAATGGAGTTTATATCTTTGTGAATGTTGCCAATTCTTCAATATCTGCCCATATTGGATCGACTGAGCGTTCGGAACCTATTGCCTCTGCCAGCTTGCCGTCGAATATCACTTTGGACACATGGCATATAGTCCATAGTAGAGTACAAGTGACTCAAATCTCAGTTCAGATCGATGGTGTGACTGTCCTGAACTTTTCTCAGTCTGCTGCATTCTACGGATCCTTTGGATTGGGCGCATCTCTAGGTCATTCAGCTGTTTTCACCAACGTTGCCTTAAGGGCTTTCGGACAGAATATGTACAATTCGCCTTTGAACGACTCATCTGCCCTAGAGGACTTTCTCCTTGGTACAAATCCCTTGCCTGTCAGCGTTGACGGTTCTCGTCGTGACCGTATTGCCTATACAGGAGACTTGGATATGGCTACCGGTACAACCTTCGCCAGTACATACGGCCATGAATATATCAACGGCAGTATAGAGCTGCTGGGCTCATTCCAGATGCCACCGGGGTTCTTTGTCCCAACTGCCAAAGTACAACAGGCTCCTCGCACGACTGAGATCAACGCTAATATCACCGGTCTAATTGGATATTCATTTAGTATTGTTAGTGCCATGGCGCGCTTCTATGAACAGACTGGCGATGTTGGTTTCCTGACCCATTGGGCACCTAAGACAGCTCGTATGCTGGATTGGGCTCACTCCCAAACACTCCCCAACGGTCTGTTTAATGTTACTAATTCGGCTCTCGGTGGTGATTGGAATTATTATGATCCTGCCTTGGACGGTGTGGTCAGCAAGTTCAACCTGATTTACGCTTATGCGCTCAAACAGTGGCTTCCATTTATGGATGATGCCGGTTTGAATACTACGCTGTATGCTGGGCGTCTGCACAACCTGCAAGATGCCATCAACAAGCATCTTTGGAGTGATACACTACAGGCGTATTATATGTCTGATTCTCACAGAAACTTTCTATCCCAGGAGGCAAACGCGCTTGCTGTGCTCACTGACACGGCCACATCCGGAAATCAAACCTGGAAAACAGTTCTTTCGACAATGTCCCGGGAACTTTATGTACCCTCGGGAGCTCTTGCCTTCTCTAACAAGAGTGTCGAAAGTGGATGGGCGCAGAAGATAAGTCCTTATGCGTCTGGATATCATTTGAGAGCTGCCTTCCATGCCAATGACAGTGCGAACGCCAAGTATCTTCTCCATAGTGTATGGGGCCCTATGAGCGATCCATCACATACCAATTACACTGGCTGCATGTGGGAAGTACTGGCGGCCGATGGTACTCCTGGACTTGGGTCTAGTACATCCTTGTGTCATGCTTGGAGCTCAGGACCTACGGCTGATTTGAGCCGGTATGTCCTTGGGGTTCAGCCTGTGACTCCGGGATTCAAGGAGTGGAAGGTTGTTCCCCAATCGTTAGACCTCGACTGGACCAAAGGAGCCTACCCTGTTCCCGGAGGTAGAATTAATGTAGACTGGTCATTTGACAGCAATGATTTGCTACACATGACTGTTACCGCCCCTAATGGTATCAAAGGCATGGTCTATCTCCCTAGTCCTCTGAAGAAGACTTTGCATAAATACAATGCCACAGGCTTCCTTTCGGATGAAAAGGATTATTTCACCGTCCAAGGTGGAGAGATATTTTCAATTCATCAAATGGACTAGGCTACACGGTGGAATATGTACGCTCGGGCATCTGTGCTATGTGAATATGTGAAGGGAATGTTAGGGAATTACTCTTGGAAGCATCCTTTGTGTCTGTCGCTGCCACAGCCCATTTTCTGTTTCTGTATTTTATTGTAACAGTCTTCTACTCTTTCATCTTGATAGACCTTTTGGCTTCTCTAGAATCGATTGAATCTTGCGAATATCCCCAGTATGAGCTTCAGTAGCACTTCCACGTATGTTTGTCCCTTCTCAACGAAGTACATTGCAAATAAAGATTATCTAGCCACCTCCAGAATGCATGGAAAGCCTATCATGAATATACCTTACTAGACACATGTAGTATAGCGACTAGCAATGCAGTATTTCCACTGGTTGCGGAGGCCTGGCTTAATATTATTTAATTTCAGCCAACCCCGTCTGTGGAAGAGTCGACACTCAGTCATATTTCGGAAGGGGGTGGCTAGGAAATGACACCTCCTGCAAAGTATCTTCAAGAATGAACACAGGAATAGGGTATGGTTTGTACTCTCCTATCTACTGTCCAGTTTGAACATCTGCTTCCCGGACAGACGCCCCAGAAACTATGAAACAGGCAAGCAGTTCCAGAAGGCCACTATAACGTATAAGGAAGGAGTCTCCTATTGGCGTCTATTGCCGATCATGCCTTTGCTATTCTGGATATTGTGCCTATCGGAGTCTACGGGGGTGTAGAAACCATCCCTCGCGGTTTTAGGGATGGTGGGAGGCCTGCTCGGCTTTCGGCCGACCTGGTCTTATGCACTAGCACATTGCGTGGAGCTGCTGCTGCTACTCGATTATATCTTACTGGTAGACGCATGTTAGCTTTCGCCACTGGTCCTGGGTGAAGCCATTTGGATAGCTATCGGGCCCATCGCTTCGACGTATCGAATGTGGCAATATCAGCCAACATAGCAGCAATGACGGGTATGACCACGGCTAAAATGGTACGTAGATCTACAAGTACCAAATCATGACCTCCTTCAAAGAACATAAACTGGGAAGTCTAAATAATAATATCTCTTCGTTGCATATGTCTAGCTACACCGGACGCCCATTGCTGTGAAGAACCCGTACACACACAGTCGTAAATATCATAAAGTTCAGAATCATATGGCATAAATAGTAATCCGCACATACTGGTACACAAGGGAGACGAGCCACTAGGCAGTGTTTGCACATGAAAAGCTTTGGCTACTGGGGTCGTCATGAATAGCCTTGCCAGAGCTGTACAGACCAAGCCCGCACTAGATATTGTTAATGAGAGGGATATAAGGAGTCACTTGGCATAAACTAATTCCACTTACCATGATGATTCCGAGGCAGATACACAATGTATTCAATAGCGTCAAGAGGATTTTCCTCGGCGAAGAAAACCAGAGGTACTTGTTCATATACAACCAGAACGCACCCGGTAGTCCGAAACTGAACCAGCTAGCGAATAAGGCAGTCTATAGTTCAATTGTCAGTATGGAATGGTCACTATCCTTTAGACCCTTGTGAAACCCACCATCAAGCTCAGCAGGTTACTAAACACGGGAATGGCAGAAGCAATAACCCAAGCAACAACCCACAATGCCACACCGATCCCAATCCAGGAACCTACAGCAACAAAGTCACGTTTATGCATGCGATCGGTTCCGGCGAAGACACGCGTATATATCGATTTGCACGCAATATGGCCGTTGATGACGCCGGCAATGAGGATCTGCCACTGTTAACCGGGAAGTTCCAGACAAAGCAGAGCTTAGCCACAGGTTCATTGATTCTTACCGTAGGCAGGGCAATGCCATAAGCAATTTTCCCAACGAGCGGGCCAGCTGAACCAAGTGCTGGAGATTCAACCCCCTCGCCCGCGTATCGGTAAATTACAACACCGCAAACGAGATACAGAGATATGTCGATGCATTGTAGCAGCGACAGTGCCTTGGGGAAATCTTTGGGGTCTTTTAGTTCGGCAATGATATTAAAGAAAGCGTTATGGCTAGCTGTGGTTGGTCAGACTTGACTTTCTTCGTGTTTCAATGGCCAGCATTTGTCTATTGTACTGAATGTTTCGTTTGACGCACCATAGGAGAGGGCTATATTCAAGGACGAAGTTACGCCGGTTACCAGGCTTGGGTGGTTCACAGCCGTAGTAACAACCCCCGGTCTCTGAATACCGATTGCAATCATGGCAATCATGACCGCGCTGAAGATACTTATAAATGCTGTTCTGCGGTCAGCTGGGGAAATGCAATGTCGCGCGCGGGGGATACAACTCACAAGCCAAGGAGAGCCAGGACATCTTTGCCAACGTCCGTGGTAATGACATCAGGAGTGAAACGATAAGACCAACGATACCAAAGACAATGGAGCAGGTTCCGTGATCGGTAAGGGTATTCATGGCGACCGTAAAAGTCAGTATATGACTTGCCATGAGGAATACGAGAAACAGCATCTGTCCGACGAACAGCAGCTCCCGCCCGAATGAACCCATAAGCATCTCGCCGGCATCGGCCATGCTCGAGATATGAGGGTATCTCCATTTAAATTGTCCAATTACATAGCCTGTATATGATGCTATCAGACCTAACGAGATGAGGATGATTATTGCGGGGACGAAGCCAAGATTTGCGATGGCCGCTGGTAACGACAGGATGCCCAAGGATATAGTCTCAGCAACCATGAGTAGTCCACATTGCCTAAAAGCCATCATATCTATTAGAACGCAGGGCTGGTGTATGAGGTATAAAATGCTCCCCTTACCACCATTTCAAGACCTTGTACTTCACCTCCGCATTTGACTCATCTCCAAAGACATCCTGGCGAGCTGGGGCGGGCTCTGTCTTTTTCTCGTCGATGTTGGTTGCATCCGGCATTTCATTCCGTTGCTCTTCTAGGCCTGATATAATGCTACCTGAAGGTGAAACATCCACGATCTGAGAACTTGACGTTACTCGAGGCATTTGTTATGATGGTTGTTCTCTCTGGGTTTGTTGGACAGGATTCAATCAGAGACCCAAGAATTGAAAGCTGCAGGGACCAAGGTCATGTGGATTAAATAGACTAGAAGTGGTGAGAAACGCAGAGAAAGAGTGGGAGGTCGTATAAGCGTTGGGAACCAGATCCATATATGATGAGGTAGCAAAATGTGGGCAAGACCACGGCTCGGTGCCACAGAGTTGTTTGCGGGGGGCATGCTATGTATACTCCAATAAACGACACACGAAAGAACAGCCAGGTATACAAACCGGATTGGAGCAAAGTGGAGAAGAATGGGAATCCGGGGGTGATGTGGACGGACTATGATAGGAGCCGACGATGGATACCGTTGACACGAGATAGAGATTGTTGATATTTGCCGCACATCCTTACCCAAATAGGATTGATACTTTTGCTAAAATAATCTTTTTTTTTCAGCCTAATGGCATTCCGTACTCCTTCTACAGCTTAATCTTCCTTCCACAATCCATGTCGGTAGGATGGCAGTACCCCAGGTTTGTATGAACTCCGAAGTACTCATTAATCTGGGGAATAACGACAATGAATCACATTGCTCAGAGACTCCAAAGATACCAGGCTTTGCCCTCAAGGCGGAGGCGGTCATGTATCCACCTGTTATTATCCCCAGCCATGCATAGGGCTCCATCGTGGATCGTACTCTATTCAGGATATCTTTCCCGGAGTCACTTGCCTAGTACGGCTGGAAAGGGATATAGATTTGAGGTCCAACTCCCCATTCTGTGGGATAAGATACAGTATTATAGAAGGCTCCAGAGATAAGATTTCTAGCCAGCTCTCTGTAGACCCGCTCTGTGGTAGATTTATCCAGCCCTCTCAGACCCTCGGCTTCGGAAAGGCCTTCCCAATAAGGATTTTCTCTTCCTCGGGGAAAGAACACCAGAGACATACTCCAGGTAGTCATCCAGCACTTAGACCTTACGCTCACTGTCTCAGTACTGATTCTGTTTGTATGTCATGCTCCCAAGACTATATTATAAAAGGCATGTAGCCATTCAATTGCTGTATTCATTGACCGTTCGCACAAACCACATCATTGGGGCGCACCTTCTGAGCCGTACCATTTGAGGATGTGGTTTATATCCCCATTCCACATCCTAATAACCTCCTTGCAATTTAGGCAGGGGTCCCATAGGTTCGCCCAAATCTTTCCCGACAGCCTGTCCTCATACACTGGTGCCGACAAAAACCATTTGGATAATGCGAGCCCATAAACCCGCTCTGGGGCTTCTTGCCCACTAGGTTCGGTCAGTATCTTCCCTGTAGTTGGCAGGATATCATACGGACCAAAGCAAGAACCGGAGAGGGTATGTTTCGCTGCATCTACCGAATTGTTTTCCCCGTTTAGCTCCCCGCGCCTGGATGCTTGGGGAGACTCTCTGGCTCCACCCCTTCAGCTTTAGAAGCTCGGAACAGATTACGTTGTACCAGGCCCGGTTAAGCACGTGGCCCCATGCCCCCGTCTCTACTGTATCGATTTCATGCCCGGCCATGCTCGCCCCGAGAAGGAATCTTGCCCACTCCCCTGGAGCCTCTCTCCATGTACATTGGACTACAAACGGTGGGTCCGTACGGATTAATTTCGAGCACCATTTCCCGTACACTGCAGTAAGGGGTAGATAAAAATTGCGCTTAGTTGCACCGGTTGGTGCTGATCCAGTGCGGGATAAAAATAATCCCAGCAGGTCGGTTGCGCTCCAGAATGGAACCCAATCGTGCTGGTATCTTAACAGTGTAAATTTCGATACTCTTGTCCGATTTGTTGCGGACCATCGCGGATTAATGGCACGGTGGATATGCTGTCTTGGTCGCAATGCTGCGGCATCATATTCTTCCCCTCTGGGAAGACTTTTAACATCGCTGTCAGACATGTCTATGCCCAGACATCAAGCTACATAGCGTACCTTAATCGTAAAATTTCTCCACGAATGAGCACGAGCTCCGAAATATCGTTGATTGTGATGCCGTAAAATCCAGGTTGGTTTACGACATCTGCAAGAAAGTTATAAATCTACCCCGGTCAGTCACATAACAAGTCTTTCCCTATGTATAGTATCTACCTGGTTCAGGGTGTACGTATAGGCAATTCGGAGGTTGAGTTGCCCGTTGAAGGCCGTTAGAATATTCTCTGTCATTTTGCTAACGCCACGTGCGATGACCTTATGGGGAGCTAGATGCTTGCTGCGTTACATATGACTACAAGGGAACTCAGTACAAGAAGGCCTCAAAACAAGATCCCATTTTTTCCTGCAACTAGGAATGCCATCTGCAATTTAATGGAAGGAACGACGCTTTACTCGTTACACTCTGAGTCTGCATATTCCCAAGCTCTAACCGCCTTAAGTTCCTTCCCTTTCAAAGCCTTTTGCCCCTTTGTGACCATGGCGTGGAGAATGAACATTAATCCCACTGGCTTCGTGATTTGCCAGACTGTGTTATCCATCTGGTCCCAAATATAATATTGATTGTCCGATTTAAACATGGCCTCGGGAACCCCGGTTTCGCGCTTGGAGGTCATAATAACCTGAGGGTTTGGTAGACCAAATCTTCTCGCCATCTTCTGGCCATCACTTTCAGGGCCTTTCCAGATCAGATCAAAGTTAATTTCGGCAGGATCAGTGGTCCAGTCGTCCGGGATGCTCTCAGGCTGAGATTATCAAGTTAGAAACCTATATTTTCTTTGTCCATGGTCTTTAGAGCCTTGACTTACAGGGAGGTCCATGATGCTGCAATTGCAAACTTCAGTTGTGTGGAAGAGGTTGGTTTGAGAATAATACCGTCATTGATAGGTATTTGAATGTCAGACGTAAAGATGATGTGTCGGGCGGAAGTTCACGTGGACTCAACCGAAGGTCCCGCATGTGCTTTTATTATTATACATCTTAGGCGTAGTCTATTTTATGAATCTACTGCAATGTTAGTGCGACAAAAGACCTCTTCGCATTCACGAACTATACCTGACACAGTGAGAATGTGTATGCCGTGCGAAGGTCCAACTGACCATTGAAGGTCATGACAATCTTCTCCGTCATTCTTGCTCCCGATATGAAAATTGTCTAAGGTTCCAGATGACGTTGAAAATGTCAGAGGAATTACTGCATTACAGCTATCTACAACAGAACTTAAGACTGAAAGACCTCAAAGTAAGGTGTTATTGTTTGCTATCGCCAGGGCTACCATGTGTCATCCAATGGAAGTAACGACCATTTACTCGTTGTGCTCCTCATCCTCATAATCTTCAAGAGGTTCAATTTCCTTCAATTTCACCGCTCTCTGTCCCTTGGTGGTCATGGCTCGGAGTATATCCAGCAACCGTGTGGGCTTGGTAATTTGCCAGACCGTATCGTCCAACATGTTCCAGATATAGAATCGCCCGCCTGATTGGAATATGCATTGGGGAATCCCCGTGTCACGCTCAGCGGTCATGATAACCTGTGGCTGTGACAATCCGAACCTCCTCGCCATATCCTGGCCTTCACTTTCGGGGCCTTTCCATATTAGTTCGAATTGAACTTCAGCAGGGTCAGTGGTCCAGCCATCTGGGATACTCTCGAGCTGACGCTAGCACATTAGAAACCTTGTTCCTTTTTTTTGTTTTTTTTTGTTTTTTGCCTGTGGGGTTGAAACTCTTGACTTACAGGGAGGTCCATGATGCTAGGATCGCAGGCTTCAGTTGTGAGGAAGAGGTTGCTTTGGGGATAATACTGAGAAGTATTTGAATGTCAGACGTAAAGGTGATGTCGTGGGCGGCGGTTCACGTGGCCTCGACCGAAGGGGTAAAGCAGTGGAAAACCTGTATATTTATTTGTTGTTAGATAGCATACAAGTCGTCGTCTATCACTCCAGCTTATATGCACAGCAGTGCAGTTGTATCGGGTTGGTCATAAGATCATGCCTTTCTTGTCTTTGTTTGAATGATGGCGAATGGATTCACATCATTCTAGTGTCATAAGAAGTTGTCTGTAGAATTAACATAATCATGATACTAGATTCCCAGCTAGTACTGGCATATCAAGGTACTGCATGCTATGTACGTTGTTATGTTAGTGTGTCCTTCTTTGATTCTAGTTCTACATGTTATCTGATATTCACCAAAAATGGTTTCCAAGGACGGACTATATATAGCGAGAACTAGGTTTCTCTTAGAGGCATATATGACCTAACATGGCCACTCTTAGTATGGTTAAGGACTATATAAATCAATGATTCAGGGTAGAACCTTAAAGTACCCCTAATAATATCCCATCGACAAACCAGTTGAGGGCTATCAACGATCTTGAAGTTCTGTTAACGTGGTCGACGTGGCAGGCGCGGGGTCACGAGATGTGAGACCAAGCTAAACCACGGGCGTCACTAGTGGATTTTCCCAACCAATCACCGCGCCCCCGTCCCTCAATGTCGGTCACGTTTTCTGGCTCTTTGCAACGGGCCCACGTGATAGCCGCAAGCGTAAATATAGCAACATTTTAATCAACTTGTTCAGAATCCCTCTTACGTGTTATCTCAAAGATAATAGTCATAGCGCTTCAGTGACACAAGAAGAAAGTAAGCAGGAAACAGAGAAGAACCGAAGAGAATGGCTTCTGCTTCCGCCTCCGACGCTCTTCGCGGCCACCTCGCCTATGAGCCGGTGCCCCTGAAATTTGGTACCAGCGGCCGCCGTGGCAAAGTGGTGGATTTGACCCAGTTGGAAATTTATACTAATGTACTTGCGGAGATTCGCTACCTCAAGTCTCTCGACCAACAGGACGGTGGTATTAAGCCCGGTGATGACTTCTATTTCGCGTATGACCTTCGGCCCAGCTCCACAAGCTATGTTGAGGAGAGCCGCGGAGGACTCTCTCAAGCGGTAGAGCAGGCATTGAAGGATGAAGGCATGCATCCCATCAACCTAGGTGCTATCCCCACGCCGGCTCTGACCTACTATGCCCTGAAACATGGCAAGGGCAGTATTATGGTGACCGGAAGCCACATCCCGTTCGACCGCAACGGGTACAAACTCAACACTTCAAAAGGGGAGCTCCTGAAGAAGGATGAACAACCTATTAACAACAATGTTCAAGTCACTCGTGAAGAGCTACTTTCTCAGCCATACACTGAGTCCCTTTTCAATGAGCGGGGCATGCTTCGCAGCGCCCCATCCAACCTCCCACCCGTTGCGGCTGAAGGGAGAGCTGCATACATTCAGCGCTACACGGACTTCTTCCGGGGGGAAACCCTTCAAGGCAAAAGGCTTCTCGTCTACCAGCACTCTGCCGTTGGCCGTGACGTCCTAGTGGAGATTCTCGAAAAGCTTGGGGCTGAGGTTGTCACCGCTGGCCGAAGTGACACATTCGTACCCATTGATACTGAAGCCATCGATCAAGTCCAACTGGACACGGCCCAGAACCTTTACGACAGCACTGGACAGCAATTTGACGCGGTAGTTTCTACTGATGGCGATAGCGATCGCCCTCTTATCCTAGCCCCTGAAGGAGGGAAGCTCCGATTCTTCGGTGGTGATCTGTTGGGCATGGTTGTCGCCGAGTTCCTCGGTGCCGATTCTGTCGTGGTGCCCATCAGCACTAACGATGCCATGGATCGTGGCTCACTTGCTAGTGTCACTGAGCCTAAGACGAAGATTGGCAGTCCTTACGTGATTGCTGGTATGCAGCACTCTCTCTCCAAGGGACGTCGTCGCGTCTGTGGATGGGAAGCCAACGGTGGCTTCCTCACTGGCTCTGATATCGAGCGCAACAGTAATGTCCTCACCGCACTCCCTACCCGTGATGCTGTGTTGCCTCTGCTCTGCGCCTTGTTTGCGGCGGGCAACCGCGGAATCACTCTACCCGAACTGTTCGCCACGCTGCCCAAGCGTTCAAGCCGTGCCGCTTTGATTCGGAACTTCCCCCGCGCAACGAGCTTGAAGATTATCGACCGCTTCTCCCCACCAGAGTCCACGATGCAGGAGGTATCCTACCAGCCAGATCACGTTGTCGCTGTCGACGGCAGCCGTGCTCAGCTTCAGGTTACGGAGTCTCACGCCAAGAAACTCGAGCAGATTCGCCAAGAGCTTGAGACCGTGTTCTCCCCGGAATATGGGTTCTCTTCTATTGCCCGTCTGAACTACACGGACGGAGTTAGGATCATCTTCGCTAACGGCGATGTTGCTCACTTCCGCCCCTCAGGCAACGCGGATGAACTCCGTATCTACGCCGTTGCTGACACACAGGAGCGTGCCGATGCAATCGCTTCTCAGGGTGTCGCCGAACCGAATGGCCTTCTTAGGAGCTTGGAACGTACGGTTTAAGCGGCAGGCAGCGGAATATGGTCAGCAAACGTTTTTCTTTCGTCCGCTCCCGGCAGCCAGTATGATGGACCTTTAACGCGGAAGGCACTGAACATGTAACGCGGCCAATCTTCAAATACAGAATCTCTTCAATTCACACTTCCTGAGCAAAATGTTCATAGTATCCTAATTTAATCCACCGGCTACCCCGTGTCAATCATCTGGCAGAAGACCAACAGTTCTATCAACAGGTCATCCTTTAAAGACAGTTTCCTCCCCACCCTCCACTCGTCTTCAGCTTCACGACAACGAACCTTTGATAATCCAGTAACCTTCACAAGTTGTGTAACCCAGGAAGTCTGAATAATGTACATCAGCGTATCAATGTTAACCCTTGTGACATGCTTCTAACGCTACCTACCGTATTGAATGAAAGGCAGTGGACTCCCCGCGCGGTCATGTTACGAGAGAGTAGGATACAAAACAATGTAAGAAAAAAGGAAGCCTATACTATCAAGAGCATTTGATTCCCAACAGTTTGAGCATTACCCCTACCATTTCATTGCCCAATCTTCATTTAAGTGCTGTGAAATTCCTCTAGTAACGCTAGGATCCAACAACCACCAAAAGCCTTTCGGATATACCATACTATCCAAGGCAATGAGTAAGCTTAACCTACCATGACTTGGAGCAAGGTCTCTATATTCCTAACCTTCTCTGGAGTGCATGGCCCGGGGAGGTCTGGGGTGATGAATCCCCTTATTTCTGGGCCACGGTGACCGCCGACATCAAAAGCAACGGCCATAGGGTCTCAGACCCCGGTATGTCATTTACGGATACTGTGTCACATTTTATTAATGTGCAGGAACACCATCGCTGGGATTATCCCAAAGTCTCCCTTAGGGTGGACAATTTGGTATAAGCAGTACGTTGATATCAAGTGGCACTGGAAGGAATTCAGAAGATTGCGGAGTTGTACAAGAATGTGGAATTATCCAAAGAAGATGCTGACAGAGATGAAGAAGCATATCAGAGATGTAGCCATCTGATATATGAATGCCGCATGGTTGTGATCGCCTTTTGCGCTGTGCAGGGCTGTTTCTGTTCCTGTTGGCCAATATGAACTTCATATCGTTATTTCATTATGCACATATCTATCTGAATGCTACTTTCACATGCTAGAGTTACAGGGTCTATGCGTCGGTACAAAATGTATCACGCAGCGATCGTCTGGTTAGTAGTCTGGATGAGCACCCGACGGTAAGTTGTCAAGGGATGAACACCGTTATCCTTGACCTCCAAAACCAAATGCAACAGCCAACAGCCAGACGGGTTATCTCCCTTTCCATTGCAGCTGTCCTCGGAAGCAGGGATGGCCACCTGTACCTGCTGGCCATTCTTCGCGGTAGTCAGGTTCAATGCAGGGACCTGTCCTGCCACGTTCCAGTCATCGGAACTGGGCTCTTGGTACTGGAACCAGTTGTACGACAACCTATCGCCATCTGGATCATAGGTGCCAGCGGTATCGAGGTTAATCGTCGAGCCTGCCTGAGCCGTCATCTTGAGTGGAGCCAGTTCCGTGCTTCCGTTGACAGAAACAACGGGGTGATGGTTCGCCTGGCTAACGTTCGCCGGGAGGGTCCATTGCATGCGAGCGGCGAAATCGTTCTGGTAAGCGTCCCGCCATCTCCAAATAGTAGCATAGTTGGAGCTGAAAGTCTTGTTGTTGAGACCCACCACGCGATCCGCTGCATCGCTGTAGTGGTTGTAGTTCACGGCCGTCGAGGGGTCCACCTTGGTATATCTTCCACCCCAAGATCCATAGCCGGGGTTCTCCGAGTCGCCCAGACCATTCTGGATCAGGTACAGGAATGTAGGGGTATCGCCTTCCATGATAAACTTGAAATCGGGGTACGCCACACCACCATAGGGTCCAATCTGGATGTTGTCGTGGAGCCACTCGTGAGTCACGGTGGTACTGTTAGGGCCACCCTCATCCTTACCGTAGTACGTCTCGCCGGAGATGGCAATCCAGGAAGCGAGACCGTATTGGTTCCATCCGTGCGTGGACGAAATGTAGAAGATGTCTGGGTAGTTCCGACGGATCCAGGAACCCGTGTCATCTTGGTCGGAAATGGCATACACGCGCAGCTTGGAACGAATAGCAGCCGCCTCTTCGGATGAGGAGTTCTGGTGGATTTTATATAACACCTGCGCCAGAACGTTCGTACCACCCCAAGCGAGAACCCAAAGGGGCTTCTGGGATGGAGACTGAAGACGTTCGAGAAGCAGCTTTCCGCCGTCGCTGAGCGTGACGTTGCTTCCCACGGCTTTCATGCCATAGGTCTAGAGCGAGTTAGGGTCGTGTGATCGTGGGTTGTGAGGAAGATTTGACCTACCGCGGGGCCGCTGCGCAGGATACTGCGGAAGTAACCTCCAGAGGCATACTGAGCATTCGGGGGAGCATGCTTGTTGAGGTTATCGGTGACATTGCCATAGGCGTTGATCACCTGCAGCATATCCTCCGGGTGCACTGCATCTCTGAGCCAAGTGGACGTGGATGCGACGAGGCCCTCAGTTTTGAATTGGTTAGAGTAGAGGAGGTACCGCGTCAAGGACTCCTGGTCGTCCGGCTCATTCGAGATATCCGATAAGATAAACACCCGCGGTCTATCCTGGTAGGTCAAGAGGGACGATGTATTTACAGTCTTGCAGACGGCCTGTACTGCCAGAGTCCCCAGGACCGTCAGTCTCAGTAAGGACGCTACCATTTTGTTAACGGGTAAAATGGGCGAGAATTAAAATAAGAGAAAACTGCGCCTGGAGACGAAGGGTCACGCAGAAAATCCTTATTTTATATCCGCCGTCCAGCATCCGACTCTGGATCCGTGATGACCCCGGGATCGCAGCAGCATTTCTTAGCCGACCGATCACGGCATGCCTGAACAGTTCTCGGTTCCCTGCCGTCATACAGCATCCCCTCCATATTTGCAAGCAATACCGAGAAATTCTGGAAGAACCCCCACATTCCTCACAAACCATGTGGGATCGAGTGGAGAAAGTACTCCACGGGGAACGGCAGGCTCGGATCTGACTGGTTCATGGCTTGGGAAAAGCTGAGCCGGGACTTCATACATCCCGTTGATATGGCCAAAATAGGAAACCCTAACCACAGTTTGGCAAATTGTGCGCTGTTTCTTGACTCGCGGCACACCGTCCAGCCTAAACTATGATGATGTCAGTCAACATATTACTATCATGCCGGACGAACGTTTCTCTCGGTCATGATTCATGACACCCCTTTAGTGTGGACCGCCATGTTTTCTAGTCTGCGTTGCAAAGCCCAATCAAGTGTGTGAAGTTCGCAACACTGCCCCCATCGTCTCGTCCCGTAAACAATTTTGCCGATCCTCTCGGAGCCGATTAGGTAATCATACTCTGAACTTCAACTTTTGGCAAGCAAGCCGCAAGGTCCTTCGCCCATTCATTTGGAGACCATGGCAAATTCACCCCAGCGGTCCTAGAAGGGAACTAGGCTTAGCATACAACGGTGGACATAATGGGACTAGGGAGGGAAGAAATCTTTCGCCATCTTTAAGTTCCTGGTTGTCGCTGTCTGTTGCAGTGGTCTTTGTTGGCTGACCAGCCCGTAGACTGGAAGATATATATTTCAATTTCCCACCAAGTGGGGTGCCGAAACACCGGGGAAATGGCTTGAATTATGGAATTCATAGTCGAAGGAATGGAACGGCGGCCTTAAACAATGTATGGGCTTCCCTAACTTCACTAAGATATCACAATGGAGTTCATTAGTCGAAAACATTTATGGTACGGCAACCCCCCTGGGTCGTCTGGGGTAGACTAAGAAAATGTCTGAAGAGCTGTGTTCTGTGGGGGTATATCACCACTCTATAAAACATAGAAGGTAAGAAATAGGACCAAACGCAACAGCAACGAAAACGCTGGATTATTGGCTTGCTCTGCATATCGGCATAAATCTCATGCCGGGGCCATCGCCCACTAGTAATGTACCATATGGACGGAAAATTGCCTACTGGGTTAGAGTTTGTGGATTCTGTAGGCTCAGAGAACATTCTACACTCTCTATCAAGTACTGGAGTTTGCCATTAAAATCTCACTTCCAAAAAGCACATAATCGTGTTGAATTTCTGCATCTGCACTAATTACAAAACAACCCAACAGTAAATAGAATTTGACAAGAAGATAAAGAAACCAGCCTTTTCCTCCATTGAATCCTGCAGGTCAAGCATCAGATGTAATGCTCAATCACTTGTTGCATTCGCAAACTCCCTTGTCAGAGCACTGGCCACCGTTCTTTCCAATCCAGTCGCAGTGGGCTTCGCAGCAGAGTCCCTGAGCGGGAGGGACGAGGCTGCAGCAGGCGCTGCGCTGCTCCAGGGTACCCCTTGCATCCAGTTGTCCCGCAGGCTCCTGCTCAGCCTCGGCGTCAATTCCGAAGTCCTTCAAGACTTCCCTGACAGCGAGATCGCCATCGATCACCTCGTCACTGCGCTTGCTGTTCGGGTAACAAGCGCAGATGTTATAGCCAGGGCAGCCATCACGGGGGAGACAGCGACCACCCTTAGGGTTGCCCTGTCGCTCACAGACTGTGTTGCAAGCACCGTCGCCTCCCGCGAGGCAAGAGATCGAGTTGTGGCAGAAGGCCTCAGCCAAAGAAGAGCAGACGACGAAGGTCGCGATAGCACTACCGAAGAAACGCATTTTGGAGGGTGTCTATGTGTCAAGGTTGGTTAACTTCCTGCTGAATGACCAAGTTTGGTTGGAATGCTTAGTCCCTTACAATTTGGAGTTTGATGGAACAAGGCACGTCAAGTGGATGGGTTTGAATTTGCTGATGTTCTGGTAGGCAGTTGACTTGTGGTTTTTGAGCTGTTGATGATTCTCAATCCAGCAGACTCCCAGCCCATATTTATATCCATCTTTCCCCTGAAGTTGTGTATCCCCGACCTCGTTGATCTCGTGTTTCGACTCGTGTTCAGCCTCCGAAGGGATAACCCTAAGTCCCTACCACAGTGCCACCACGCCAGGGATTGCGTTGAACGGGAGAGATCTTCATGGAATACGAGGAATTTGTGTCATGAAAAAGGGTCTTTGAGGCAGAGCCATGCCTATCCTTTGCCAGTGATCCAATGTTGTTTTTCTTGACCGATTCATGTGTATTCCTTACGTATCTCAATGCTCGTATTCCTGGCTCGACCGTCTCGGCACGCGGATCCACGACAGCCACTCCCGGCCCCCGGACGATAAGGCTGGCAAGGATCGACGCCAGGCTGAAGCTTTATTTCAAGAATAGAAACTTCGCACAATTGAGGTTCTGTCATGATGCTCTTTAGTTCAACGATAGGCATGCTCATACGAGATACACGAACACGAACCCCGCGAAGCGCAGATCGTTATTCGCAGCTGCCCATCTGCCATCATCAGGAAAGACTAATCCAATCAAAAAGGTGTATCTTTCTTCAGCCTCTCAACGACAAGAAAGATCTACAAGACTATTTAAGGAACAGAAGTCTTGGCTTAGTACCGCCTGCCTGAGTAGGTAAGGGGCAGGAGGCAATCCCCAAATGCCCAACGGCCACACAAAAGCCTCAACAGCCTCGGGATTGCCCAAATGAGTTGCATTTTACGATTGGTCCCTCTGGTGAACATCTTATCGACCCACTGGATGAGGGACTCGCTCTCCTCGAGGCGTCGAGAAACACCCGGAGCCAGGAAAATGTTACACTTCCGGCCAGCCCCTTGCATTCGCTGAACAACTGGTCGAGGAAGATGATACGTAACAAAGTCATACCGCAAATCGACGACAATGCAGAAATGATTGGTGGCAGTCAGCTACTGTGCTGGCAGTGACTAAATAGGCAGGTCAAGTTGGGTAGATTCGTAAACTCATGAGTTTGCGGTTCCTTTGTATGCCATCGTCTCGTATGGACATGCCTGTTCTTCCTCCTTTTTACCTCACCAACTCGTCAGTGCCAAGTCCCCAACAGCGCCGATTAGTGCTGCTAGTCTCCACTAGCATGAACCTTTCGTCTTGCCTCCAGTTGTAGAGTTTCAATCAGGCGTTTTCACAATTGAAAATAATCGAGTCTCGCCGCGGGGGAAAGTAGATAGGGCGAGGTATGATAACGATGAAAATTGGATGTATAGTGTCATATATCTGGAAATTATAATGGCCATGTGTGAACAATCACAATCTCTGAAAGAGGCTATAAACGCGATATTGCAAGGGAAGCTGCCTGGGGTAGCGCCTGGTGCCTGACGAGCAAGCCTCGCCTCGCATACGAGGTCGTTCATTGCCAAGGAAAACAAAAGCGAAAAGAACCTAGGCCAAAACGGAAAATATGAGGACGAAAGACAGAGCCAAAGAGGCTCGTTCTATAAGCATGGGCTAATGCTGCGTTCAGAGTCAATATTAGTGGAAGACCTCTTCTCGAAACTAGGCCTCACTGTAAGGAGCATGAACACTACCAGATAAACATATCCATCAAAAGGAAGCTTGAATGCACGCAAAGAAGTCCACGTTCTGTCCACTTGCTGTAGTGTTTCCATTCTATAAGCGGATTACGTTTAACTAGTCCCATCCGCATAGAGAGTACCACGCCTGTGGAGACTTTGCGGAAACCGTCCGACCCTAATTCCAGGGAAAATATCAGGAAATCTAGCAGGTATGACCATAATAACTGGTCTTCTATCCCTACATGGGCTCCGATGATCGCAATCTTCAATCGTGAGCCGGTTCCCCCCACAGTGGAATTACTTCATGCCACCCGTTTGGCTAAAGAATGGGCTTGACACATAGAAAGGTCTTTCTGAAGAGCGGTCTTCACGTTCGGATTCAGGAGGATCTTGGCGGCCACCGAGGAGTGATCGCATTCGTTCCTGAAATATGGAATTCTGCATCAACTTTCCCACTGATTTCGAATCTGCCTTGTCGGAAAATCGGGCGTCCCGCTCGCCCTCAAAAGTTGACTCTGGGCCGTTGATCCATTTTCAGCCACTTGCAATACATCTATCTCGCATAAAGTCGGCACTCTTGTTGATCATGCCATGCCAGAACGCACCCTCACCACGACCCACAAAGCCTCCACGCTCGAGCATCATTATCACATTTTCAACCCAGTTTTGGCAATTCCCTACACCATACTCTGGGATATTGGATGCGTCTCCCCCGAATTTGGAGACGGCGCGGGTCACGAGCTCCTTCTGTTGGGATGAAAAGATGGCAAGTTCACAACGCCCTCGCAGTACCGGATCTTCCATGGGTTGTGGCCGTGGATCATAGATGAAATCAGTGTCTTTTGGGTTGCGGATGTGGTACATCTCACAAGTGGACGAACCTAGTTCATAGATGGCGATGCCCATGTGAGACGGACCGTCACCTAAGGCAGCGTCACCTCGACCGTACACATTTACGGATATATCATAGGCAAGCAGGGTCGAAGCATTAGTGTCCATATTCACAATGCTTTCCTACTCTGACGCGAAGAAATGAGGTAGTCTTTTTCATGAAGGAACAATGGAAGTTTGGTTGAAAGAAAGGCGGGTCTAAACATACAAACGGTGGGTTAAGCGCCAGGGTCAAGGTACGAATCTCTTTGCCCCGCGATCGTCAGGCTAAGCGCTAAGCAAAATAAAGATTGAGAGTATCTACAGCTCAACGACTACCAACTTGAGTTGCAATTTTGGTTATGCTGTTGATTCTTGTCAAATCCATCCCGCTATGTCTGTTTCGTCGGATAGTCCGTTGATCAAGCAGATACAAAGTATACGGGAAAGCGTAAAGGCACTTACCACTGAGGCAAGGTATAGTGAGATATGGGGCACTGACTTGAATGATGGCGAACCAATGGTCGTGGAGACTATTATACGGAAGGTATACAGAAGACTGCCGGCTTACGAAGGGATCTTAAGGCTAACATAGAAACAGTTTCTACAGCACCACTCCATCATTCCTTCATTGCAGGTTCCGAAGGCCCGCTACTCACTCTCTAAGACGCTAGAATGGCGGCGCAGGAGCAATCCACGGGCAGGCATAGACAAGGCTAAATCGATCCTATCTGAGCTAGGCCTGCTCTTTGTTACCAGAAATCGTGGGAGCTATGTTTTGTGGGCCATTATCGATGAGATGATCTTAAAGGGATTCTCGCCGTTACACGATGACCTTTCAACATCTGCCGGAATCGAGAATCTGGGCGTCGCCGTAATGGAACTTCTCGCCACTTTGCTCCCCTCCCAGCCGTCTGATATGGACAAGAAGACCAGCCACGCGGCAAGTGGTGTCCTTGAATTACGGCTGCAACAGAAGCCGGGGGGGCGTACGGAATACGGCTCGTTTCGAGGTAACATCCGGAAGGCGCTCAGTGATTTGATTGCACTGATCCATTCGCACTACCCCTGTCTTCTTGAGAAAACATACATTATCTACCCATCGCTTGAATACCGCGCTAGTTTGGATGTTCCCGAATACCTCTTACGGAATACCACTCTTTTAGAGAAACCAGAGGACCTCGCCCTTTACCTTGGCCCGGATATTCCACCAAAGTACGGAGGAGATGGCAGGTCGCTAGCCGAATTGAATTGTATTGAGCCACTCCGGCTTGACGTCGAGGGCCAGGAGAACAGGCAAAGCACACCCGAAGCCGAAGGTAAAAGTGATCGTTCAACTGGGGAGAAAGAAACGGCGCGTGGGCAAGCTCCAAATGTTCTAGAAGCCACGGACATTCAGAGGTCCACGGCATCCCCTGAACCCCAACTGCGTCTACTTTACTCGGAGGATATTGGTCCGCCTACAATTATATTGGATCCAGCAGACCTGAAAGATGCTGAAGATCTGATACCGGACAAGATGGGCGCTCGTCTCGCCTGGGCCGACACCGACATGCTTGTGAAATTCGGCCATGGCGTTCGCCTAGCTGAGGCTGAGGCTCTGCATTTAGTATCTAAACGGACAACCATCGCAGTGCCCAAGCTGCTGAGTGCATATATTCTTGACGGGACTGGGTACATCATCATGTCCTATGAACATGGAACGCCTTTTAACCAGTACTGGGACAATGCTTCGGAGGCAGAACACCAGAGAATCCTCGCTCAATTAACGGACTATGTGCAGCAAATGCGAGCGATTGAAAGCAACTTCATTGGAGGGCTGGATCACTCGCCTTGCCGAGACGGAGTCTTTGAAGGAGGCTATGGTGACTACTCTAAGTACAGCTACGGGCCATACGAGTTAGAGCAGAGCTTCAACGAAGGCATGGTCCAAGCTTTGCGTGACCGGCTTCCAGCAGAGCTACTGGAAAGCGAAAACAACCCGGAATCCAGTTTTTGAACCAGTGAATATATCTTGCACCAGACGGTATGAGGGTTGACAGGACACAAAATAGTGTTCACACACGGTGACCTTCATGAAGGCAACATGCTGGTCCGCTCGGATGGTACTGTGGTACTATTGGACTGGGGACTATCGGGGTTTTGGCCTGAATACTGGGAATTCTATCGTGCCAAGTTTAATCCGCCTTGGAGAACATCCTGGGATCGTATGGTTGAAAGGTTTATCCCCCCATACTATGTCGAATATGACGTGATGAAGAAGATCTTCGGAACTATTTGGTATTGAAGGGACTTTGTGGAGGCATCCCTTCTTACAACGTGTTTTGGTAACCGCATTCGTCATCGCTTTGTCCACGACATGACACCTTTGAGTTGTTATACTGAAATAGACTCATGTATGACTCGTGTACAAGCTGAAACTGGCTCCAGTACAGCTGTTCACACCTGATTGTCTAGTCATCATCTCGGTGGAATATTTTCTACATCCTCCTAGCACCCCGTTCCGCCATCCGGCCATCACATATTGTACAGATCACATGAGATGCTTCGATGTGGATGCCAGTTGATGGTTTCTTAGATTCATAAACGCACGTATTCTGACACGTTGGCGTGGTGACTTAGCCGCCGAGCAAGCATGCAGCCTATTAGGCGCCGGACGATCGTTCGAGTCTCACTAATCAGAGCGCAATACATGTCATGTCCGTTGTAGTCTAACACGCCACGTCCAATAGTTATAATTAAATTCTTCCTGCGGCCCGGTGCTTTGTAAGGTTGTAGCTAAGGAACCGCACGGCTGTTTCTTGAGAACATTCGGAGAAATTACCCGCACTTGTATCTAAGCGCTCTATATCGAGGTTTACGAGGATACCGACACTCTGACTCCCGAGTTTTGGAACTTGACACCGACCCTCCAGAAGGACAAGCGATAATCCTCGTTGGATAACTGCCATACGCAATCCTGGCGGTTGTTATACCGCCCAAATCGCCGTTGAAATGGGTGAATCTATGCGACGACCCAGCGACAATGAGTTTACCATCGGCTGGGTCTGCGCCCTTCTGAAAGAATACATTGCCGCCCGCGAAGTCCTAGATGAAGTCTACGACGAGAAAACTGGCTTCTTGCGAGCCGAAGATGGCGCAAACTACTACACTCGGGGCAGAGTTGGGCCTCATAAGGTGGTGATCGGATGTCTTCCTGCGGGGAAATACGGGTTAGTATCCACATCGGGGGTAGCGGAGGACATGAAGAGAAGGTTTTTATCTATCGGACTGGTCTTTATGGTGGGAATCGGTGGCGGCGTACCGAATGCGACGACTGATGTGCGTCTTGGGGATGTGGTGATCGGGTCTAGGGTTGTGCAATATGGCTTCGGTAAAAGAACAACGGAAGGATTCAAGATAACTGGTGAGACCTTTTCTCCAGCTCCAGAATTTCGCCCCTCAATAAATACCCTAAGAACGCGTCTTTCCAATGGGATCGATCTCCACACGAATCTGGAAGCCACATTCGACAAGTCTCAAGCTACTAGAGACACATTTCGCAGACCTGCACCGCACACAGACCGACTGTATGCACCTGAATATGTGCATACAAGAGGTTGCGAATGCGCAAATGAAAAGGCTGCGTGGCATCCCCATCTAGTCCAGCGTCCCCCTCGCAGCAACAGATTGATCGAGGTTCACGAAGGGACTATCGCATCGGCTGACCAGGTCATGAAAGACGCGAAGACAAGAGATCAACTCGCACATGAGATAGAAGCCATTTGCTTTGAGATGGAGGCGGCTGGCCTTTCAGATACCTTTAATTGGATCGCAATTCGCGGGATCTGTGATTATGCCGACGCTCACAAGAACGATCAATGGCATGGATATGCCGCTGCCGCTGCCGCCGTCTGTGCCAAAGAGCTGCTACTCACCATTCCTCCGGTTGATTCCACAGGTACAGAGCCAGTGAGTGAGCAGCAGCGATGGGCTGTTGACCGTGCAGACTTCACGCGACTCCTTGAAAAAGTGCCCTCTGGAATGGTGACGACCTTGCACAGTGCCTTTATTGGGATCTGCCTTCTACTGGCTATTTTTGGGCAATTGATTTGGTCCTTTTACCTTTGGCTATTATCAGTGGCAGCGAACATCGAATCCCCTGACTTCAAGGGTCCGATGAAACCAGCACAGCCTGTGCAGGGTCCTACGCAACAGTTCGGGAGCGCACCCATACATATCAACATCTACGTTGGCCAGCAAGCAATGTCTCACGCACGAAGACAGAGTGGAGCGGATTGGATAGAATCTCCGGATCAATGCCCGACGGACTTTTCTACCATTCAGTGGGACGGTGCTGGGAGGGAAAAGGTGTTGGGCAGTACCGCAGAGCTTCTTCAAGGAGTGCGAGCCCTGATGGGCAAAGAGATCGGTAGGAATATCTCTATAAGCATCCCACACCATACCGGCGGCCCACTTTCGCCTGCCGACTCCAGCTGTGATCCGCTTGAGAGGATACCTTGGCAGCAACAGGATGCACCCGTTGAGAGGACAGACTCCGTATCCAGTGCATCCAAACCCCCAGTACCTCCACGGTCCAAGAAACCACACGGCTACGTCTCGAGGCGTAACACACAGATTCCCGTTCCCAATTCCATGGCGAAAAGAAACAAACACTCAACCGATCAGAAAAATAATAAATGCCCGGAGGCCGGCGAGGAAGTTCCAGAAATTGTGGCTCTAATTAATGAATTCCGAGGACGGGCATCCGTTTGACGTCTCAATCCACCATTGCCCTCGCGAATGTGGGCCGATCAATTTTAGTTTTGCGAATTACGCAAGGTGTCTTTCGATATTGTTTTTTCATATCTTCTGCGTCTTGATTTGATTTCTTTCTCCTGGCGTGGCAGCTAACACATACAAACAAGGATCTCAATCACAATAGTATTTAATCTAGAAATCATAATAACGAAACATTCTACCAGTAACCAGGGACGGAAACGCAGGTTTGAACTGCTTACATTACGTATTTCCCTGCTTGCTTGGGATGGATGTGGGTCGGGCCTGGTCTGAAAGGGTTGCGCATATCTCACATAAAGAAGAATTTTCGTTGGCTATCCTTGCGTTGGATCAAGCGAACAAACTATCCTGATGTACAGCTAACCCGTGCAGAGGTAGGTATCATTGATAGAATGGCCGACTGACTTAGACAACGTCATTGTGGACTGTGAAGAATCAGAATTCCTGTGCTATGAACTTCTATGACGGATCGTTTGCAAAGAAAATGCCTCGTATTATTCATACTCCATTAAGTAATGGACAGGCGCCAAAGCAGCACTACTCTCCAACCGTGGGCCATTCCAGGGGAGAATCGTCGATTTGCCCGGGTACCCCCGGACCGTTAAGTGTCTATTCTTCACAAATTAGGGTCCTGGCTAATTTCTCCTGCCGTGGTGGTATTGGTTGGCCAAAACTCCCCTGCCGTTAAAAAGCCATATCAGGGAAGGGTTGGCCGCCAAGAAGGGTCTTGTCAGAATTGTATAAGCAGTGCTAAGCGATGCTGGTCCCACTACGGCTCATGCATGCCAAGACGCCCGCCAGCATTCTGAAGGCTGACCAAAAGATTATCCAATAGTTGATAATGATAACTTGAAAAGTTTTCGATATTGCCAATGCTATGTGCATGCTTTGAAGGCTCATTCTAGCGTCCGGTGGCAATTTCGGCACACTATATAAACAGATGGCTTCTCCTCACCATCCAGGTTCTTTTCCCAGGCAGCACCAGATCCATTGAGCAACAATAGCTTTCTATCTCTCAAGACAAACCCAGAAAAATGCAGCTCAGCAAGATCTTCCAGACCATTGCGCTCCTCGGAGCCTCTGTCCCCGCCCTGGCGTGGAACAGAATTGACAAGGACAACGCGGTATGTCTCACTTGCTTCTCATGAAAAACCTTCCTAGTCACGCACATACTAACGGTCCATGTCAGGCCCTGCTCGTCATTGATCACCAGGTCGGCCTCGCCCAGCTGGTGCGTGACTACGGCACCAATGACTTCCGCAACAACATGCTGGCCCACGCCGCCGTCGGCAACGTCTTTGACCTCCCCACCGTCCTGACCACCTCCTCCGACACTGGTCCCAACGGTCTTCTGCTCAAGGAGATCCGGGATATGCACCCCAACGCCACCCTGGTTCAGCGCCAGGGTGAGGTCAACGCCTGGGACAACGAGGAGTTCCGTGCTGCCGTCCGGGCCACGGGCAAGAAGCAGCTGATCATCGGTGGTATCGTCACTGAAGTTTGTACGTCTGCCTTCTTCACGTATATCGATTGGAGTGGTGGCATTTGCTAAATGTTGAATTGGACAGGCACTGCATTCCTTGCTCTTTCCCTCATCGACGAGGGTTACGAGGTCTTCGCCAACACCGAGGCCAGCGGTACTTTCGATCCCCGCCTGGCTGAGGATGCCAACCGCCGTATGGAGAAGGCCGGTGTCACTCTGATGGGTCTCTTCGGCATCGTTACCGATCTGATGAGGGATTGGAGAAATACCCCCGGCTTGACCGAGGTGCTTCCTATGCTTGACAAGTACGATATCACCATTCTTATCTTTTCTGTGCTAAATCACTGACGTGACGCTTCTCCAGGTACCAATTCGCTTACGGCCTGGTTGCCCGCCACCATGCTGGTGCTATTGAGAATGGAACTCTGGCTCCCGTCGAGTCGACCTTGATCTAAGTTAGATCCGTGGTCAACCGAGACAAGAGTCAAAGACAGGATCATTACACTAGACTAGTTAGTCTAGGCAGAAAGGATAGGGGGCATCCAATGCTCATGTGAAGTTGATGGGATAGATAGATACACGCTATAAATAGAGGCAAATCGGCTTAGGGAATCTAATTCAACAGAACTATCTCCCAGCACTTCCAGAACCAGTTTCTTTACCTACTAACCGTTCCACAAAATCCCTTTTGCCCCAGGTTAGCTAACCAATTTATCCCTCCGCCATATAAACACAACCATGTAAAAGAAACGAGCCTTCTCCATATCTCAATCTCCTAAAAGTCGGTCATGTGCCTCAATCAACATCCACCTGGCCCCATCCAGGAAATCGAAAAGGGCCTCCTAATGATCTTACTCTTAATTGAACAAACACGCAAAAAAGATAATAACACAAGCTATGGATCTCATTTTCATTGATAGAATAAAATATAGAACGCTTAGCCCCAAATGACGCCTTTATGCTGTCGAACAACAATCCATCCTAATTGTATTATGCAAAACAATGCTATTCTGTGCCTTCCCCTTTTCGCCTAAAAGTAACCCAGGTATAGTGTTTTGAGAAATAAAACCAAACAACATCAGCGTACGTGTCGCAAGTTGGAAGTGACACTGTGTTTGCTGGCTTCAGTTGTCCTTCTTCCAGCCCTCCCATCTGGCAAAGTCGGCCGTGTCCAGATCAAACAGATCCAGCATGCGACCAACACTCTGATCAACGAGTTCATCCACAGATGCCGCCTTGATATAGTAAGCCGGTACAGGCGGGAAGATGATAGCACCAGCCTGTGACACGGAAAGCATATTGCGAAGATGGATATCACTTAGGGGAGTTTCTCTGGCGACAAGAACCAGCTTTCGGCGTTCCTTCAGCATGACATCTGCAGTCCGGGAGATCAAATCTTCGCAGAAGCCGGAGTTGATGGCGGCCAGGGTCTTCATGGAGCAGGGAACAACGATCATGCCGTCAGTCTTGAAGGAGCCGCTGGATACGGGCGCGGCCATGTCATTGATATTGTGGACGTAGTCTGCTAGGGCACGCACGTTCCGTGGGTGATAGTCTGTTTCGTATTTAATGGTTGCTTCCGCCCATTTGCTAATTACGAGGTGGGTTTCGATGTTGAGTCGTCGGAGAGCGATGAGGACTTTGATCCCGAGAATCGATCCTGTGGCTCCGGTCATGGCCACCACGATTCGCTTGCGTCGGCCGCCGGTTGGTACTGGAGGTATTGGGGTGGCTGTGTACTCGACTGGTGCGGACTGTGTGGTTGATTGGGTTTCGGATGCGTTGTCAGGGCTATGACGGCCAGGGTTTGGCGTATTTGTGCCAGAAGGAAGGAAAGAGGAGAGCATTGTGAGATTCTGATCAAGAGTACCAAGATGATATGTCGGTCAGGATTTGAAGTGGGTCAACAGAAAGCTTGATACTGGTGTAGTAGTAGTTGCCTTAGTCTTCACTACCGTATTGATGAGATGATGGTGCGAATGCACTGCGAGGTCTGTGTATTTATAGCAAATACCGGATATCCCTTGCCGGAGCGGCAACGGACAGGTAAGAAAACATGGAAATGGTTCGGGATCCTGTTCGACCAGATCCTCTGACATTGGCCTCCTGCAGATCATGCATCAAAGATGTATCAATCTCCGAGCCACCGAGTTCCGAAACAGTGGATTAAGTTCGAGAAGGCGTTTCCAGTAGTCTGGTTCCTTACATTATTTTATCCCTGGTGGGTCCAGACGCATCTCCTGGAGCGCTTTCCGAGCCTCCGAGCTGAACGAACCCTACCCACGTCCGAGGCCCCGAGCATCTCCTCGGCAGGATCAAACAAGCATTTGAGAAGATTCGACGCTGGAAGACGTACCATCCACTACCTAATCAAGTAATTCACAGCTGCCGATGATCCGTACTAGGCGAGATGCAGCTGTATATAAGAAGTCCAGGGGGGTATCCTGACAGCGGTCGACACACCAACACCCACACACTCCCACCGAATAACAGTTTAAGTTTGTATCTTACCATCTTAGCCAGCAAACATGGCCGCGTCTACCGAAGTCGATCATTCCTTCCGCGCTTTCGTCGAGGCCCTGAGGGCCGACGATGACCTGGTCGAGATCAACACCGAAGTCGACTCGAACCTGGAAGCCGCCGCGATCACTCGTCTTGTCTGCGAAACCGATGACAAGGCCCCCCTCTTCAACAACCTCAAAGGCATGGGAAAGAATGGCCTGTTCCGTATCCTGGGCGCTCCCGGCTCTCTCAGAAGGTCTAAACGCGACCGCTATGGCCGTCTCGCCCGCCACCTGGCTCTGCCCCCTACCGCCAGCATGAAGGAGATCCTTGACAAGATGCTATCCGCTTCCCAGCTACCTCCCATTGACCCCAAGATTGTCGAAACCGGTCCCGTGAAGGAGAATTGTCTTGAAGGCGATGAAATCGATCTCACAGCACTCCCAGTGCCGATGGTGCATAAGTCCGACGGTGGAAAATACTTGCAAACATACGGTATGCATGTTGTGCAGTCTCCTGATGGGAAATGGACCAACTGGTCTATCGCCCGTGCGATGGTCAAGGACAAGAACCACCTGACCGGTTTGGTGATTGAACCCCAACATATCTGGCAAATCCACCAAATGTGGAAAAAGGAGGGCAAGGATGTCCCATGGGCTCTATGCTTCGGAGTTCCTCCTGCCGCTATCATGGCCTCGTCGATGCCCATCCCGGACGGTGTTACTGAGGCTGGGTATGTTGGTGCCATGACTGGTCGCGCCTTGGAGCTCGTCAAGTGCGACACCAACCATCTGTACGTTCCCGCTAATGCGGAGATCGTGCTTGAGGGTACCCTCTCCATTACTGAAACTGCCGACGAGGGCCCCTTCGGTGAAATGCATGGCTACGTTTTCCCCGGCGATAGCCACAAGTGTCCCGTTTACAGGGTCAACAAAATCACCTACCGCACTGACGCCATCCTTCCCATGTCCGCCTGTGGTCGTCTTACCGACGAGACCCATACTATGATTGGCTCCTTGGCCGCAGCCGAAATCCGCAAAATCTGCCAGCTAGCCGGTCTCCCTATCACTGACACATTTTCGCCCTTCGAGGCACAGGTTACCTGGGTGGCTCTCAAAGTCGATACCGCCAAGCTTCGTGAAATGAAGCTAACACCAAAAGAGCTTCAGAAATGGGTCGGAGATGTGGTGTTTAACCATAAGGCCGGGTACACCATCCACCGCTTGGTCCTGGTTGGCGATGATATTGATCCGTATGAGTGGAAAGATGTCATGTGGGCTTTCGCGACGCGGTGTCGGCCCAATGCAGATGAGACATTCTTTGAGGACGTCCGGGGGTTCCCGCTCATCCCTTACATGGGCCACGGCACAGGCTCACCCACCACGGGTGGCAAGGTTGTTTCCGACGCTCTGATGCCCAAGGAGTACACCACGGGCGCTGATTGGGAAGCCGCTGACTTTGAACACTCTTATCCAGAGGAGATCAAAGCAAAGGTGAGGGCCAACTGGGAGGCTTTGGGATTCAGAAGACAGGAATAAATTATGTGTACAGTATATTAGGCATATAAATAGTGGGGTCGCTTGCTTGGTAATAGAATGAGTCAACGATGATAGTTTGTTTTGAAAGAGAAACGTGATAGGAAACTGGGCCTTTTTATCCACATGCTTTAGAGAAATAAAGATATCGCATGGCACACCTGTTGTGGAACCTCGGAGGGGAGGTTGTGCTGACTGGCGCAAAGGGCTGAAGTTATAGGTCGTGCGGAGGTAGGCAGAGAATGACTTCTACCATCGTAACGGAGAGTCCCAGTCCTAGATGACGCGAGTTGCATATTTTGCACACCGTATAAGACTCAATGACTGCTGGTTGCAGGATGAAGGCACCACGTCTTGTATTTTTACCCGTGGAGTTTCGGCTGATTGGCAGAACACCAATCTGATGGGTTAATAGGATCCGTAATCATGCATCGGTATTGAATCTAAATGTCGCTATAAGTGCAAGCTATTGTAAGAACGCATTGTCTTCGGAGATATTGAATAATGGAACTTTTGACGACGTCAGTACATGGCAACTGAGACACGCGGGCGCACCTACCGTTCATTATGGAATCCAAATAGGTCAACGGGGAGAAATCCGTTGTATTGTCTAGCATACCATCCGGAAAGCTGTCTTTTATCAATCACCAGATCTTACAGGCTAGGTGGAACCGACTTACTAGTTTCCATCCCCCATCGTCAACCCCCCACCAAGGCCGAAGCCGGGCATAAACATGGGATCTTGGGCTACAAGTTCATTGACATTAGGATTCAAGGGGGGGCAAGTAGTTTGGCCTTCCCCTTGCGACCCATTACCCTCTTGACCAGCTGCATTAAGCGGCGCGTTATGCACAGCATTTCTCAGGGCCACAAGGGCACGGATATGTCGCGCAGACAACCACTGGCCATCATCTGATCCGCCGATGGTGTCCTTCCTTGAGGGATCCGCCGTTGAGAATACCGTGATGACTCTCTGCTGCAAGTCTCGACATTCATCGTCATTCCGAGTTTCCTGCCAAATGCAGAGGAGCAATGTAGAGCTCAAGACTGTGTGTACCATTGACCAGGTTCGCAAGGGCACGGTGCTCAAGGTTTGGAAGTCCAAGAACGCATTCGATGCACTCACAAGGCTATCCTTGGCTCGGAGTCGTAGGCGGCTATAACGAGGGTCATCCGAATGGCTGGGCGAACTTCGGATGGTCGGCCGACAGAGCACTGATACGCAAAATGACATATGCATGCGAAGGGCGAGGTGCTCCTGGTGCTCCTGTAAGCAATGGCAATGTTCTCGGGAGAGCAGATGGGGCTGGGCACGGCTGTAGACATTATCTAACGCGCTCAATAACTCGGTGGCGCGCGTCAAATCCCAATGCTCGGGCTCCTGAGCCTTGGCGATATCGAGACCCAGTTGACAAAGGAAGTGCATCACATCCGTGAATGACAATGCCAATGCAGGTGTGGGATTAAGGCTCTGCTGCCAACCCGAGATGGAGACTACTGGTGGACGGTCATAGCAGAGGCTCAATAAGCAGTCCTGCCAAACAGTCATGGACCTTGACGGGTCAGCACATTCATTTTTACTGTGACTGGCTCACATCCTACCATAGCTTCTTGGCCTTTGAACGGACACTTTCTGGCAAATGTGAAGTGCCGCGTTCAGTGTGTAAGCCGACAGCTTGGGCTAAGCGGACGGTGGTCCCAAGCAACGCCCAGGCTGCGTCAGACTGCCCATTATTTTGCAACATGTTCCCCAAAATGAGCATAGCTTGGACAATGTCCAGGGAGGGCCTGAAAAGAAAATTCGCCAATCTCAGGGCCTGGAATGATCGACGTGCTGTTCACCATTAGCGATTAGCTCCAGCGAAAAAATCGTTGCAGTATCATACCTAGATCCTGGCATACTTCCGAGCGTTGCGGGTTTTCAAGATCAGAAAAGTGAGCACCGGAAGCTAAGGTCGCCAAAAGGAGACTGATGTGACCAATGGACTTATCGGAAGACCAGCGCTCCGAGATTCTGTTTGGGTTACTCAGTTCCCCAGATGCAACAGACTCCAAAAAGGTGCATATGGCGGACTCAACCCCATCAATATCTACCAAGATTGGGTTGAAAGGGTGTGCCGACAAGCGATGATGGTGAAAAAACCTATTCCCCGTTAATGCCGTTCGATCTTCAGTCACTGGTGGAGGCCGAGCCTACTTCAAGATCTCGGTTCTCTGAGGGAGTATGTCCAGAAGGGCACACCAACGATCTGTGGGATTCTTGATGTCCAGGAATGGATAATACTCGTATGTGTTCTGCAGGCCCAACACAGACCCTGCCTCTCGGGCAATAGAGCCGTCGGGGTCTTGGAGCCGGAGAATGGAGACCACAGAGTTCTGCCCCGAGAAGACATAATCAGAAGAGCGATCACGGCTGTTTGACTCCGAACTCGGAGCAGCTCCCGATGATGAAGTTGTATCCAGCGGCTGCGCTCGTTCGGTTTCCGCTCCATTAAGTGCCGACGGTGATGGAGTCAGCGGGGAAGTAATGCCGGCCGGTTGATGCGACGACAATGCATGAGCGGGATCCACCCTCCCCGACCGGGGGAACGAGTGTCGCGACGAGTCCTTCGACACATCATAGGCACAAATATGTGGATGGCCACGCTTTTGACATGTTCGGCAAGGATGACCGCTATCGCACTTGACTTTACGCTGGCGACAAGGATAACAGGCCTTAGCCTCGCGCTGCTTCCGCTTTAGTTGCAGCACCCGGTCGATCTCTTGGCGCTGCACATCGGGACTGCGGTGATTCATGTCACTTGTTCATTCATTGATTCATTCAGTTGGTCATGAATTGGTACACTCAGTTAATGAAGAGTGAAAAGTGAAGGAAAGGTTCGCAGTGGTCATTCATATCGGAGCCATGCTCAACTCTAAAGACTGGAGGATCCACTCCCGATCCGGAAACTCGGCATTTCCATCGGGATCCCGTGACATCACATGGCGATAAGATAGGAGGTTGGTGTTTGCTATGTTTACACTTTCCAACCAATGTCCATCAGCAAGAAGGACACGATGAACATACTAGTAGACAGTCGACGACTAACAGTACACCAGAGACTAAAGAAAAAACAGGGTCACGCCTGAGCCCCCATTTTCCAATAAGCTGGTATCCATTGTCGTCTGGCCTATCTTGTCGCGATGTTATCGGCGCTGTTTTTTTAGTTCATTTCCCCGTATCCATTAACCACAATGACGTCAGTCTCCGCCAGGGCGCTGACACGCATTTATAACCAAGGCACTCGCCGCGTCTCAAGGAATACCCAACCCACCCTTTTCGTCAAGCTCACTCTCACTTTTGCTGAGCTACATAATTGATTGTCCACGATGGCTTGGTCGATAGCACTTCCCCGAGAGGTCTTTACCTCGCCAATCCTTTCTGTCACAGCTCCTACCACGGTCGGGATGTTAGTCGGTTATCTGGTCAACCGTGAGTCGCACCTGAAAAGACTAATAATAAAGGGACCGATCACGTTAAAACTCTATACAGGCTCAGGAAAAACTAAGCGAACCTACAAATCACTTCAAAAGCCGACCTTCTATCCGCCGGCATGGCTATTCGCACCAATGTGGACCGTCCTCTACGGGGCCATGGGATACGCCGCTCACCACGCGACAGTGGCCGGATATAGCGCTCTGACCTCCTCCACCGCTGCACAGAGCTTGGGTACGAATTGGCAAACGCTTTACACATCACAGCTAGTGCTCAACTACCTCTGGATGCCCCTCTTCTTTGGGATCCGTCGCCCTGCCTGGGCATTGGCGGATATGTTGCTGTTGGGAGGGAACGTGGCAGCTCTGATGCAGACCTGGTGGAAGACGGATCGCACGGCCTTTTGGCTCATGGTCCCCTACGCGGGGTGGCTAGCATTTGCGACGTATCTCAATGCCGGTGTGGGAGTATTGAATAAGTGGACCATTGGAGAAAAGCCGAAGGATCAGTAAATAGACGTCGTGGTTCTGTATTTTTACCAATCTGATATTTGCGTCTTTCATGACTGCGTTTCTCGCTGTATCTTCTACCTCCAGGCTACATCTATTTCTACGTATCAGCTATGCAATGCCAGGCAAGGCCAAAACAAGAATGGATGATGTGCTATGCTAAACCTCAAGTAACCTAGACTCCCAGTGACTCATTCTATTGCCCTCTACATATTCAGAAAAAATTGACAAGTGCTGCACTTTTTCCTCAAATTCTGCTATCGTCTCGGCGGCACGCCGCCCATCGAACTCGCGCTGATAACTATCCAAAGCCCTTTCAGCCGTGGTCCGGAGGATCTTATCCGTGGTGCCCACTCTCGCGGTCAATAGGCAAATCAGCATATAAAAGGACCCCAAGGGACGAAAGGCCACCTGACTGTCCGACAAAAGGACGATCTCCTGCGCGAAGTAAGTCGATTCGACAGGGAGTACAGGGTCGTCTGGGTCCAGCGCCCGGGCCAGGCAGTTCAGGATAATGGCCACGGTAAGACCAAGTCCATACATGCGTTGATACTGCGCATGAAGGAGTGTGCACATACGATACATAGACCCGGTGGCAAGCGGCGTCTCGACCGAAGTTGTTCTGGCTTGTAATGCCGTCAGAACTCCCTGGTAGCTCTCATAGAGGTCCCGAGCTTCCTGCCGTAGTGACTCAAACCCAGCATCACCCGGCATGGTCGCTGCAATGCGTTCTCGAATCCCGGGGACTCGTGCAAGACAGCGCATCATCTGCCCGTCCGGCGTGCCCGCATCGAGATCGCTTTCCACCAGGCTTTCGTACTCCTCGCCGCTAAGGTCGATGCTGTTGACGAATAGACCTTCAAAGAGCTGTTGTTCGATTCAGTAATCATCCCCTGCTTTTGGATCATGGCAGCCATACCACAGGCCCGCGCAACGTCAGGAGTAGCTTTGCCTCGAAGTCATCTCGGGGCCGGAAATTCTTCCGTGCCTTCAGAATCTGTGCAGCCCCCTCTGCATGGCCCGATTGGATTTTACCATGGCCGGGTAGAAATCCCTGTCCATTGTCAGTAACAACCCCATCCCATAGTACGGGGAATTGTGAACCTGGCAGAGCAAGAGTATCGTGACCGCGCATAACGTGTCGGTGCTAGCCGCCTTGACCGGGTCATCCAGATAGGCATGAAGGGTATTTAACGCACGACCGTACTTACTGAGGGCCTGGACAGAGAGCTTCCGCGTGACGCAGAAATCCGAATGCATAGATATCACTGCATCCGCGGCGGTGTCCAGGGCCTCGTTTGTGCCCAGTCGAGGCGGCACATCTCGCAAAAAGCCCCCATACATCCAGACAAGATTCCATCGGATGTCCGTCGACGGGTGTATAGCTCGCACAAAGGCTTGACTCAATACTGTCAGGGCATTGCTTGGGTGTGGGGAGACCCGGCACACTTCTGTACGTTCCTTGTCGCTGCTAGAACTTGTCTGGTCCTTTGAACACTGTTCTTTAAGCTTTCCCTTCTTTACCATTATCGGGATGGTGTACTCCTGTTGGAACTTGAATCTCCGCTGTCCGGATCCAACACATGGTATGTTTAATCGCAGACATCGTGAACAGGTTGGTTGCTTCTCATCGCACTAGAACCAAGACATAAGCCACTGATGGTATACCGGGAGATATATTCACTCCATACCTTTTTCTTCTGGCGACGACAGCCTTCACACGCCCGTCCTGATGGTACTCCAGGCATGGTGTTCGCTGTCAGCGGCGCATCGTTGGGGAATACGGCTATCGGGCTGATAAGATATAGCAGATGCCAAGCCTTGGGCCGTCGCTTGGCAAGGCTGAGATTGAGGCTGTGAGCGTGAGCACTTTTCAGCTCGATAGTCGGTAAGATTTAAGGATCAGCCATGGGTTGAACGTTGGCCAATAGTACTGTCCACGGGGCAAAATAACAAGAACAAGCCAAGTCGAGGGATTTTTCCATTTTCTAAATTTTGCGTATAATTGGTCACCGTCTAAATGATACTTGAGATTCTTCATACATGAGCCGGGGTATTTTATTCCACAAATAATCCACAAGATGCCATACGTTCAGGGATAAAAAAAATTGAAAATGAAAATGGGAGGAAGAGAAGAAAAAATGAATTGGGTAAAAAGAAACAGACGCTGGAAAAGCAAAGAATAAATAAAACAAATATATGAATCCAAAGAAAAGAAGATCACCAAATCACGGCAGGTCCCGTCAAGTGTAGAGAGTGATGGCTCAGGCAGTGACAGCGACAGTGGTGTTCCGCGTATGCTGCAAGTATGCGTAATACATAAACGACACACCCGTGAGCATCAGTTCGTCCATAGCAACTCCACTGGTCGCCGGCGGGATCAGAATGTCCAATTGACCCAGCTTGCGCATGGAGAAAGAGGAATGCGGCTTGAACCGGGCTACAGTGACGTTGTTTTGGTCCACACATTCAAAGTTGAGGAACTTCCATGCACTGGTGTCCTTCCATGTAAAATACGTGTTAGGGAACGCCAGCGACTCATATGAGGTTGCGTTCTTCATGGTGCCGCGCACACGAAGATGAATGTCACGGCCGTGAAGCTTGATATCAATTTCTGGCTTTAGAGCCCGAAGATGCACCGTGGCGATGGTATGGTTCGTGGTGGCATTCTTGAATTCCATCTGTGGGTTTCTGCTGTGCAGGTCGGCCGTATAGAGCAACGAGCCTTGCCCAAGATCACTGATAGCAAGATGTCTAGATGTCCAACTGGAGAACTCGACTTTCAGGGAGCGCACTGCATTTTGGGTGTGATGCGGCTGTGGAGGGTACTGAGGGTTGCCCATCATTGGTTGCTGATAGGGCTGGGGAGGGTATCCATATGGCGGATTTCCTGGCATCGGCTGAAACTGTCCAGGGTATGGAGGAGGTACTGGTGCAGAGTGGCTAGGATGGTACTGCTGTTGCTGGGACATTTTATACTTGTGAGATGAGTAAATCGGGTGCGAGAACCCTCTGGTTTTCTCATCGGTGGGATAAGATGACATGGTGTTCTGTTGTAGAATGTAGAGTATTGAAAGGATCTGGACAATGAAAAAAGGTTGATTGTGATAGTTTGGTAGCGTAGAAGAGTGATTGTAGATTGAAGATGCACTTGAGACCGTCGTCTTTCTCCATGTTTATATCTACTTTGGGGTCGAATCTCACCCTACAGCGACGCTAACCTTTTTTGGCGCTACTCAGCGCTCCAACGCGAGGACAGACTCTGATTGGTCACTGATCCCGTGGCTTAGATCCATATCTTCCGTCTGATTGGCCCTATGGACGCTAAGCATGCATTCTGATCTTTTTTTATCCCCATTCGGACAGGGTTCCCCTCAGCCACCTGTCACGTTGAGCCCTATGACGCGGTGGAGGGCGATGCACTATCACACCATAGAGGATAACAAAGACCTCTCACTTAGTTTGTCTGTCGCTAGCTCAATCAAGCACGGAATCCCAATAAGACCCTGGCCAGTTGGAACAGACCTAACAGGGCTAGAAGTCTACAGCGTAGGAAAGCACAATCATGCTTCATGTCTACCATAGTCTCTAGCTGCATAGGACGGGGATATGAATGCATTGACTTACAATAAAATAATAGCGGAACACGAGGCGCTCTGCTATGAAACACGCTGTTATCCTTACCAGACCGCTGAAGCAAGACCAACATTCCAAGGCACAGTGTTCCAGAGCTTCTCGAGAGTACGCCCCACAGGGCGGCAAGCTCCGCCCTCAACCCCTTAGTGGGCTGGATCCAGAAGTCAAGACTGACAGTCGCAAATCCACAGTTCGAGACCGTCTCACTAGGATTCCTTGTTTTTTTTTTTGACTCTCCGTTATCACCTTTCCTGCATACTCCAGAGTACAACAATCTGGTGGTGTAGGAATGACCACATGTTTGTCGTGTTTGTCGTGTTTGTCCTTTGTGAGGCATCCTAGTCCGAAACTGGCTTAGACTCAACAAAGTCTTGTCTGTTTAGTAACCACGGGTTCAACTGGGGTTCAACCCAACCCCATCCAGACATATTTAATGGCGTTGTCTGTACTCCGCAGCCCATGAGAGATCGGCGGGGAGAGGATGGGGCGTCTTCTTCCCTGGCATTCATTTCCTTAACATTCACGCTATCACTTTGGGCACTTTTGGACTTCCCATTAGCATTTTGCTCATCAAACTCACATGTTCGTTCCACCACTTGCAGGGGGGATATATATATCTCTCTTCTACGGTGCAACTCAATTTATTTAGCACAATATGGAGGACATATTCCTGTTCGGGACTTTTGAATCAATATTCGTGAATAACCCCCCTTTGGAGTATAAAAAGGCATGAAAAGACTGTAGAAGGCAGTTCTCTTGAAACTGGATCGCTCTGGTTCCGCAACGACTGCATTGCGACATTTTGTCAAGACGTAAACAACAAGGGTAGGAACTAGTCGACGTGCGGAATCATGCTGTCTATGCATTTACGTCCATACGGCACTTTTGTCTCATGGGCGAAACTCACATTCTTCGATCGAGATCGACTCGAGACACTTACAGCTTACATCGGTATGCGCATACCAGATGCACCAAAGGTCTCCGAGCGACTCGTCTACCTGTTGGAGACGCTAATTTCAAAGATACATGAATTACTACGTCGAAACTCAAAGCATTGATGGTGAATACGCCCAAGCAACGCAACTGTTGTCATGAATGGCAATAAAGTACAGTGGGTAAAAAGTTACACGTGTTTGAGAACGCAAAACAGTTGGATATAGACTGAAAGGAATGAGCCCAGGTCAAGGCAGTGAAGTCATTGTAGACAATAGTCGCTCACAAGAAGATCATGCCAAAACCTGCCACCATCGCCGTCACCAAGTAGGCCCCGATTTGCCAAGCACCAGCCTGAACCGATCGAGGTGCTACCATGAGCCCAGCAGCAGAGTCCGATGTGGTGGAGCTGCTACTGTGACTACCGCTGCCACTACCACTGCCAGTGCCACTACCGGTTGGCTTCGACGAGACTGTACCGGTACCAGCAGAACCGGCCAGTCCCAGCAGCGACAAGCAGGTGCCTGTGGGCTTGATCGCCTTTTTGGTGGAGGCGGCTCTCTTGAAGTCGCACGCCGAAGCCCGGTTTTCCTTGCTCTGTTGCTGGTAATATTGGTTGAGGACAAACGAGAGTTGCTGCCGGGCACTGCACATGCCGTAGGCACCGAACTTTCCTTTAATTGCATCACGGGCCAGCCCATCACAGACACCTTCATTGCCGCAGATCATTCCGAAAAGTTTTCCATACTCCTGTTCCGACACTGAGTCCTTGACAACGCATGTGAGACCTTCTTCCATACACCCGCAGAGATCGGCATTGGGGGCTGGTGGAAGGTCTTGGGCGTTGGCCTGCCAATCGTCCCCAACCTTGGGGCAGGTTCGCGCACTGGCAGTCGGGCGGTAGTCGGCACTTTTCACACCCGTTGCGGTCGCCTTCTGAATTTGAGACGACAAACTGTTGAAGTCCGACATGGTGTTGATTTTCGACTTATCCAGGGTGACCAGGCCATAGTCGTTATCCTCCTGGAAGTACATGTACACGATGCCGCCGCTCCAGACATCATTCATTTGGTCGCTATAGAGCACTGGAACATCATCAAATGGCCGAGGTCGAGGATTGTTGCATCCGTATTCCGAGAAGAAGGCGGGAACGGGGTAATTGGAAAATTCCTTGGTACGTTCCTCGTAGCCAGACTCCTTGAAGGAAGACTTCCCACACCATTCATAGATATTGTAGCCGAACATATCAATCTGGCTGTCCTTGTCTCCACAGACCAGGTAATCTGCGACCTCGGCACGAACTGACTGATCGTCATCGGTAGAGTATCCGATTGCTAATGAGTCGCGGTACTTCTTCTGCTTGATGTAGGCCTTCATATCTCGGACTGCTGCCCTGACGAAGGCAATGGCTGCCGTGTTCTCCTTGGCATTGGCAACCTCATTTCCGGTGAAAAATCCAATAACATTGTCATACTTTGCGAATGCGTCAATCACATTTGTATACCGCTTGTAGAGATCAAGATCCCATTTGGGGTTTCCCCGCTCGATGGATTCGGTCGGAGAGGAGAGGTCAGAGATGAGGTAGATGCCGGCATCAGCGAGCATTTTCATGCACTCATCGTGGTTTTTGGATGGGTCGACGGCATATGTCCGAATCACATTGGTGCGCAGCTTGGTGAAATATGGGATGTCACGCTTGCAAGCCGATGGATCCGCAAGGGGGTCGGAATATTTCGTGTCGCCTGTGCCCGTGTGTTCCTCTAATGATGGCAATTTTGGTTAAGGAGACAGCATGAAGCACACAGAGAGGGAGGAGTCACGTACGCTGGTAAGCAATGCCGCGAATGAAGCTGAGAATCAACCAATCAGTAGGAGCCGAAGCATCCAAGGTGGAACTGTGTACTTACAATTGGGTGCCATTGTTGCTGTAGAAAAATTTGGATCCCTAACAGGCGCGGCTGTCAGCAGTAGTACGAGAGTCGCAATCGTCCGTTTCGCGCCCACCTTCGCGACAATAGTTGGCATACCAGCCAGAGCTGTTCCCAACACAGTGCCCAGTACAACGATGGAGAGCTTCATGATGAAACAGTGTTGTCGTAGAGTAGTAAGAACGGTAAACCAGAGCAGTTCACGGTAATGATTGTTGTACGGAAAGTCCGGGGGTTGTTACCCTGCGATGGCCGGGGGTAATATGAAAGACGAAGTGAGATGAGGTGAATGGTGATAGGAAGGAGACAAAAGAACCAGATCACACAAGCAACAAGAGGCTGATAGTGAACCCACATCCAATTATGAATAAACCACCAGGAAGGAAGGAACTACTGGACGAACTAAACAATTGTCGTGGTCGGCAAGACCAAGTGAGAGAGAAGGGAAACAAACTCAAAGAGGGCTACAACAGGTCACATTATCTGACAGACCCCAAAAGCGATGGTCATTGTCGGGTTTGAATCTATGTTCCACGTCTAACCATGTCAACCAGGGCGACTTTGGTATATTTCACCCCTCTCGATTTCTGTATGGAGCGTGATGGAGAGTTTCTATACATCCAAGGGTTTTTACTACAACTGTAGTAATTGAAAGGACCACTCCTAAGGAGCCCTACGCACAATCCTCTTTTTCTGTCAAGGGTGGCACTTGCTAGAACCTTTTAGTCTTGCCCAATGCCAAACTGTCCAAGTCGCTGGGCTTACATGGCTATTTTCTGTATTCGGGTCGGGATCGGTGGAAAGATTGATATCCTGACCGGTGGCTTGAGTGTTGGAAAGTACCACAGCAAGATTAGCAATAGTCTAGTAATAGTTTTCCTCGCCCTCTTTTCTGTTTCCTCAATCATTTTCCGTCGGTCGCATGTTACACGGAGAGGTTCTGACACCTCATCGTCGCAATTCTAAATGTCGTACGAAGACATCCTGTTATCTGATTGTTTGGAGAATTCTGACACAAGTGCAGGCAAGGATATTGTCCAACTTCCATTTATCCCCACAATGTAAGCACTACCGTCGGGTTTGATGTTTGACAGTAGCCTATGAATGATCAAAATGGCACGATTGAGGTTACATTAGTCCTTGGTCTCTTCCCTAAAGAGATCTTTGTCTGGCAGTTATTGGAAGAGTGGCAGCGGCATCGTTCCTACAGTTTCCGGAATAGTGTGAACAACATCTTTTCCGTAATTTTGCCCAGAGCCATTAACACCTCACTTCCTGAACGAAGAAGATCCAGGATCACCGCTTCTGGGAAACGACGTGACCGTGGTTCTATGCCCGTCAGCTTTCATTTGACTCGAGCCAGTTGATATGGTCGCCCTTACGATATTTAGGATTAGGATCTTATCTACCTGTCAGAAGAACGCACCTTCATTCCGTATCCATTTAGCACTCAAAACGATCCGCATTCCGACGGCAATATAGATGAAACCGAAGCTAGCGTTGGGGGCGGAAGTACTACTAGTACTAGGGCAGGGCTGGATAGGACGACTACTAGTAGCATAGTAATAGGCTGCACTGAATAACGTGTCACTTCCCGGCATATCAGATCCAAGGAAGTTTTTCTGTAGTACTACACACTGAGGCAATAGCCGATTCATGGTATCCGGAGGGCGGCTCTTCGGCTAGTATATGGAAGTGTATGTGAAATTCACGGCTGGTAAAACAGTCACCTATCTATAGCTATCTACAGAGCGACGCTGCCCTACATGAATGTTCCACAAGGCATTGAATGAATCGTCCGAATATGATGGTTATGTTATCTGTACACCTACGCGGACCAAAAAGAGCAATTCCGCGATGGACTTTAAGCGTCAGTGCATGTCACCGGTGCGAGGTCATGCGTGCATACAGGCTTATTTGGTCACACTTTCCCGAGCTTAGATGCGCCCTATTTTATCCTACTGGGAGAGGAAATGTGCTTGAAGGATGGAAATAACTGAAAACAGAAATGAGATACAGAGCGCAGAAGTATCCAGTGATAAAATAGTGTTGAATGCTGCCGAGGTGCCAATGTTGATTGGCACAGTAAATATAGTGACGAGGAAAGGGACTGGATAGGAACCCTGTAGCTCAGCTAGTTGTGGGTAAAAAAGTCGGAGAACGGGGACCTTTCTCCTGGGTAAATGTCTAGGCAGATTGACTAACAGAGCGCAGGATCTTGAAGGTGGAAGAGGAATATAGGACCTGGCGAGTAGTATGGGAAGTATTATTGCGTTTCCTGCCGCCCTAGACTTGGTCTAGGCATGGAAGGTCTGACTGATGGAATGCCCCGTTGGTGGCTGACCTCCAGCTTCGTAGTTTTCTATTACATATAACAAGGTAATTGCAAAAGCGAAGGTCAGAATTTCATTCACTATCACCATCCGAGTCATAGACCGCGGGATCTCTCGACTGTTTCTTCATAGCGGCACCTGCATCGATTCTATAGCGTCCTTCACAGGGGTCACTTGCAATGGCATTGTTTCTGGTGTGTTTGATTTGAGTTGTCCTTGATTGACCCAGCTTCTTGAAGCGTTTACCGTGTCCAACGTCGGGATACTGTCCAATATATTTCAACATTCCCAAGGCAACCGGAAATGATGTACGCGGATATTGGAGCCTGAAAGATGATCATGGTGCAGCAATCTAGCTTCATGCTGTCCACCCGGTTTGGGGAAGATGAAAGGCACAAGTTCCTCTAGGCTATAGGAGCTGCAGTGAACGATTGTGTTCGTTATTACCAGGCTGTCACCGAAGGCCATGTCAACTGCACCAAAGCGAAGAAAGTACAAAGATGTCTAAGCGGTGTGAATCGAAGATCTTGAAGACTCTTTAAGAATTGTAAACTTTCTGTTGTGAAGCTGAGAGACAAGAAGTTGTCGGTTGCAGAAACCTGAACACGTAAAAAGGTAGATTTGCTCGCTATTGGAAGCCTGAGGCATCGATGTTGCCAAAGGACGAAACGAAAAAGAAATTCCGGTGCGGGGAATCGAACCCCGATCTCCTGTGTGAAAGACAGGTATGATAGCCGTTACACTACACCGGATCTTGTTATTAAAAGCTGCTCAATTATGCATTATGTCTATTTAAAAGAGCATCAGAACATCGACGGAATACAACTTGACGCCGATATAAACTGGTGAGATTCAGTATCAATGCTTCTATATTTTTTCTTGCTGAATGATTCGAAGCGATTTAGTCTTCTGTCTTCCTTCAAATTAAGGCTTATCTTGTTCTTGGGTCCTTCTCTATGTATGAAGTGCTATGGTTGAAAGGCTCTAAGAGTCTGTACTACTTGAAATATATAGTGTTGAGAGTGGAGAGGTCAAGACGACCTTAGCGCCATAGGGTTCGGGTCAAATAGGATTTACATTTCTATTTCTTTTTCGTTTTCTTTTCTTTCAATGCCCTGGGAAAAGAGCTCATTGAAGCACTGTGAAGGCCACAGGCTTTGCCATGTGGATTGAGATTTTTCGAATATACATACACTTTACAAATACTCTTCTCCCTCAGAATGTATAGGGCTTACTGACTGATAGGGTCGCCGCTCACTCTACATTCGTAGTTATGAAAGATAGTTCCCTGATGTACATACTGCCAAAGTTGCATTAAGCGTTCTTAGCGATGTAATCTATTATTCTAGTTTCCAGAATATTGATCCAGGACAATACGTGTACACCTAGATGCTGGAACAACCCCCTCAATTCCCCGTAACCGTAGTAAGACATGTCGATGTACCGAGTCGCGGATAACCTCCTCATCGGACATCGTTCGTGAGTTGTTACTCGCGGTGGCGATATATGCTGAACTTAGAGCTGAATGGTGAGGCAGTTCAGGAGTCCCTGGAGATGTGAAGTTAGCATCTATTTCACGAACTAAGTCGAAAGGAAGTCACGCACAATGCCATTGCTCTCGCAGCAGGCGACCTGGTTGTTGCAGCTGCCAAGAAGAGCTAATATGGGATTAGCGATGAACATAGATGTCTTTCTACCAAGGTTCAAAGCTTACGAAGGCAGAGTGCCGGCAGGATGTTGAGGTTCAGTCCCTGGGTGAGACCGGAGCAGCACTTGGATTCCTGGTTAGAGCTGCACTGGGAACCAGAGTCAGAACCACCAGAGCCGCCCGAGTCACCACCATCACAGCTGTCACAGGGAGCAGCGGCGACAGCAGTAGCGACAGCCAGAAGGGCGATAACAGGGCGGAATTGCATTTTGGTAGAGGAGGACTTGGACGTGAAAGCGGACGAGAGGCGTAGAAGTCTTTGTTGCTTAAGAAAGAGGAAGAAGCGGACAAGTGACCTGTGTGTCTGATGAAGAAAGGATAGAATCAAGCAGGATGGTACGCAGTATTTATAGCCTCTCCGGGGTTAGACAGATGCCTGTGGTATACCATTTGCGTTTTGCTTGACTCGATGCATCTCTACTGCTTGAACCAGTATATTGCCATTCCAGGTACCGATTCCTCGCCCACGGGCACAAAAGTACAATAGGTGGTCAAACTGTTGCAGGGAAACATGCCACTCTAAGAGGCCTAGAACCTGGTGGGTCAGCACATTGGATGCCTCCAGTTGGCTGATCACTTGAGCACCCCGGACGGATGTTTTACTTCCACCCAGAACCTGCATGAGCTAAATATCAGATCGTGCTCTTGCATTGGCTCGATGCATGTTTGGCACCTGCTCCCCGTCAATCTGGGGGAGGTCACCACTGCCCTCGTGTTGACTAATTCCCACCATGCGCTTCGCCCCTGGAGGCAACCCGAGCTGCAAGAAGTGGACTCAGGGGCTACCTGCACCTATAGAATGTCCCGAGGACTTCAGACTGAAAACAGACAGCTTCGTACCAATGTTGAGCCCCGTGAAGAGGATTCGATCAAGTTACAAAGCGTCACTCGGATCTCATGTCCTATATCGTGTTTCTTACATAACGTATACACAATACCCAAGCAAATCCATCATTACAGCATCTCTGGTGTCCCACCGTCTGCTAAAGTTACGCTTCCTGACTAGGTATGTCATCGTAAATGACTAATATATGCAGTAAAAACAGGAAATCGCCAATTACTGCCATAGGCTGTAGCAGGAGAGCGCTTCAAGGATTTACAATTCGTCGAGTTCAGTTTTGCAACCTGCAGGTAGCCGGCTTGATGGATGGGTTGGAGTGCCCCAGCAGCACTCAAGACACGAACAGCAGACTGGTCACCTGGCTTGACGTATAGGATCGACAGTATATACACTAATCAGGAAGCGCTAAGCGTAAACTAGCCCAGGCCCACTCTTCGGGGGATTGGGGATGGGGGTTGCTTCCTATGGGCTGTTCATACAGCCGGCCCTTACCAGTGCAATTAAACAACAACCCCGGGTAGGCTTCTCCTTTCTGTAATGCAGCCTGTGGAAATTGGTTCAGTTTAGAAATCGCACTGTGGCCAACGGTTTCTGGTTTTTGCACAACCTCACCGAAATTCCTACCATGCCAAGATGCTTAGGAACCAGGAATCCCTGTCGGTAATAGAACGCTGAAGCGCCAGGCAGGTCCACATATGCGGAGATAGCTCCAACTGACCTTGTTTTGCCAGCTGAACAAATAGGGATGGATATATTTAGCGACCCAATGAAGTCATCGTGAGTCAAAAAATCGATAGCGTCCAATTGAGCTGACTTCGGGATTTGAGATTCTCCTGGCAGACATGCTTCATTGATCGTCCCTCGAATCAGAGATCATAACTCGGGGGAATCGCACCCTAGCCACTGAAAGAACACAAAGGTGAACATTGCAGATCGAACTACCTATTGAGTCACGGTGTTAATGCCGCCCGATTATAATACGCTCTACGTACGTTGGGGAATTTGCAGTCACATCTGTAGCCTTAAGATAGAACACCTGGATCGTATGTTGCTGTGTTTCCACAACAGAAGTTTGAAATCGGTCGGAATAGTTTGATGAGGAACAGCCACAAGCAGCCACAGAATCGCCTCACGTAGAGACCGTAGTGAGGCTATCAAGCGGGCTTGGCCCGAAAGGTGAATCATTTGGGATCCCGTGTCTATGGATGCATGTATCCATCCTAAACACGAGGAAAGATATGAGTCGTTTGTTCTGCCTGTTCATAGATAGTTGTTTGCTGTTTTATTAGCTCTGTAAGGAAATGAAGATCTACATTGCTTGTCTCAAGACACCGGGGCGGATGTCGTCCGGAAAGCGTCTCCCCGAAAAGATTACAGCAAGATTTGCATCGGTGTGTTGAGCACCTTCCATGAATATAATCTTATGTTGGGGAAGGGGTCCTGTCATAGGTATCTGATCGACACGATAGGAACACTGAGAGTGGTCAACGCTATGCTAGTGCAATAGCCCGTATTGTTATATCCTGGGAATAACCCTAGCTCTGTGGTACTGTCAATGCTTATCACCGTGTCTTCCCAGGCCTCGATGCTACTACCCAATGTGCGGTGTGATACGTTCACCGCAGTGTTTGCCAATGTATATGTGGACAGTTCTCCACTGCGCGAGTAAGGGAAGAGGCGCTGCTCCATGCTATCAGCTTATATTAAGGCATTATAAGGGGCCAGCCTCATAAATTGACCCCTGAGGCTGGAGACCGTTCCTGATAAGTTTTTCTTGCAGAAAGTTAGCACGACTTTAAGATCTGGGTAGATAGGTCCCAGGTACGGAGTTAACAGGAAATATGTTTGAGTTGCTTTAACTAATTCCTCTGTCTTGCTTTCTTTTCACTTGCTTCTCTAGGAATGCTTCGCTCTTTAGGATATCTTTCGTTCCAAACATTCATCGATCTGGGAGTCCTGTATAAATTCTCACTCGATAACAACATCAACCCCCGAGTGAAAGTTTGCATCCCGTATCGTTCTACACTTTACCCTGATTGTGTGGTAAGCAGTAGCCAAGCAACCGGGCGAGTATTACGTCAAACCACACACTTCTGCAGTACGGCGAAATAAAGTAGATTATTACGAGGGGCGCGTATATGTCAACGGTAGTACAGGACTTATGAGAGTCAAGCATGATACTGAGCCCCCGTGTAAAGCCCGGATTCCAAGATTGTCATGTGGTGGACGATGGATCCACGGAAACCCTTCGACGCGATCTCCACAATCCACTGCTACAGGAAAGCCTCCGAGTCAATGGCCTCTAATATAGCTATTTGCATATTTGGACGGTTCATCGATTGAAAAGGTTGGTATATTACCAAGTTTCAAAGACCTGAACCAGGCTACAGTGCGCCAAAGCGTCCAGCCATGACGTAGCCATATAAATCATGAGACTTATGTTCTCATGAAAAACAACCCAGGAGAATCATGAAGCAAAGTCCCATACGCCTGTGTAGAGACATCTCACCTAGTACTCAAGGCCCTGTAACGGCATGAGAACCGCCACGACCTGAAAGCAAAATTTCAATTCTCGTCCATTCCTCTCAGTATGGTAGCCCGCATGAAGCAGCAGCACGTTCTTCTGACAGGCGCGAACGGCTTTATCGCATCCCACATTTTGTCTATATTGCTGGAGGTAATATGCCGCTTAATCCAGGAGAGACGTCCTGGCTGACTCTAACAGCGTGGATATGCCGTCACCGCAACCGTCCGGTCACAGGAGAAAGCAGCCGCCATTATCAGAACACACCCATCGTGGGAGGGCAGAATCACATTTGCAATAGTTCCTGACTTTACGGGGAGGAAGCCATTTAATGAACTCTTCAGGAATGCAGAAGTACCTTTCGTCTTCGTGATTCACGCAGCGTCGTCGGTCACGCTTCAGGCAGATGACATGCAGAAGAGCGTAATTGAGCCTGCTGTACTGGGGTGAGAAAGATGCTCCCCTAATCTGCGAAGTATCTGGACGACATTAACATAGATAGAGTCACCGAGCTCCTCGAGAGTGCTCACCGATATGGTGGAATAGACTTGAAGCGGTTCGTCTTTCTGAGTAGTGTCGTCACAGTCTTGAATTCATTTCAGGATATCGCGCGACCGGGGCGTCCATATACAGAAGACGACTGGAACCATGTGAGGATATGACACTGATATGTTGCCCTCAGTAAGCAGGAACTAATGAATACGGAAGGTCACTGCACAGCAGGCATTGGAGCGTCGTGATGCAGCATTAGGATATACAGTCTCTAAGATCCAGAGCGAAAGGGCAGCATGGGAGTTTATGAAAACGAACTCCCCTGCTTTCGACCTCACCACTATGAACCCACATTTCACCACAGGGCCGATGATCCATCCGATCTCGGGTACAAGCTCCATCAATGCAACGAACTATCTTGTGATTGCGAGCCTTATTGATGGTGTCCACAAAGACGGCCTTTCAAATGTGCGCTTTCCGCATTATAACTTTGTATGTGTCCACATAATCTGCGTTTACCATCCGACGCGCTGATGACAGGGAGGTTGATGTCCGTGACGTCGCTAGAAGCCATGTAGATGCCCTGACAAACCCTGCGGCAGCTGGTCGACGAGTTCTTCTTGTTTCTGAACTCACGACTCCCCAACTAGTACTCAATATTATTCGGAAACATTTCCCGGCCCTCAGAGAAAGGGTCCCGGAAGGCAATCCTGCGCAAACTCTGCCAGATGGGGTCCGTCCAACCGACTGGGACACGCGCATTAGCCAGGATATCTTGGCCAAGGGAGCTGTCGACGGGCAATGGAGTTATATCAGTCTTGAGAAAAGTGTTCTTGATACGGTGCAGTGCATGTTTGATAACAACTTAATATAAATGCATGTCTGGGAGTTAGGAGTACGTCAATTTGACCACAATTCTCATCCATAAGCTGTCTCATGCCTCCAATTCACAATCTGTAGAGTAGCATACGGTGTCTCGGTTACTGACCTGCGGTGAAATAATGTTTATCAATACCACGAAAGGTTTTTAATGTTCTAGTGGCATGGCTGCTTATGATATGTAGTATATTTCTTGCTTCTACTTGCCCACATAGATCTCACCAAGGTAAAAGAACCGTCTAACCTTTCCACCTCCGATTACGATTCTTATCAAGCGTAGTTCGATTTGATTATAGTAACGTTCTTCAATCATGGGTTCATAGGAAGGTTCTGGAGGGAGGTTGCGAGATTTCCACGTCATGGAGCCGTTCTCAGCAACTTGAAGTTACTGAAGAAATATGGCATGCTTAGGTCATTGGCACGTACAGTCCTGGTATTAAAAATGACCACTCATAAAATCCCCTCATGGCAGCCTGTTAGTCTTCGGTGTGATTTACCCACCATGTTGCTTGACCTGTACCTGTGTCTTGTTCTGATATTTATCCTGGGTCTGTTGGGGGTGCACTACGTGGCGGGATATGCTAAGCGCTGGCATCTCCATGATATCCCAGGACCCACTATCGCTGGCTTCAGCAGGATCTGGCTGATTCTGCAGGTTCGCCAGGGGCATCGCTCCCTCGTCGTTCACGATCTTCACACACGCTACGGCAAGATAGTCCGCCTGGCTCCGAACCATATCTCCGTCGCAGACGAGTCAGCCATTCAAGCCATATATGGGCATGGCAATGGATTCCTCAAAAGGTGAGTCTACTGAAAGTGACCTATGCTTGTGGATAATCTGACAAGGCTTATCACAGTGGCTTTTATAATGCATTCCTGAATGTCGATTGGAGCGTATTCACTACGCGTAGTCGTGCCGAGCACACTCGCAAGCGCAAGATCGTCTCCCACGCGTTCAGTGCGAGATCGCTAGCCCAAGTCGAGCAATACGCGCATAACAATATGGAGCTTCTGGTCAGACAATGGCGCAAGATGATTGATTCACAAGCAGGTTCAGACGCTCGACATGCAGTGATTGATGCCCGGCCATGGTGCAATTATTTAACCTTTGATATCATCGGTGACTTGGCATTCGGTGCACCGTTTGGAATGCTAGAGAGGGGGGATGATACCGTGTCTATGCGGAGAGGGCCAAATAATCTAGAGGTCACCCTCAACGCCGTGGAAGTCCTAAATCATCGCAGTGATGTCTCTGCCACACTTGGGATTTGCCCGGATCTTATTCCCTACGCCAAGTGGTTGCCTGATCCCTTCTTCCGTCAAGGTGCGGAGCTATCGCCGACTTGGCTGATGTAGCTAGAGCGACAGTTGACAGGCGTCTTGATATGGAAGTGTCCATGGCAGAGAAACGTGGGGATCTTCTTGCTCATTTGATAGATGCTGAAGACCAGGCTGGTGCAAAATTGGGTCATCGCGAGCTCACCGGCGAGGCGGTGACCCTGATCGCAGCTGGGTCCGATACCAGTTCTAGCACGTTATGCGCCCTCTTGTACTGGGTCTCAAGCACACCACGTGTTCTGTGGAAGCTACAGCTTGCTTTGGATGCAGCCATCCCTGCTGAAGTTGATGTCCCATATCTGGCAATGGTGAAGAAAATCACTTAGTAAGTTAAAGCCGCTTATTTTTGGCTTAAGCCATTTCCTACTCCGAATATCAAAGCTTTCTCGAAAGATGAGCCAACTATACACTGGATAACTGCTAACGGCCCAGTCTTCAATGGGTTATCTGGGAGACGCTCCGCATCCATAGCACCTTTGGCCAAGGTCTTCCACGCCAGGTTCCTCCTGACAAAGGGCCCGTCGAGATATGCGGACACACTTTCTATCCGGGTGACGTTCTCTCCGTCCCTGGATATACTATGCATCATGCAGTGGACATTTGGGGTGCCGATGTGGAGGATTTCGTTCCAGAGCGTTGGGACCCATGCCGCCTCACCCAAAGGCAGAAGGAGTCATTCATTCCTTTTAGTCATGGTCCTCGCGCCTGCATTGGCCGCAACCTGGCTGAGATGGAGCTGTTTGTGGCATGCGCGACCTTATTCCGGTTGTTTGATATCCGCGTGGAGCGACAAGGGCCCTTGGAAGTTTGGGAGGGATGGCTCCGTAAGCCTGTCAGCTTGCAGGTTGGTATAAGGCATAGGTATCCTGATGCCCGGTCATTTTAAGATCGTGAACTGTCTGCATGTGGTATGTAGCTGAGGAGGGATTTCCCTACGATTCCAGGCTACGGCAGGCTTTCGGGTATGACTAGAATTCTACATGAGTTTCGTAAGGAATGAATCTAAAACATCGATGTTTGACCACGTTTCTATGTGCGCAAATCATAAATGAAGCTTGTGATTTTGCTTTTGCTTTTAGAGGTAGGATGTAACACATCATTTTACAATATCTATGAGAAGCACTTCCCCTCTCGAAATATGGTATCGTTGTATATATAGTCATCAAAATTCAAGTTTAGAAGCCTTACAGAGTAACATATAACAGGTTTGTATAAGCATGGACATTTGACAGGAGGAGATCGCTCAGGTATTCCATATCGCTTACATAGCAACTTAACTCCGGGAATAACCCGGAGAGCCTTCTTCAAGAGGACTGTTTCGCAATCAGATCTAACCAAGCTGCCAACCGATACCCAGCTTTCGCGATCAGTTCCTCAAAGACTGGTTGGGATTTGTCGTAATACTTGCCGGACAGGTCCGTTGAGTTAATGTAAGCCAGGCCGTCGTTCAAAACTGTACTGCAGACGTAGGTATTGGCGTCAGCTGCCCAGATCATTGATGTTGCCACAGGGTCTTTGATATCGATTCCGTTTGTCCAGGAGTCTTTCTTAGACGAATAGGCACCGGTCTTGATGCGCTCAGTCAGGATATCGGCATAGGACTTTGCGACGGACAAACTATAACCCCCTGCGGCTTCCTCAGGCATGTTGCTATCCCAGATATGATGGAGATTGGTTGCCTCTCCATTATACGTCACATCGATACCGTTACCACCGGCCTCGAGGTTCTCATCATGGAGGGGTTGGTGAGTGTCACCGATGATCTGCAACGTTAGAAAATTGGATCAAAACGGTCAAGGGACGTGACAAACATGAACAATGAATTTCAAGGCATTTGACGCCCCCGAGCCAGTGGGAGATTGCAACAGAATATTGGTCTAGGTATAAATTAGCTTCTTCTATCTTGGCTAAACGCAAAGCCACTCACATAATTTTGAATCGCGCTAATACTGCACCCAGCACTGCCACAATCCCGATCGTAATCAACTCCACAGCTCTTCGGTGGGTTATCTTGCGCGTCAATAAAATGATAGGGCTTGGAGAACGCTCCGGCGGCGGTATACTTGTACGAATCGGCCCACGTCGCGACGTTGGCCAAGTAGGAGGTGGAGTCATCGCCCAGAATCTTTTGACAGAAGGACTCAGTTGAAGAAGCAACGAAGCTCTGGGCAATGTAGGCCACCGTCTCGTGACCCAAGTTGCCCCAGCCATGACTGAACTGGGCCAGTGCCAATGTAGCCGCTGTGATGGAGAGTAAGCGCGGCATGATCGAAGAATGGGCTGAATACTACACTGAGAATGGATACTAAGGTCCTCACGGCTGCTTTCTGGTGCATGCTATATATAACTAGCCCTTTAGCAAAAGCCCCTCGTATTTCCTCGGCTGTTTAATGTAACTCTGCAATCAAAACATTGACCAATCGATAATCCAGTTACGGTCTCCACAACTCTGCATATATTCTTCCTGAATTTCTTTCCCGTCGGGCTTCCGCTAGCTTATCTGCCCATATGATCGTGTCCGAGCCTCGTATTGGCTGAAGTCAGTGGGGATTCCTGAGTTAGTCCCTTGTCGATCAACGGAACGTGTCTTATTATCTGGTAGATATCGGTCCAATTTCCAGGCCTGCCGGCATTTCTGCTTCCCCCGCAGGTTAATGTCCACCGATAACAGGCCGGCGTCTCAGTTTGATGCCTTGATATTATTATAAATGCCTTCTTAGTGGTCGGACCGGACGCTAGATTAATCTGAGGCTTCGGCAACAGGAAGCTTATGATTGCGATGAATATTGAATCGTCTTGAGCTAACATGTGCTCCGTTGATATGTTCGTAGCCATCTAGAAATATAGCGGAGATCTATTGACATAACATCTGTTTACAGTAGCATTTTAGCCGATTTAGTTCATTTTTAAAGGCAAGATTGAAAGGCCTTATGGTTTCAGAGACCGACACACAGCCAAACGGCCCATTAAGAGCAGCGTCGCATGAATCGATGGTGTCCTGCCCATGGGCCGCTGGATGTAATTCATGAAATAGTGAAACCAAGAGTAAGTGGTGGGTGGCCGCGCATCTAGTTCCTCCCTCATAATCCCCCCCTAATGTTATTGAAATAAACTTGACTTTGTGAGTGGTACAGGCTCAACTAGTCAAAGCATATGATGTTTCAAATACATGCATTCTTGGATTGCCAGCATATCAGTCTCTCTTAATTTCAAGCCGCTTAACGCTCCTCAGTCCCCCAAAGCTCACTGCTACAGAGGCAAACCCCAGTGCACAGTTGTACGACCATCCGGCCTTGTATTTCTTTAAAAAGACGTTTGCACTTTCGGCATGATGGGTCTGCGAGGTGATTTGACGTGCAATGAGTGCCGATGTGGCTATCCCAACACCCTTCCCAACCTGAGCTAGCATGTTAAAGACGCCGCCGGCCAGCGCCTGCATCTTGACTGGGAATGAGTCTGTCATAACAAGGTTTGCGATCGTATAAATTAGATCAGCTCCTAACGGATTCAGAGCCATGGTTTGGAAGACACCCTGGCCCGTCGACGCCGCGTAAGATTGCGAGCAGGAGCGGGGCGATACCACTCGCAAGATATCCGGCGGGCACCGCGATCGAGGGCTTCAAAATATGGGAGTGAAATGCCGATCGCGGCGTTCATCAACAGGCCACGCACCGGTGCCGGCATGAAATACAAAGACGCCGTCAAAGTCGATGTGCCGCGAGCGTCTTGGAGGTACAAGGCTGTGAGCTGCTCACTCGCATTGAGGGTGCCCCAGACAAGAAACACGGTAATGCAAACAGCCATAAACGGCACGTTGGTCCAAAGCGAGTTTGGAATCAGTGCCGGACGACTGGGTCGAACTTGTCGCCGCATCCACAAGGCAAATACAAGTATGAGTGCCAGTGCCGAGCAATGGAGGACAAGGTTGAGCGGCTGACGCATACTCTGATCCGCATCTGAGCCGGTAGCGACGGCTAGTTCGTAGGAGAGAAGCGCAAGGCAAGCACTAATCAGCAAAGCGCCAACCCAATCGATATCTCGGTGCAGACGCGCGAGGATGCCTTCCCCAGCGGACCACCATCCACGCTGTTTAGAATTACCCACAGTGCCAGGGCCAGCAACGCGCTGTTGAGCATTGCGGAAACATAAAATCCCCAGCGCCGGCTAATTGTGTCCGAAAACACGACACCCAGCGCCAGGCCCAATCCAAAACCAACCGCCTGACCACCCCCCATGGCTGCGAAAGCATTGCTGCGGCGATGTGGGCTGCTATTGGCAGGAAAGACGTGAGCCAAAACGCCGACAGCACTTGGCTGGCAGAAAGGTGCGGCGAGGCCCGCAATCACTCACAGCGCGATCAGTTGCGTTCCTGCCGCTGATAGTCCAGCGCCCAGGGCGCTCGCGGTCTGAAGCAATCCACCAAGCAGACACGCGCGCCGACACCCCAACATATCAGCTGCAGCACCACAAGGAAGCAGCATACAGCCACAGGCGAGTGCAAATGCTGCGGTTGGCCTGAGCTGGAGCGCTGAAGGAATGTGGAGGTCAGCCACAATGACTGGAATGCACACAGTGAGCAGCCCAACAAGCAGATTGCCGATACCGGTGATACAAGTAATGCTGGTGATGATAGCGACCGTTTGGGTAATTGGAACAAGTACTTTGGCTTCCTCAACCCCATCAAGGGAGAGCATACCGGCCGGGCCTTGATCTGTAGCTGGGGTTGGTTGTGCTGGCGGAGAGGTAGAGCGAGCGATGCCCGTGGAGCCCCTATGAGCATCTAACATGATCGCTTTGCAACAAATAGAGTTTCCTGATAGTTAGAGAAACTTATTCAGTATACCCCTGGAACATTCAGATATTTGATGGGGCGATATCATAAGGAATAGTCAAGTCACTCCGTAGAGGCTGTTGAACATGTGGCAGGACAGTGTCTCGGTTAAACGTTTTAACAGGCCGTGGTTTTTGATACTCACGAACTGGTAACCTTCCCCCATCTGGCCTTATATAAACAATCCCCGTCGCACCAGCTGTGGATGGCTCTCACAATTCCCAGAAAATAATAAATCAAGAGAGTAGAGTGGTATTCTCCAGTTCGTGGCTTTTCCAAGTATACGTATGCATGCCGATAAGCTTGTAGACAAACAGATGCCTAGTGATGCCATGACGATCTCTGTTCCCAGTATCAGGGTACATGTCTGCTGCAGGGTGCTGGTTTGAACAAATATCAACATTAGGCGACTTTCATAATGTATTCAAACGGGAGGGAATCATACTGCTACTCAATGGGCACCCTATGATTGCATGAGGCTGCGCGCTCTTTGCACATATCGCAGCAGGCATGTATGATGTTTCAGGGCGGAAACAAGGTGTCACTATGGCTCATGGTTTTCTTAAGCTGCCTCAGAGACTTGAGGTAGTGGGCAAATGTTGGCCATCGTAGAAGATGCTGGATCCAAGCCGCAAGACCATGCATGCACAGTGGCACTATATGGTGAACAGGTACAAGACTCGATGAATCGAGCACATGCGTAGCACTTACACATGTGCAATCAAAGCCTAGGGAAGTTGATGCCATATAGGATAAAAGCGAAGAACACATGCCTTAGCAGATCTGAGCATCGAGCAGGGTGATTTAATCAGCGAGATGCATGAACAATCGCTCTACACCCTCGGGAAAAGATGATAACACGATGTAACCATGTTATGACGGCACTAAAGATGGGTGCTCTCTTACACTCGCCATAGAAATTAAATGCAAGACGGGGAAGATGCACCGTAATGCCTTATCCGGAGATGGATTTCTCAGTCCTCAAGACCGCGACTTCGTACATGTAGGAAACCCACATGAAATATGCGTTCTAGAGAAACTAATGATTTCACTATCACAGGCCTTGCACCTACAACCTGTCAATGGTAAGAGATAACAGTCTAAGTGGACCCTTTCCCACTGATTACCCGCCTCTGTAACCTGGACCGAAGGGCACTGCACATAGTTCTTGAGACTTCTGACCTCATGTAGAAGACACGCCGGCCCGCTACCCAAATTGAAGGTTATACGAAGTGTCATCTCGGATTTTCCCTTGGCAGAACTTGACCTCGTATTGCGTCAATTGTGTCAACTGTGACATTTCTAAATCTCTCACGGTGAAGTGGCCTGTGTTGCTGTTAGTAATTCGGAGGCGTACCTGTTATGTTTAACAAGCAAGAACCAAAAGAAAGCCATGATCAGGAATCATATCCTACTAGAAAACGGCATACAGGAGGACGGCAGAATGGGAATGAGAAAGGTATCTTCAGCGGGGAATTCCCCGAGGATCGCCTTCTGCATGCTATTTTTAGCATCAAGGGTCTACCACCTTGACGATCATCTTGGCATACACAAGCACTGCAGAAGCGCCACGATGATAGGCTTTACGAGCCACGAAGGTAACCCAAGATTCTTCAAGAAGTCTTGGCATACTACCTATGCTCGTACCTGAACTTTTATCCGGAATTTACTATTATTGGATACGATTCTTCCGTGATTCATGGACTGTGCAGGGCCAATAGGCCGCTAAAGCTTATCCGAGGCTCATTTCACATTTGGACAAGAGTATGGTCGGTGGACTTCAGATATTGCAGATCCTGATGCCGTCTATCGTATCGCGAGGGATCTTCTCTATTCTCCAATCATACGTCGAGAGCTTTAATGATATTCGTGTTGAGACTCGTAAAGAAAGGTAAAGAGCTTCTTGGCGAGAGGGGACGAAATGCATCAGGTTCACAAGCAGACACAGAGAATGTGCCGAACTATACAGCAGAATGGGGGCGGAGCAAGATGTAGTCTGCTGAGTACGAAAAGACCTTGTCCAAAACGACAACCCATGACAGTCATAACAGTCCTTCGCGAATATAAAAGATGGGCCATCTCCTGTCATGTAGCTCTTCTCAGAATCATCAACAATCTCCCACAAGCATCATATCCACTACCTTGTCTACACCTTACGGCTGCTAGTCATTTATCAACATGAAGAACATCTTCGTTGCTACCTTGGGTCTCTTCGCTGCAGTTTCGTCTGCCTTGCCCTACACCACTCCTGTCAATGACAACCCTATCTCTGCTCTGCAGGCGCGTGCGACGACATGCTCGGCCAAGGCTACCGATAACCTCATCTTCAAGGTCTCCATCAAGACCTTCCAGAAGGCGCGCAAGGCCAAGAACCCCTCCAAGTGCAACTGGTCATCGGACAACTGCTCCAAGTCGCCTGATAAGCCTGATGGATACAACTTCATCCCCAGCTGCCAGAGACACGATTTCGGGTACCGCAACACCAAGAAGCAGAAGCGCTTCACCAAGGCCATGAAGAAGCGTATTGACGACAACTTCAAGAAGGATCTCTACAAGTACTGCAGCCAATTCTCTGGCTGGAGCTCATGGAAGGGAGTCGAGTGCCGTCGCCTTGCGGACATCTACTATGCTGCTGTCCGCCACTTTGGAAAGCGCGATGAGGAGATCGAGTTTGACCCTGAAGTTGAGTTCGAGAAGCGTGATGAGGTGGCTGATGTCCAGCCTGACGAATTCGACAACTTTGACGGTTCCGAAGTTGACCCTGATATTGAGGGCCAGGTCATCCCCGATGTTCTCGAAAATGATGGAGTGGATGTGGAAAACCTTGACGATATTGAGAACCTTTAAGTCTTCGGCTTTTGTTCTCGACTTTGCGAATGGGTAGTTTGGATTCCGCCGGAAGCCAATGGAGGAGGGACACCAACGCATGTTTTGTCACTTTTTGGATTACCTGCTTTGTGAATCACTGTTTTGAGGCCTGATGTTGTAAATATTGGATTTGTTCAATGCTTACGCTGTTATCATTAAAAAATGAACAAGAGCAATTGCGACTGTTTAATCTTGAAAAAAGTAGGAGACCACTGAGAAGAGTATGATAAGTGCATCTACCGTTCCTCTAAAGTAGGCGATGTCTAGACTTAGTTGTATTCTTTGCTGCAATATCGATAGCTAGTCCCTGGCATAGCTACTCTTAGCTCGTACCCAAATTCACATTCGATTTGATGAGGTCTGTCTGAAAGATATATCTTTGAAGTGAATTCAGATCTTGGCACATTGCATTTAAGAAATATCCATCATCAGAGGTAGTACCAGCGCAACAGATTTCCAGATCTATGGAGTGTCATTCTCAAGTTTGTATACCCAGATTGTAGATCAACGATGTGCATAAATATATATTCTACACATGATACGAAAGTACGTTTGAGGTTACAGGTAGATAAGTGATTCCATATTCTTTGAACCTGGATTTTCTCAATGCCGGATATCCATAACAGGGATATAAATTATAGCTCCGTCCTGACCTGCGCTGTCTTTCCGGAGGTGCACTCAGAGGACAGCAATGGGATAAACAAAACTTGCAGCAAATCGGGATCGTCGGGTGCTTAGTACTGATTACGTTATCACGAACTAGCCAACTAAATTCGCAATAGAGTGAGTGGGTCCAGAATTTCAGACGCTTAAGAGAACTGAGAGCTCTCCCCTTGCTCACCAACATTGACCGATCCAATCCTGTGTCGTCGAGAATCCAATCTCTTGCTCTGTTATTAAAGTCCGGACAACATGGCTGAACATCCTTCCTTTACTCTCGCTGGTCTTTGTAAGTATCCAATGGATAGGTGAACTCAGCATCACGCGTTGCTGATTTTCACGATGCAACTCAGTGCCGGTAGGGGGTGTTGCTGGATATATGCGGACGGGCTCAGCGCCTTCTTTGATCGCAGGAGTTGGACTAGGAATTTCCTATGCGTTTTCAGGTAAGTGGTAGTGAAGAAGTATGCATGCGAAATAGCAATATGCACTGGATAAGCTGACCGCCCGTCCAGGTTATCTCATTAAAGAAAATAAGGACTATGGTACCGAGCTTGCCTTGGGAAACAGTCTCGTCCTGTTAGGAGCTGGAATCTCTAGAACCATCAAGACCAAGGCGAAGTCACCTATACCTATGGCACTTGGAGCCACTGGGTTATTAGCATCATACTACTACCAAAAGAAGGTCCGAGAATTTAGGTACGGGGTCTAAATCGTACAACATGGCATCTTCGTGATCGAGGCCGCAGCAACTGGTCATATGTTAGGTTGAGTTTGAGATTTTGAGTCAAACCAGCTATCACGAATGTGAGCTGCCTTTGTGTATCTAATTAGAAGTAAAATCTATGCTCTCATTTGAACGGGTGCCGAAATTTCACCTCCGTATTAAGTATATAATGTCAAACTGGGACACAATGGTATCAACATTCGTGCAACATAAAACCTATGAAGCGGATCACTCAGTTTTCAGTCTACAGTGAATAGAGAGCAATTACTACCCTTCAGGAATGACTTTGCACGGCTACTATTGCACTGATTCATTGTGGAGACCCAGAATCGATCCCGCTTATTCAGCGGCGACAGAACGATAAACTGCTATAGAATCTTCAAATCCTGCAAAACTCCTTTGGGTGTCTCGGTGAAAATATTACACACTATTCTCTTGCTATGAGACTGGATCATCGGCAGCATATCAATCCATATTGCTGGTACAGATTAGAGCAAGAATCGGAGTGACATCTTAAGGTACCGAATCCAGTTCTGGCTTCGTGGAGTATCAAAGACCGGCATATCAAATCAGCCTGTGAATTAGTGGGAAGTATTGACACTGAAGAGGCATATGTACAAGTAAAAACGAGCTTCCAAACATATCTGTAGTTATAATGACATCAGGTCTCGGTCGATTGACTCAACGTAACTAGACGGCTCTAAGAATATAGAGTGCCGGCAGAATCACTACAATGTATGGCCATGTCGAGTGGGCACGCAGCAGAGACTATGTCAAATGATTGGTGCAGCGGTTTATTGCCAGCGTTTGCTTATGCCACGAGAAAGCCGACCTTGATATGCTTGAAGAAAGCCCCAACTGTCGAACCTTTTTTTTTTTTTTTTTTGAATCATTCCAGCGACTACAGTCAGACAGGCGTTCATATTCCCAGACAACAGCATTACCCCTTAGTACATAAACAAAGAGACTTTTAACTACTTGCCTCAATTGCCCTTCTTATTTCCAGTGAACTCCTACGTTTTGCAACACCAAAGAATAGGGTCCAAATCCATGACTTGCTTTGCACCGAGCACAGACAACGTGACCTTTACCTCAGGCATGGGATTGGGGTATGAGCTGCTCTTGATCTTCGTAAGGCTCATGCGCTACGCCCTCAACACTCAATAATGCCTCAAGTTCACCTGAAGCATCAAGGGAATTCGCCGACATGCCTAACGACACGTCACCAAGATGGCGGGTTCTTTCTACTTTCATTGAGAATGAGACTGCGCGTTACCTCCACAGTAGTTTGATAAAGTCGGGCGTTAGTCGGGTAGCGCACGCGAAGCCGTAATTGATACTGGGCCTTCTGTTCTTCATTGACTCTGCCGCTATTATTCCCATTTGTTAGAAGGTGTAACATAAATAACTTCAAGGACTTGGCACCGAGGTGAAGAGCCAGTATGCAACGCCATAAAGAAGCAGCGCCCGGAACGAAAAATATGGGAACAAAGACCTTTAAGGGGCAGGGCAACGACCCAATGACTGCACATAGGAATCAGCGCCAACATAAATAACTCGCATAAGAACCTCCAGAGACAGCTCTTGGAATGCATTCCCTTCCACCCGTTCACCACTATTCATTGACACACCGGAAAGATGCAACTACCCCAGATAATTGCTCTCCTGGCTTTGCTGGCCTCAGCCTCCGCCCATGCCATCCGTCGGGATGAGGCTAAGGCCGATTTCTCGAAGACCTGCGAAAATATTACCGTTCGAAAGGGTGGCAACCACTTGGAGGCAGAATGTACTAGCACAAACGGGGAAAAGATGAAAAGCTCTCTGGACCTGAATTTTTGCATTCGCCACACATATGGGGGTATGGAAGCGCACGCCGAGTACGTATATCTTCCCCTTCTTAGTCAGCTGCGACTAACGTGGTGTAGCGGCCATTTCTATGGAAACCCCGGATGCACTGGTTGCCAAATTCTCAAAGATTCGCCAAATACTTTACAATGCGTGTGCGGGACTTCACAGGTGGGTGCCTTCAAAAAGGCAACACTGGATTTAGGTAAGTTTCTCTACGCACAGCATCGTCGTTGAATTCTAACAGAGGCTTCAAAGACATCATGGTGTCGAATAATGATGGTCTCACTGAGTGCTATGGGCACCGCGCGGACAAGATCTAAGCTCCTTGAAGGATTTCCCCAGATATGTCAAAGCATGGAATGATCTTGCCCAGGGTGTCAACCGCATTCATGTGTCGATGTGTCAAGATGCTGTGGACATGGTAATAGCTAGTATTGGCAGCTATGGCTAACATCAAGATTTCAATATATGGCCAAGGTTGGATCTTGTTCGCAATGAGACAGTGAAACTGCCCACCCCTGGCATGGTCTCCTTAGAAATAACCCTTATCATTTAAGACTGAGCTATAATAAGTATGCCAAGCCTTGTCACTCTTGTGGAGTATCGAATATACAATAGGACGAGGGAGGGACGCGGCTGCGGGCACCGGGCTTTCTTTGTGGTAACCTAATTTCGGTGCAACGTCACATACTTTGTACTTTGGAATAGAAACCGAGTTTATAGTGCTAGCGAATACTAACCAAATATTGAGAAATACAGGGCTATTTTATTACAGCGTAGTACAGGACTGAGGAGGGCTGTTACATGGTACGTCTACTGACCCACCGCATTCCTCCTCAGTACTGCTTACCCCTCCAGCCCTGATACTTTAGAATCAACTTCAAGGGATCTAGTCTCCCAATTACATCCCGATAACCCCATCGACTTCAAGGGCGTGCAAGTTACCAAGGACCTACAAAGGTTTACTCAACTATGTAGTGGCTGGGATACGTCAAGCACAAGTGAGTAACCCCATAATCTATCCCTGATATTTCCGTGCTAGCGACTAAAGGATGATTTGTACTTTGCATCTATACAATTACCATGGCGGAAATATTCTTGTTATGGTTTCCGAGATGGTGGAACTGTATGTTCATTAATCAACAAGCATACTAAATACATAGTATTGAGGCAGATCAATTTCTAACATGGCATAGCCGTGTTTAGACAAAAAGGCATTGTTCGTCTCCAGGAGCAGCAGGTACGGACACCGTGGTAGTGATTGTCACGATCTTTGCTTCTCCAGTCACCTCACTAGGCGCAGCAGTGACGACTGCGGAAGGTGTAGAGAGTCCAGCGTCGTTGGTGCCAGCCGGGACTGGGGGTGGGCGTGGGGACTTGTCCAAGGTCACAGGGTGGGAGTAGTCTGAGCACCAACCAATAGTCTTAGGCACAATTCCGGGCTTCACGTATTTTGAAGAGGCAGTGACAGTGGATGAGGGAGCAGGGAGGACGTGGGTGGAATGCAGGTGGTGGCTGGAATGAAGGCCGTGGGAGGAATGATGAATCAGACGAGAACTGGAACCAGTAGGGCTCACCGTGACATAAACGGTCGACACCGCGCTGGTGGGACCGCAGGTGGAAGCTGGTGGTGGGGGAACAGAGTCGGCACAGCTGGTGCCATTCACAGGTTCGGAGACCGTAAACTGGTCACCCTGCGCGTAGATGATGTATACATTGGTCCCGTTGATGGCGCTGATTTGATAGCCCCATTCGGGGTTGGTGTCGCAGGGGATCTGCACTGCGTAGGACTGATCGGCGGTGGGCACATTCTGAGCCAGAGAAATATAAGAGGGCGGCCAGGAAACAAAGTTCCACAAGTAGAGGCTGATCTCGGTGGGATCCGTGTCCACCGTACTCCAGTTGACCGTTACTGTAGATCCGGCAGCGTAGGTTGAGTTGGCGCCCGGCTTGTTGATGCTAAGGGCGGAAACCAGGGGGGCGAACCCAATGGCAAAGGGGAGCAGAAACCGCATTTTTTCTTCCTTTTGGAGTTCCTTTACGGTATTCTCTTTGGTGGCTTGGCGGTATCGGCCCGAAATCGATATCAACCCCTGAATAGATTGACACAAAAGGAGTCTAGGAGGGGGAAAAGAGTGATAGAGGAACAACTGGACAGAAACGAGCGACTGATGTTCCGATTGTACAAACGAATGACAGATAGTTAGAAGAGAAAGGAGTGTATCTTCACCTCAGAATATAGATCTTAGGGAACTGGGACTGACAAGAATTAAGTAAGTAATGGTTCCATTTGCCGGAAATTAACAATAGGGCAGACGAACCCATGATCTTTCCAGGAAATGATAGTCAATCAAACTAACGGTTTTTGCTCCGGCCGTAAGCCTCCTTGGGCTCGTGGGTTCCTCAATCATTGGTGAGGTTTAACTGGGCAATGAAACCCAACGGTCTGTGCTCGCTTAGTGCCTTGGCTTCTGCTCAAAAATAGATGCTTCCAGGCTCATACTATTGAGAGCAAGGAGCGCTACTTCATTCTTGGAATGCTTCTCATGTAACCTTGGACAGGCGTAAGCAGGTATTAGTTATAATCTCCTGTCCTAATTGGCTGCGAAGTGATGTACAAGCCACACAGGAGAAACTAGGTCGAGATGTGTCACGTGACGCTCTATCCATTTTCTTTTTCGGGGCCAAATGGTTTAATGAAAGCGGGTCTCTGGGCACTAGGACCCAAGGTGACATTCAGTCCTCAAGTTCTCTATTGTGCACAGGTCTTGACTTCGAGGATGTTTACAAGAACGGTCGTTATAAGGTGGTGGACTAACAAAAGTCCAATTCTGAGTAAGATATGAATTTCAAGACCTTTATAGGGAAGCCTATGGCCTTGCTCTCCCGGCCCAATGAAGGTTTTTTACAAGTTGTGGCAATTGCTCACATCAAGAAGGGCAAATTGACAGGCTTTCTTTATCTCCATGCGGGTAAGCTCCGAAGACTTGGTGAAAGCCGTAACCCCTGTAGTCGCTCGTATCGTGGACGGTCGTCTGTCAAATCTCACAAAAGAAGAATAAACAATGGCTAGGGAGTTTTTGCTTGTAGCGAGTATACGATAGGGGAGGGGGAAACATAAGCACCACTGGAGAGCGCTGCATTGCTCTCGTTGGGTGTAAATTGTATTGTGCCCAATACGATTATATATTAATGTCATTGCACTGGAGACAATTGTCAGCGTAATGCACAAACGGGCTCGGATGGCGATTGGAATAATTATCTAGGATTCTTCGGTGTAAATCTAGATTCCCACGTGGGATATAAATCCGAAGATGTATGCTAAATGCCAAATTATGCTATTGTATCACAGAACCAAGTGTGCACGGACCAAGAAACTACGGCTTGGTCGACGAACCACGGAGATGATTAGTAAAAGCCAAGCAAATACAAAATCAGGGGCAAAAAAGAAACAACCAGTGCATATCCTGTGCGCATAGGAGCAGGGACCTGTGGTATTCACCCTGATATAATGTTCCAGTGGTACCTGCTCCCAGCTTGTTCGGAATTAACGGCACCGGGATGACGGCATTACGGCATTAAGGTACCAGCCGACCATACGATCTCAGGCTAAATAGACGAATTTATCCGGCAGAATGAGTTGTCGGGTTTAGGATAATACGACCAGCATGCGGAGAAATCCCCATGAATGTCGGTCCAGGCCGAATATGGGGTGTGGAGTCACGCATGATTGGTACACGTCCCTTGGTTGCTATATCCATGCAGCTGTGGTCTGATCAGTGAGCACACAGCAGACTCATAAGGCTGTCCACATAGGAGAAGAGCTAGACATACGGGATACAAATTATCTATGCTAGGAAATAATGACAACGTGATGAGGAGAGAAAATACATTACTAATAATCTAAAACTAAGTAACTAGCCCTCAGCGACATCCATCAGCTAATACTACTTGGCACATGCTACGTAGCCTGACCAGCGGTAGCAACACGACAGCCAACCCACTCCAGCCTCAGAACACTACTCCGACACATTATCAACATGCGTAGGCTTCTCGGCTAGCTTCTCATCGGTTGGATGCTCGGGTTCCTCGCCCAAGAGTGCCAAGAGCCCGATCTCACGCTCAATCCGTCGCTTCCGAGCCTCATCCTCCGCAGCCATGCCTCCGGAGCCAAAAAGTTCGTCCATCTCCTCCAAGGTGCGACCTTTGGTTTCGGGCACCAGGAACCACACCCAAATTACACCGATGGTGGTGATACATCCAAAAAAGATGAACGTACCATAGTTTGAGGCACTGAGAAACGGAGAAGTAGAGAGACCCACGGCGAAATTGTTCAGCTGCAAAACAAAAAGATTAGGACAACGGGAATACACCACAAAATGGAGAAAGAGGAACGTACCCAGTTGCTGCTTCCACCGATACTGACACCCTTGGCACGCATGCTCAAGGGGTAGACCTCAGAAACCACGATCCAAGCAACAGGACCTACGACAGTTAGTCAAGACTGACGGGCCACGGACATGGTTCGACTCACCCCATGAATAGGCAAAGTTGATGATGAAAATCCAGACGAATACTACAGCAACCCAGCCAGGAGCCTTGTGCTGGGAAAATGTATGTTGATAGGATCCAATAATACCAGCCACGATAAAGTGACAAACAGCCATACCAATGCCACCAGCAATAAGGATCTTCTTCCGACCAATATTGTCGACCCAGAGAACGGCAGGAATGGTAAAAACGAACTCGAAGATACCAGCTACTCCGGTGGCGAGCAATGAAGTAGTGGTACCACCGAGCTGAAGATCTTTAAAAATCTGCGGGCTGTGAAGGATTAGACATGCCCACCTGGTGCAACGGAGGACTTACGCATAATAGTTGATCCTAGGAGGCATTAGTACATATAGATATATCATCGTATTCACGGTGACTTACGCATTGATACCATTCCACTGCTGAAAGACCATGATCAAGCACTGCAATCGTCAGCGGTCGTCAAAGGAAGCGGTGGCAAGGAACATACCGCAACGGTGGTCCGCTTGAAGAGCGACTTATCCGTGATGAGGGACATGTAATCGTGCAGCCCAATCATGAAACGACTCTTGAATGACCCATCCTGGTACTGCGGATACTTCTTCCGTGCCGTCTCATCCTCGAACATACGGAGCGCCTTCATCTCCAAGAATTCGATGCGCACGAGCATATCATCGACCGAAGCGTCGCGCAGACGAGCTACGGTCTGTAAACACTCTTCTTCGCGACCTTGATTGATGAGATGACGCGGTGATTGCGGCATGAACAGCAGCATGCCAACCGCCAGGACGAGCGCGGGTAGAATTTGGATGCAGACCGGAATCTCCCAGGCCGCAATGGACTGACCTTCTCCCGTTCCGCCGATGAAGTTTGTACCATATCCGATCTAGCACGATTAGTGAGACCCCGGGACGAGAGGGGAGTATAGTACTTACCCAGAAACTGACCATGATACCGAAGGTAATGGCCAACTGCTGAACGGCGACTAGGGATCCACGAATCTCGGGAGGAGCCTGCTCGAGTGAGACTACATCATCCAAATCGAAGTGATATCCAACATACCAGCTCAGCGTTGTAAAGCGGGACAATCATACTCAGGTTACCGACTCCCAGACCGGTGACAAACCGACCGGCATAAACAAAGTCTGGGTTGGTCGTGCACGCCTGGACAATGACTCCCACACAGAACACAACCACGGCCACAACGACAGTCACACGGCGACCCAGCGCATCGGCCAAATATCCATTGGCGAGCGTTCCCAACCAGGCACCGAGCTCGAGAATAGAGGTAAGCATACCCTGAGCGGTGCCCGTGTGTTCTGCATATCCTTGCGTCTAAATCATATCAGCTGGGTTCTATGGATACCCAAAGGTGGGGGGGGGAGGTGATGTGCATACCGCATCAATAAAGGACGGCATCGTAAGAATTTGGGCGAACATTCCCTGGTTGTCTGAAGACCGTTAATCTTCTCATCATCAGGTGTTTCGGGATTTGGCTGTACGTACATCCATAGACCAAGCCACCGAGCGAGGCAAACAGCGCAATACCGAAGGTTTTCTTGCTGTGGACGAGTCCACGCCATCCAACTCTGCCTCCAGCAAGCTCTGCGCGCTTGGCAGAGATGCCCTGAGAGGCTATACCACCCGCCATATTGGCGATATAGAGCGAAAGACGTAGGTATTTGGTGACAAAACGTGCCCTATAGAGATAGAAAGGGCTTGGAGCGGGTGACTGTTGTATATGATAGAGTTAAGATTGAGAGAGGAAATGGTCGGGACTGTCGTAGTAGATGCCGATCAGAAGTCCTCTTAGGGGAAAAACTGCTGGGATTCCGGCTCATAACGGCTTTTTGTCTTATGCATGAGCCAGAACAGCTTCTACGACTGCTTCTCTGACCTCCGCAGGCTTTCCGATTTCCGGCAAAGATCGCTGGGCTAATTTAGCCAGAGTTTCCCACTGACGTGTGGTCCCCGGGTATTTACCCCCGTGGGGATAGACAAGTGAGGGCTGATAAATTGATTCGAGCTGTACACCCGTGTGCAGCCGTGGGAATAATTCTTCCTCATATTGCTAAGCTTCGTGGCTACGCCTTGTACATGTTAATCCGTCTTGGCTGGGCGCCATGTCGTAGAGAGTTGCCATACGGTAGAGTAACCTTATTTACTATTTCCCGTGTGAGAAAGGGAGTGACAAATTTTTACAAATGAGAAAAAGAAGTGTCTGTAAGCTACCCACGTGGAAACCAATAGCTATTCTGCCTGCTCGGCATCTGCGTGGAGGAAATGTGGACTGATGTGGGTGAAATCTGGGGGATCCTGCGCCGACTCTCAGTAAGCAAAGAACAACATGGTGGAGAAGCAGAAGAGGGAGTATCGGATCAGATTTTACCCGAGCATTTTAGGACCTAAAGCCGGGGGAATCTCGCCGAATCCCCCTGGATGGTCTCTCTCGCTCTCGCTCTTCCTCGAAGCTCTCTTACTTATATAGGGGTTATCCCGACATTCTCCTTCCCTGTAGAATTAGGTAACAAGGGCTGCCATCTTCTCCTTTGTAGGATGCTTCAACTCTCAAACCGCTGCAATATCGGTACGTACTCGTTATTACACTAACATGCACTTGCCAAGCCCTGTGGCTTAACAAGCATTACTTGAGCAAAGTACTACTAACTAGTCACTTGGCTAGTCCATAACTAGTTATTTAATCCAACATGGCTTACATGGCCGCTGCATTAACTACCTAATAACTGCAACCTGCTGACGTGGTTTCCCGCTCCCCCCTGTAAACCTTTTCGGCTTTTAGTGTTCTCTCCGGGTGTGGCTACGGCAGTGTCTAGTAGTTATTCTTTGTTATCTAACGGCAATGGGAGCTTGCGCCAGTCAAGCGAGCCGAAGGGGACGCGCATAGCCCGAGCTCCCAGGTCAAGATCCGGATACCGCACATGCCGGATGGTAAATAACTCCGACGAGCGCGCACCGTGCCACTAACCCCGGTGGATAGAATACGACATGTCAAGTGCGACGAATTACCGGGTAGGTGCTTGAAGTGTGAGTAAACTGGGCGCCAATGTGACGGCTACGAACTTGATCAACTTCCTTTACAAAAGAGACCAGCCAGCGGCACAACTGTCAACCTCCATCAAATGTGCCTGGTGCTACCAGATCAAATATATAACGAGACGAGAGGCGCTGTTTCTCATATTTCCAATGCTCCACCATCCCGACGATAAACGTCTGGCTCTATCACCACATGTGGAATCAGCTTACACTCCAAATGAGTTATGTCGGAGACGCATAGTGCCGACGTGAAAAAATAACTACGGGGGTCATCTGATCGCATGCAGTGAAGGTTAATCGTAGTCATGCACAACTGACACCCATATGTCAGGAGTAATTGGCTGCAGGTCTGGGACAAAGGGGAAATATACGTAGAATTGTAGGATGGCGCCTTGCAGGTAGGGCTTTACCCCGCCCATGATGCTCGGACCGAGGGGGGCTCACCATCCCGGATTCCGCATAGCACGGTTGTTTATGCTGCACATAGGAGGAGCTTTATGCTGCACCATGTGCATTCATTTTCTATTCTTAAACTCTACCTAGAAACTGCGGGGCCCTGCCCTTCTTGTAATGAAACTGGAGAGCCTCGTCCTGACGTCACTCAAGGCATGTGAAGGTCTTGACTTCTCCCGCTATTGCCATACAACCTGGAGATCTACAAGTTTATTATACAACACTAAGGATCAGCAGGGCACCGTGGCTGTCCATGATAAGAAGCGCTTCATCATCCCCTGCATCTGACATGAGGTGCTGTCCAATATGCGGGCCTCGGTCCGCGGGGAGCAAGAGCATAGACATCGCGATACTCAGCGACCGGTATATAATATCCTGCGACACTAGGACTAGGTGATGTCTTGTATCATTTGCCATAGCATAATATCTTGCCATAATGCCTGCGCCCAAGAACGCGAAAGGAAACCGAATTGAGTACCATTACTGGGACTACAGTTTCGAGTGGACCGATCAGCATCGACCTGCGAGCGAGTTCGAGTCTTGGATCCATTCCTGCGATAGCCTTGCGGATGAGTGCAATCAGATATTGAACGAGTTGCCTGCCACTCCCGGCGATGAAGGTGGCAATATTTCGAAAAGAGACCGGTATGCACTGTTGATGGGGAATCGTGAAAAGCATCCGAAGCTAGAGGAGCTATGGACCCAGATCAACACGGTGCCCGAGTGGGTGGACTGGGCACAGATCCAACGGGGCCAAGAGGTGTACTGGCGATATATGCTCCCCATAACGAACTCGGTATGAGTATTCTCTACCTGGGATAAACACACTGCTAACTCTATCGCGTTTAGCTCACATATAATAGCTTACTCGGTGGAATGTATGAATGTGCTTTCAGTTTCCTCTACCTATCGCATAGCGTGTGCAAGCTCTAATACCAACAATCTATAGGGGAGCCATTCGTGTGGGAGAAACGTTATCACGGACTGGAGGGTTCAGCGCCAATGTCGTCCGTCGCCGACTACTAGAGACCGCTCAACACGCGTTCCAAGTGAACAGCTCCGTCGACAGCATGAGGCCTGGAGGTGAAGGACATCTCGCGTGTGTTCGTGTCCGACTCCTTCATTCAGCTGTGCGTCTCAAGATCATGAGCCTGGTGGAGCGAGACCCAAGTTACTATGACGTCCAAAAATATGGCTTGCCCATCAACGATCTCGATGCTTTTGCGACTATCAATACATATAGTAGCACTGTTATCTGGTTAGGACTACCACGCCAAGGTATCAACCTGAGCGACCAAGAGACGGAGGATTACATCGCTTTATGGCGCCTGGTGGCCTGGTATATGGGCGCCCCAGCCGAGCCCTTTGAAAGTGCAGCCAATGCGAAACTTTGGGCGGAGTCGCTGCTCATCAATGAATTTGCCCCGACCGATACAGGACGGATCCTTGCAAAGAACATTGTAATAGGAATGGAGAATACGGCCCCTGCATATGCCTCGAAGGAATTCATGGACGCTTTATCTCGGTTACTCAACGGCGATCAGCTTGCAGATGAGCTCCACATTCCGCGAACGAATTTGTACTATCGAATGCTGATGTGGGGATACTGTCTCTCGGTGCAGTTACAGGCCAAAGCACTGCCGAAGATTGGCTTTCTTGAGAAAATTGTCTTTGCAGTATGGAACCCCTTCCCAGCTTCCCGATCGTCCTCTATGTACCAGGATACTGACCTTGAAATTTTAACTGCAGTTTCGCCGCCGGATGATGTGGAGCCACCTCATGGATGAAAAAGAGGGCCTAGGAAAGGAAACCGTCTTCGACTTCAAATACGTTCCAAGTCTCAAACGAACGACACGAGAAGGGGAGCGCAAAATATACATGTTGAAAAGGCCCGGTATTGAAGTCCTATCCTATCTGGGACTCCTTACTGCCTTTGGAACTGTTGCTACTATTAGTACTGGAATTTACCTTGCAGCCGCAAGGGTTTTACTCGGGAGCCAGGTCGTACCCCAACTTCTACGTGGTTAATTGGGTTCGTTGAGGTGGATATATGTTTTGATATGTTGTTTGGCACTTTTATGATCCTGTTGAGACAACCATGGCATTGGCCTATTATGAGTATGGTGGCTAAATGCATGTTGGAGATGCAAAGGTTGTCATGGAAAGAGCATCAGATTCACTCTGTGTACCGTGATGATCATAGATTTCCAAATTTCGATTGAAGCTATGTATCGTCCTACTAATTAATCTCTTATTGTGTCGTATTAGTCCTTCTCCAGTAACACTAGCTTTAAATCATCGTATCACCGGCATCACCTGACGACAATACTTGGATATATCTTGGGATTTCATAAACCTAGATTAGACACATTCCCAAGCGTTCTCATCCGTGTACAGACCCGGCCCGACATATCTATTGCGCTTAGGATACTTGCAGTGTTTACGGCGATATTCCGCAGTAGAGCCATTGAGCTTGGCACCCCGGACAAAGTCAGGGGCGATACCCTCTTCAACCCACTGAACCATGGCCAGGAGGACATTATCCTCGGGCTTATTTCCTGAAAATGTCCCAGACCCTTGACCGATGGAAGAAGGCCCGTTCGAATTTGCGCAGTGACCCATGCCGCTGATCGGAAAGAAACGGTAGAAATTGTCGAGCTCAGAGGGGCTGAGATTCATTGTATCAGCTACATGCTTGTAGTAGCGTTTGGAGTTGTCGGAAGAAATAACCGGGTCCTCTACACCGTGGTAATGAAGGACCTTGCCGCCCTTGTTCTGGAAGGGAGAGAGATCGCCGTCCCAGGTGGAGATTTGATAGGGGTCCTGGGCGCTAGCAACGGCGGCGTCCTTAATGGTCCAAGTTGTAAGGTCCCAGTTGGTGTTGTTGTATACCACATAGCGATACCAGTCTTCGGCATAGGAAAAGGGCGTCCCACTGTAGTAGATGCTGGACGCTCCTAGCTCAGATCCGGGCTGCATTCGTGGATAGACGAGGGAGCCATCGACACCGTAAGTCGGACTGAAGACGCCGTTCACTGTCTCAACCTGCGCTCCAGTGAGACACGTACCAGATGTGGAAGCTTGGGTCGCATTGCAGATTAAAGTCTCAATGATAGGCTGACAAAGATCCGGGTCCTCTATGACGCCGTCTACCGCACCGTCGAGGGAGTCGCACTGTCTGAGTATCTCCTCGTGCACGGTGCTCCATTGCGTCTTAGTCACGAAGGTCGCTGCGCTGGAATTGCCCGTAAGGGTGAGGAATCGGGCACCCCAGCTGGTTAGATTAACGAAATCGAAAGCAGGCGCACCAGCCACGACACCGTCAAAGTCATCTGGGAACCTGTGCACGGACTTCCAACCTTGACGCCCTCCAGTGGAGCATCCAAGATAGTATGATTTCTTATAGCCTTGAGGATAAAAGCTTTGAGTCAATTCCTTCCCGACAACGACCCCGGTATGGAGGGCGCGGTAAGCAAAATCCTCCACCACCTCGGAGTTTCATAGAAGTAGACCCCAGTATCACCAAAGTGTCCATTATTTGTGCCAACAGTGGCAAATCCATATCCAGCAGCGTAGGCCATGTCATCATACTTGATACCTATGTGACATTGCTTAGTTAGCGCGCACTGGGTCAAGAAAGAAAGGTCACCTACAGCCACCAAGACCACCATTTCCTGTGCTCAGAAATCTACCAGAATAGTTACTAGGCAGCCAGGCTTCCATAAAGATCTGACTCTTGCTAGAAGTCGTGACATTGAGCGCAATGCGACAAAATGCGAATGTGCTGGTTATAGGATCGTCGCCGCCACAGATGGCCGGGTTATATTCCATGGAGATGTTCACCCCAGCTGGGACGTAGGTAACTGAATGGACAGTCGCATTGGGTTGTTTAATCTTTTCCCTGAATGATTCACACTGAACCTGAAACGAGGAGCCATCGTGGTTAGAATCAGTAGAAGACTGAGATGCTGCGGTTGCAGCAAGGAAAGGCAATAAGAACCGCATGGCAAGTATCAATGAATAATGCTACATCGCGATTGAAGATTCTCGAGCTATATCCTTCGTTTTATATGTTTTCGCCATCCTGTACCCCAGATGTGATTCCGTCTCGAAGGGAGGTATCAGATAACATCTTCATATTAAAATCCCCACAAACGGCAAAAATGAAGAAAGAAACGTAGCTATCAAATACCGGGGTAAGACTGTAAAATACAGGAACATCTGGAAGCCTCGGCGAAACTTTCAATCGAGTACTCCGGAGTAGGTCGTAAGCAGTTGAGATCGGCAGTTCTCTGTAGCGTGGAAGAGACCGTGGAGAAAAGTCCGCAATTTCCCCGCACCCCATGATTTGCCCTACGTGCTTCACTCTCTCGCTCTCCCCCAAGCACGCCTCGGACTCGGCAATTAACAATCGTCATGATTACCGAGTAGCGTGTTTCATGTATGGTGCACGCAGCACGCCTGCAAAATGGGCCTTGTGTAGGCCTCGACACTACTGTTTGTCAGGGGGGGGGGGGGGGGGGGGGTTTGGTTCAGGATATCGCTTCCTGCCAAAAGCTGGGAAGTCTGCGCCCGGTGTGGGTTCTTAAGCATCACGATTATCTGATGACGACAGAAAGGTAAACTCCTTCGATGTTATGGTGCCGTATCTCGTGTCGCGTTCCAGAATGATTCGGGGTTGTTCATAGCGACTCTCGTGAATGTCGCAAGTCCTGGTATGGGTTGGCCTTTATAAAGAGCATCAAAGAGAGATCATATTAGTAAATGAACAGGGACGTTCGGAGTAGTTATACATGACTCGCCACGTCAAAATGATTCACTCGGCCCGGGAAATCCTAAGAACCTCGGGAAAGTTAGCGATCAGCTCTGATATGATACCGGAGCTGATCGCTGTGCATGGCCAAGCCATACTGTATCCACAAGGGGCTCATTTACAGCGTCAGTGTTCTGTAAGGCCATGGTAGATGAATGTTTCATACTGATGTGTCACTTTTTAGTCTCCAAATGATGAATGCTTAGGAGTTCCGAAGGTAATTGTGCCTACGGCTGACCTCCCGGATATAGTAGATAGTCCACATGCAACGCCTTGAACAAGACATATCTAAGCAGGAAGTCCACTTTCCCGATCGGGAGATATGTATCAGGCCTATCGTACTGGTAAATGAGCAAACTGATAGCAGTAGTCTCACTACGTCGGGACACCACCATAGTCCAGTTTACATTTCATGAATATCTTCACCATATCGGCCAGATTCCGACACATCTGAGTCGATTAGATCCCACTGACCACCTTCTAATTGGCTGGCCCAGAGGTCCATGGCCGAAAGTAGAAAATGGGTCACAAGAATATCCTCCAAGGCATGCAGCGTTGGTATGTTCTGGGACCCATGGGATATCCTTAGACTTAACGGGTGCTGGGCCATGCTTGTTTGAGTAAGGTCGGTCGACTCTCTATTGATGGAGACTTGAGAAAGCAAGAAATACAGGCAAATTGAAAATTAAGTATTGAAAGGGGTAAAGAAAATCATACCACAGGATTATCTTATCAGATTGAGGATAAACATGCTCATACATAAATTGTTGTTCGGTCAAGCTCTAGCCTACCCAACGCCAGACCTGTACTTGCTCGCCAGACTATGAGACATACATCCCCTGCTCAAAATACGTTAACGTAGGCTATAACAGCACTATTATGTCGCCAAGCGATCGACGACCAGGCCACTCTCAAGTCCACAATCCTATAAGCCTCCATCAGAAGAGGGGAAAGAAGCTGTGGTTGGTTGTCTCCGACCTAAAGACAGCAAATCGGTAGTGCGGATGGCGTGCCTCAAGTCCGGTATAACATCACTTTGATGACTCGTTATCACTTCCGTGAGCCAATGATTCGGCCCTGTACCGCCAGCATCTGACTCGACATGCGTGGCAAAGCTTGCGTGCTTTCATGCAGGCCTTGGTAATCATCGGAAGGCGCGTAATGCGGGGTTGAAGTGTTTTATAGCACTCATCTTCAGGAGAGTATATTGTCCAAGTATTCCTTTGGACATCTGGTATTCTCACAAGCCTTATCTGGAGAACTAAGTCTCTTTTATTCAAGATGCCAGCCAAACTCATTGACAGATACGACCACGTTCCAGTGACGAAGGAAAACCGTGAGTAGTAACCCCCTACATACTGCATCTTTCAATGAGCCTGACGAAGTAGTCGACTGGGCTGAGCTTGTTACTCTTGACCTCAGTCAATATGACCAACCCGGAGGGAAGGAAGAGCTTGTGAAGCAATTGGATCATGCTGTGCGGCACGTGGGTGAGTATTCAGATCCAAATGTATCGCATTGTCTAATATGCTTGGGAACAGGCTTCTTCTACGTCAAGAACTTCAACATCGACCAAGAGGATATTGATCGCCAATTCGCTCTCGGTCGCGAGTTCTATGCACTTCCTCTGGAAGAAAAGCTCAAATACCACAGTGCCTCTGACCTTGAAAAGGGCGAATATAACGGATACAGACCTGCGGGACACCGGGCGTAAGACTTCCACTCCACCTGTTGAGAATGTAACACTTATCTTTCCAGTCTCGGAAATGGGGTCAAGGACAATGTACAAGTCTACAACATCCCCAAGTTCGACGGCTATCACCAACGCCAGCAGCCGCCTATTCTCGGCGATCATCTGGAGGAAATCGAAGCATTTAGCCGGGTATGTACCACTACTCTATACTTCGTCAATCGAATTCGTAGTAATGGTTGACGTAGAAATGTCACACAGAGGTTGTCGAGAAGCTTCTCCGTCTGTTCGCCATTCTCCTTGAGCTTCCTGAGGACCAACTTGTCCGGGACCATCAATATGATGTCAAAGGCGAGGACCATCTTCGATATATGTACTACGCAGCACGCGGGGCCGAGGAGAACCAAAAGGTAGGCAGTATGTACGTACCCGGGCATACAGACTTAGGCACTGTCACTCTTTTGTTTCGCCAACCGGTTGCTGCATTGCAGATCCTTAATTCTGAGGGCGAGTGGAAATGGGTCCGTCCGCAGGATGGAACAATTACGGTCAACACCTGTGATGCACTGACTGCTCTTACGGGTGGTCTGATCAAGTCAAGCATTCATCGCGTCCATGTGCCACCAGCTGATCAAGCGCATGTTGATCGGTTGGGAGTATTATACTTTGCACGGTGAGTTCGCTGACCGAGATTTGTTGCATGGCAAACACTGATTATTATGCTCGGTACCCAGGCCGAATAACCATGTCGTGTTGGACCCGATCCAAAACAGTCCGCTACTCAATCGACTGGGGCTCACGCAGAATGTCTTCACGGAACTAGGGCAACATTTGACGACTGAGCAATGGGTCAAGGTGCGACAGACGCAGCAGCAAAGACGCACACGAGATGCGAAGATCTCTGAGGATGGGAAATACACCTATCGGCCGAAGGATCTTGAGATCCTTCCAGGCCTGCATGCGCAGGTATACAACTAGTTAGAGACCACAATAACGTCATATCCCAGCTCAGGAATCGAGGCGATCTTGACTATCTCGCCTATAACTAAACGTTTCACCTTAAATCAATTGGTAGAGTCTAGATTGTTACGGTGTGGCGGAGCATTCCTAGGCATGGTCGCCATTTTCTTGGCTAACAATAAAGTAGTCAACTAAGACAGAGAAAAGAAGACATAGCGGGAAATTCCACCATTAAACATCATGCTAGAGGGTGCTATACGTAGCTAGATTTAAAGCTGTGGGGTATTATTCGTGGGGTTTCTGCTAGGAAGGAATTCATCCGTTTCTTGGCTTAAGAGCTCCTTGTATAACGATGAAATTAACCGAGGCTATTGTAAATATAAGATCATGGAACATGTAGAGATCTACTATCGGGAGAAAGAGCAGTATTGACCGTTATACTAGTCTACTTCACTCTTCTCAAGATGCGACCATCTCTGGCCCTCATCGCCACTACGGCAGGCACAACATTGGCTGCCAGCAACAACAACTACACAGAATGGATGGCTACATCTTGGTTGTCCAAGTCGGTGCCCCTTTCCCGGAATTACGCTTATGGGGTTCTATACCGGGGTATTGAATTCGCACATAACAAAACCAATAACCCCGAATATCTTGACTTCATAGAGTCTCAACTCTCGGGCGTTGTCAGTGATTCAGGCGAATTGATCGACTATAACCTGACCGATAAGATCTCCCTCGATGATCTACGCATCGGTACAAATTTTCTGTCTGCTTGGGCCGCCACTGGTGAAGATAAGTTCAAGCTAGGTGCCGATACCCTCCGACGACAGATCGATCTGACACCGCGCAACGAGGGAGGCGGGCTCTGGCATCGAGACCCTACTTATCCCAACCAAATGTGGCTGGATGGAATCTATATGTCAACAAACTTTTACGCGCTGTACACTGCGTGGCTCGATGCAGACAACAGTACTGCGTGGGATGATATCATGCTCCAGTATGACTTGATCGAGGAGCATTGTTTGCGGGAGGATGGGCTGCTTGCCCACGGATTTGATTACAGCAAAACTGCTGTTTGGGCTGGTATGTCAACGATGCTCGCTGTTTAAACCCCTCCCACTGTCCTCTAATTTCACAAAGCAAGATAATAACAATCACTTGCAGATCCCGAAACCGGTGCTGCTCCGCTTGTCTGGAATCGCGCCCTAGGATGGTATTTTATGGCTCTTGTGGATATCCTGGATTACTTCCCGAAGTCTCACCCAGGCTGGGAGACCAACCTCAGCCGCTTCCAGAAACTCGCACAGGTGCTTAAACGGACTCAGGATGAAAGTGGGGGATGGTGGTTGATCATGAATGAGCCATATCCAAGCGACCCCAGGAACTACATTGAGAGCAGTGGGTCTGCAATGTTCACCTATGGATTCCTAAAGGGTATGCGAAATGGATACTTGGAGACAAGCGATTATTCTCAGGCAGCCGAGGACGGGTACAAGCTGTTGGTGGATAAGTTTCTGAGCAAGAATAACAACGGGACGTTGAACTGGGACGGAACGGTGGAGGTAGGAAGCCTAAGCAGCAACGGAAGCTTCGAGGTAAGCTCTGATCTTTAGTGAGCGCCGATATAATGATAGTAGGTTTAACTGACTGCATGCAGTATTACATATCGGTTCCCGTTGTGCAGAATGATGTTAAGGGCGCGGGGCCCTTCATGTACGCAAGTTACGAACTTGAGGCCTATTAATACGCGGTGACCAAGAAGAGATGAAAGGATTGGAACAGAAAGAGTCAGGTTTAGGAGATATTAGCCAAGGGCTCAATCACAGAATATGATGTTACTTCTACAGACCTACACGGAGCGTTACTATTTGGATATAAACTCCTGACATTACGACGTTTACCTTGCATTGCTTATCCAGATTTTCTCTAGCTCTCTCTATACTCACATCTATGTCTAGCATGGACCAAAACATTATCATAGTGGGTGAAGGGGATCATACGTCTTAAACTTCACACCTTATAGTGGAGGACGTATAATCCTTAGTTTCCTGCCACATAGGGGTGTCTCTGGATGCTTCGCATTGCGGATGTTAGGAATTGATTGCCATGATTGAAACATTAGTAGACATTGGCGATATTTGGCTTGTTTAGTTGCACTAATTTACTCTCGCAATGAATAATGCATGATTGCATTCTCTTGCTCCCGCTAGCTTCTCAGGTGGTAACGTCATCTATACATGCCTTCCTTCAGTAAAGATGCCGAATCATTCCCACGTTACGAAATACTTATAATACCGTTCTCAGAAAATGAATGAGACTCTTTTTTCCCAATCGAAGTGCCGTTGTTAACGGCACGGTTACTGGATCCCTGGGATCCTATTAGCAGGGCCCGCGCACTCCAGAGCTGACACATGAATACAAACCAAAATAAAGACAGGGGACAACATTTTGCACATTACCGCAGCATCTGGAATGAACGACTTCTTCGCGCCTCTAATGCTCAAACCCAAAGCGGCTTCACCGCTGTACATCGAGCACGTGGGAATGGGCGTACTGGTTCAGCACGTTTGTTACTTGAACAAGCTGTGGATCCGAATATTGCGGGCAAGGGCGGTGCGACGGCGTTGCACCTGGCAGCTGCGGTTGAAGATACTGAGGCCATGCACTGCTTAATCCAAAGTGGAGCCGGCCTAACCACCACATCCCAGGGAGAGTACACCGCGTGACACTGGGCAGCAAACAAACAACTGCAAAAAGTGGTCCCGATATATATTCGTGGAGCAAGCTTGGACTGTTGGGACGCTCAGGGCTGGTCACCATTACACTGCGCGGCTTATCAGAGCGATATAGAGATAGTAGAACTACTTCTTCAAGCAGGAGCTGATCCAAACGACGAAGACCATGACCTCTACACAGCTTCAGATCTTACACTGCACCAGGGGCAGAGTAAAGTTGCCTTGCGATTAAGCTGGTTGGCAGTCGTTTTCTATTCGGTTGCTGGTTGGATCAATGTCTTGAAATGCCTGTGGTACCTGATTTTGGAAACTCGACAGTCTTGGTTTAATGGGATGGCCTTGGCTGTGAAGTCCTATGAGACATCGAGTGGCATGAAGGGCAAGGCAGATCGTGCCTGCACTCGATGAAGGGACGCATAGTACATGTCACCTAAGGATGTCTTTGGGTTTAATCTATCTTAAATACAGATGGAAGCTGCAATCCAGCATCCATCAGGGCACTTGTTGACGGCACCTAGTTGCTATTATCTGAAGAGCGATCGTATTATCCGCAACGCCTGTATCAAAAAGCGGGTTGGACGGGACCTTCCTGGTTGCGATGGCCAATTTGAGGATATCTTAAACCTGGCCGAAAAGGGTTTACCGTCATGAGATATCCTCACGATGTCACTTCCAAGATGCGATTGCATAGTGCTTTGATAAGTACACTTCACTCATGGGAGTTGACCGTATTTGTAGAAACGAACCAATCTGTCCTTTCTATGGTTGAAGCTCCTACCACCGTCGTCATGTAGGAGGAAAGGGTGCCTTACAGTTCTATTCATATGGCTTTCCAGCGATAAGATATGAGACGAAGGGCAACATGACGCTCCCTCGGAGTAGGAGACATCGCCAATGCTCCCGTAAGTTGAGTGACTACTGTCCTCGTACATGTAGTGGAGTGGCAAAATTGACGGGTGCGGTCAATTAAACGATATGTCCAAATCCAAGAGAAGACTGTCATCCATTAGAGCGTGACAATGAATGGCTTCCATCGCGGTGGTAGGGCTACAGGGGAATGAGGAAGTTGCCGGATGATTCCGAAAAAACAGGCAACCCACGCGATGGGTGCCTGAATATTTTCGTGACCTGCGGCATGTGATTGGCTGTTCCCTGCCAAGACCTTTAGTCTGACGTCCGCTGGTTCCGGGTTTCCCGATCAGGTAACCCGTGGGATGACCGCGGCTTGGCCCTCGTGTTCCGCCCTTCGAGGTTAAACTCGATTATCGTGTTTGGTCCATCTCAATCGCATCGTGTTTCCCTCTTTACCCAATGGATAATGGGGTTCAGACTCTCGAGATGGTGTCAGACTGGATTAGATATCGTACCACGCGGGATACTTTCCAAATTTGACAGCCAACTCTCGTCAAAAGTACCACCATCGAATCCCAACATGACTTATCCATCGAGGGACCCGAGAAAGGCTTCTCGCTTATTGCACTGCACGGGTGTCATCACGTTGGATCACTGCGAGATGTACTCCCCAGGATAAGCATCGGAGCGACCGTTACAAGATCCCCAACCCACATGTCCGCAAAGTGATCCAGGTTCGGTTATATCGGATGTGAACCCATGGATGCTTGCTAGGCTCCAGCTTTTCTGTACTTCTGTATGAATTTCTGTCTTTCTCTTTCTTTCCATTTTCTTTGTGTTTGTCATGCCAAGCCGGCTCCAGCACTCGGACCGCACAGCCAAGCCTCTGGAGGATTCTTTGGCCCGCACGGCCGCAACTGTCTGGACGCCATCGGGCCTGAGCACTGTCACAGCCACTCGGAACGCGCTGTCTCGTGAATCCTGGCAAGCGTTAATCCATGGCGTTGAGTCAGACTCCCAATCAGGTCGCCCACCAACACCACAGCTGTTGGACCCGACACGGTGGCCCCTGGCCTGGCGTTCGCTGTGATGGTGCAAGGAGGATGGCTTGCAGCATGGCTACAGCTAAATTCTAATATATCCGACTGAGTGCGCTTTGACCTTGGCGATATGCTTGTTTTGCGCCATTTGGAACTTGGCTTGTTACAGATACTGCGACACCGTGAGCCAAATGTGCGTGGCTGGATTGCTGTAAGCCATGGAGAAAAATTGGGTTAGCAAGTTTGGAATAAGGGCTACAGAGCTAGTCGCGTTGACACAAGGCAGTGCGACTGTGTTACACTCCCAAGGATCAGCTTTGGATAATGGTCAAAGATTTAGTAGAATTGCGGAAAAGCTCTGTAGGTCTCTAGGAGCCTTGAATTAAGCAAAGGAAGGACAAGGAACGAACGCATCAAGCCGAATGTTAGAAACTGACTTGGGGAAGAACACAGCCCGAGTGAAATCGCAATGGGCCGGTGGGTATAAGTGATATACATGCGACCAACTCGCCATCTATTACATATCTCTCCTCCGTACTGCTCAAGCCTTGACCTCAGTGGTACTGTCGTCGCTTTCGAAAGGCTTCGTGGGAGCCTGGACGGTAGCGCTCGCGCGACGGATGGCCTCCTCGAGGTACTCTGGCTTGAGTTGACCGTGTTTATCGTAGCGGTACGGTTCTTTGATGGAGATAGTCACCGCGTTGAAGACATTCGTGGACTTCTTGAAGATGTTGTCCATCTCCTCCAGGGAACGGTAGCGAGTTTCCGGGAAGAAGAAGTACACACAGGGGACCATGAATGCATTACTGGTATTGTCAGTTTAGGGCCATTTTCAGGGAGTCATGGCACTCTTACATAACAGCGAAGATGACATAGGTCTTGTACCCAATGTTGGTGAAGGAAACCGGCGTAATCATCACCACCATGAAGTTGAAGATCCAGTTCGCGCTAACAAGCAAGTTAGTTTGGCTGCAAACGTGAAAGCGACCAGGATCATGCTAGACACGTACCTCGTTGCCAGTGCGTTAGTCGGTGCACGAATGCGCAGTGGCACAATCTCTGCCGGGTATAGCCAAGTCATTCCAAGCCAACCGATGGCAAAGAAGGTATTGAAAACGAAAAGGAAGACGGCCTGTCCGATACCAGCTTGACTGTCACCGAGATGCGTCAACCGGTAGTTGGTACCCGCCAGCACAGCCATCGAAATCGACATGCCCGCAGCCTGCGGAAAGATCAATGTTAGCAGCGGCCATTGCACAGCAGACGGACAGGGAACAGGCTAAATACCCCAAACAGCATGAGTGGCCGGCGTCCAGCCTTTTCGATGATGAAGATCGGGATAAATGCAGCCATGAGGTATTCGGTGCCGTTACAGGCCGCTAACAACTTCGGGAGATTGCCCTTGCCCAGACCAATCTCGGCGTATAGAGAGGGAGCCTGAGAGATCGTCTTAGTATGATGTAGCCCATATCAGGAGCATGGGCAATATCTCACATAGTACGTGATCAGGTTGATTCCGGATATCTGCTGGAACATTTGATTGACATAGGCTAATGCGACACGATGGAATTCTCGATACTCGCTCATGTCGAACAGACTGCGGTAAGAACCCTTGGACATCTCCTTCACCGTCTCCTGGATAGATTTGAATTCATTGACGATATAGGGGTCGTCGCGGGGCTTCTCATTCAGATACTCCAGAATTTCCAAAGCCTCGTCGTTGCGGCCCTGCATTACCAGCCAACGGGGAGACTCTGGCAGATTCATAATAGAAATGAAAATCACCACTGCGAACAGGATCTGGAAGGCCAGAGGAAAGCGCCACGCCACCTCACTGTCGGGGATGAACGAAAACCCTAATCACAGTCGATCAGCAATGCCCCTCGTCTGGGCAAGTGGATCATGTAGGACTCACCGTAGTTGATCCAGTAACTAAGTGTAATGCCTCCCGTGATCAGCATACCCTCAATCATGACCAACTTTCCGCGATCGTGGGCTTTGGATGACTCGGACTGCCATGTGGGTACAGTACTCGTGTTCATCCCATTCCCAATCCCAGTCACAATGCGACCGATAATGAAATGCGGCAAACGGAACGCGGTGGCCTGCAGTAGAGCTCCAGTCGCCATCGTGCAGCAGCCGATGAAGATGGTTCTGCGTCGACCGAGCGGATTTCCGATAAAGATGGTCAAGATGGCGCCACAGAAACATCCTAAATTGTACGATGCGACGGCAATGCCCTGGTTCAAACTGCGCTGCGATTTCAAAGCTTGGTCGATGCCCTCCGCCTTGTCATTGATGTCGGGGAAGTATTTGATGAACGACGGCAGGTCCAGGAGACCGCCGGTGACACCCTGATCATATCCGAAAAGCCTGTTTACGACCCCAGTCAGTTGCGAGGCCGGATCTCATGCGACGGAGGCGGCGGCGTACAAGAAATCAAGACTGCCCAGGGAACTGATCGCCAAGTTCAAGGCTCTGCCTCTAAATCCAAAGAACCTCGGTAACCCAAACATGGTGTTCAAGCACAGCGCAACTGGCGCGAATCGAAGTCTGGACGAAAAGACGGGAGCTGGCGAAATCGCGAGCCGCTACCAGTAGTTATTTAAATGTAGTATTGGACCCTCCCCCTCCGAGTTCTCGGCTAGATCAAAGCGGTAATCCGAGCCCACTGGATTTCTCCAGGGCATCAGGAAGGCCAAGATACGGGGAAAGACGCTATGCTTTGCGGGGATTGGACGTGGCATGGTCTGCGCCCTGGGGAAGTGGCTCGCCGGCTCCATCGTCCCTAGACTCAAAAGAGTAGTTCGCACGGCTCAGAATCAGAAATTGGGCCAGTTATCCATGACGTACAAACCCTTGGCAATCGCCGGTGGTAATATAACGCTCTGCTTCCATTAGTCGAAGCACGCCTTAGGCTTGGGGGCTAATTTACGAGCGAGTCTCGGCATCCGCGCTGTGGCTTGCCAAGGACGCAATGGCGGCCTCGCACAGCCGACGCCTATCAAACGACGCCAGATCCTGATCCAACAGCAAACGCAACGAGACCAGTCCATGAAAGGCTCAGCTTACGCGCTGTATGCATGCTTCAGGTCGTTTCCTCGGAGCTAATCGTATCTCCAACCCAGACACGCACCAATCCTTTGCACGACAAGCTGAGTCACGACTCCAGAATATGGCAATGCGGGGGGTGAGGCTAAGCAAACGGTGGCTCACGTGTGGGTGGACTGCGTAGCATCGGGGAGACCGACTGGATTCTGTGCGTGAAGTTAAACATATGAAATTGAAAGTGCGTTGGCCTTCGAAATGGAGGAGCCGCCTATCACTACTCTCTATACCAGCAGAGATGTATAACTACCTGCTAGGGTGGTTCGTCATCTGTTGGAGATACTGTCTATAAAAAGTATACTGTAAGGCTGGTTCACGTAGCCCAATCAAAGTATACGTTTCTGGTGACACTTGGTGAACAGAGTTTTTTGAAACGCCATGAAGTACTAAGGCCAGCCACAAACGGGTGTTTAAATAAACGGTACCGGGAGAATGACCCTGCGGTGCTCTTATAAAGTGTAAATTATTAACTTTAGATTAATGACGGTAAATAAGTAGAAAATAATGCTGAAAATGTATCAGAATTAGTTCGAGGTCGCTACGCTTCGTATATACCCCGGGTAAGTAGGGTCGAATATAGCTCCAAGCCGAATTGATATTGAAAGCAATTATGCCTAGAGAACTTTTCCTGTAAATCCTTCGACTCCTCCAACCGAGCCAGCATTATTAACGAGACAGTCTATGCCTGTGCATACGTACGTGGGATCTGTGCACCGATTCCTTGGCCAGCGCCCGTGATTACTACGGTGTATCCACTTGGGAACCAGATGTTTGCTGGATTCATTGATGGGGTTGTCCTTTCGTGAATGGCATTTGTGAATTGAGGCCCAAAATGGCGATCGGCGGCATATCGGATATAAAAATAAGATGTAGCAAAGGTATGAGGAGAAATATGCACAATGAACTATTGCAAGAGAGAATCCCTTTTTCTCCTGCATATATATAGATCTTATCCTGGAATCTTCCTTTTCTCTCCTTATGGTTAGTTGAGGGTATTGAAGTCCGGTTAAGTCCACTCATTTCGTTGACTATCAGAATGATGCCCCGTTTGGCGACAGAGCCGATGAACCACGGAGACTCAGATACTGAAGTTTGCACTACTTCGATGTATGAATCACAGATTGCTCCTTTTAGAACTATTCGGTCCTTGGGATTGCAACTTTCTTCACGTCCGACCGAGTGGGGCCAAATCTTGGAGTCATGCGTGAACGCACTATCTCCAAGTCGACGTTGTGACCATCACCATTTATTGCTCTTGTTGTTTGTAGGGTTGAATATTCATCTACCTGGAAGCTCAGGTTACATCCTCAGAGGTGCACAATAATTATGGAGAGCTACACCGTAAATGTTGTGATAGTGGCCCAACCAGCCTGTATTTGAGGCTCACCGTCGCAAGAGTCTCATTATACAAGATTTCCTCTCATCAAATTTACTGAAGTTTGTACCGATTGAAGCACTAGTGCCTTCAGAGTAGGATAGGAGGTTTCGCGTGATAAGACAAATTGCAAAGCGGTCCCTATTCACTTTGGCCTTTATAACCACAGCGAGATGCATCCCGAGCTATACTCGACGAGACGACAAGGGCACTCGTTACTAATATCCCGGCGGTATGTTGATTCTGTGGTAGATGCCTCACGGTAGGCATGAATATGGCCAAGCTTAGCTCAAACCTAAGCCTCGCTATTACATATTTTGAGGGACATACTCTTTTTAAGATATCTCGAGTTGATCTGGGTTATTGTTCGCCAGGCACCAGAGAAGGTAGAAGCCATTCATAGGGTGGTATAAGAAGAACGACGTGTACGTGCCAATTGCATTGTAGCTCTCTATCCCCCTTTCTATTTTAATGTTGTTTGTATGCATTTCCCTCTATGTACAGATCACACCGGGACCCAGAACTATCTATCCTCCTCTTCAAGTAGAAGCTTTTCAAGGCCTACCCAAAATGAATCATCACCAACTTGGGCAGCAAAGTCTTCTCCACCAGAAAATGCCTCACGCATACTCTCTGACAAAGGCTTTACTTTGAATTCAGGATACAGATCATGAGCATCCAGGTAACCCAGGTACTTTGCATAGGACGTTTCGGAGTCACCTTTGACCCAGTTATTGTACAAGTATTGCACAATGACCTTTTGCCAGACTTGGAAATCCGCTGTCTCTGGCTGGTGTGCAACGCTGACAACCTTCTCCTGGGAGACTGGAATATAGGGAACGGCTTCACCGGTGATCTCCCGCGCGAGAGCGATGTATTGGTTCTGTGTCACATGTTCGCCATACGCAAACACGTATCGGTTCAGGGTTCGAGGATCGACGATAATAGAAGCAACAAAACGACCAATATCCTGGATTGCTGTTGTTGCACAAGGTGTCTCCCCTTGTCCAACCAGGAAAGTTCGGCCCATCAAAGCAGCATGGTCAAGTTTTCCAGACGGGACGCGAGGGATTACAACCTCGTGCCACACGCCAGTGTCGATAATTGTGTAGGGAAGGCGAACCTTTTTCATGTGGGCGTAGACGGCTTCTTTCTGGTCAAACTTAGCGATGGAAAGATGAAGTACATATTCGAAGCCTTACCCAATCGCGTTTCATGAGATCATTGGGAGGGGCAGTTACAGCCCATGCACTTGGCACGAACCGTTTGACCCCAGCCTTGGATGCCGCATCTATGAGTTTGATCTCCTGGGAGGTGTGTCTCGGCGGAAGACAGACAATCAGAACATGTGTATCCTCTAGAGCCTTGACCAGGTCATGCTCTGAACCGCCGAGATCAAGCGCTGTAGTCCGGATGCCTCGGCTACGAATGTCGACCACCTCCGGCTTCTCAATTGACTGAGGGCGCACGAGAGCTGTGATCCTCTTTACAAGGTTAGTAATAAACGTAGGAGAATCGTCGGAAAAGGTTGGCTAACAAAATCCTGATTTTCTGAGCTTAGAAGGGCGTTCACAATGCTTTTGCCGATGTTGCCCGTGCCACCGACGATCGAGACATTGACGGCGCTCATACTGAAGAATCTGACTGGGGTCTGTAATTTATCGTAGAATAAAGGCAACGATGTTTAAATATGTATAACTGCCTCTGTTAATTCGGGAATCGGTGCTTGGGTTCCACTTGTCGGACCTAACTGCGCCGGAATTAACGTTTTGTCCGTAATGGTCAATGAATACAAGTGGGACCATGCCTCTGAGTCCTAACCCTAGCACTTATATAGCTAGATAGCTGTGTAGCCGGACTCTTTTGCGCCAGGAGTCTACTAGTTCCTGAGTTATGAGATTGCCCGGCAGTATTACTGGCAAGGCATAACCACCCCTTCGGTAACTTCAACTTGTGGGGCGACCTGAACTACCGAAGTTCACCCAGAGTTCCACCGTCAACGGACTTAGGACGGACTCTGACGGAGTTACCGAGCCATATACTATTGGGATAGAAGGCGCGAGACAGATGTCTGCATGCTTACCTCATGCCGCAGCGCCCAGTCAAGTCGGTCTATCGCCGACCTCCGGATCTTGAACGTAGCTGATTTTTCGTGTTTATCGTGAGCCCCTGTTGTACTCAATGTAGGGAACTTGATATAGCATAGCGGTAACTATGAATGAAGAATCAATGCTGCATATTAAAAACATTCATGAACATAGAATGTTGGGTCTGCCTAGCACTATTCCATTTGATAGTCGAAGCAGAAAGCTCACGTCCACATTCACCAACCCGCACACATGCCAGTGTACTTATCATACACAGTGCCCTCTGGACATCCCGACTCTCCTGTAGAAGGACCACCTGTAGAAAGACCACCCGTGGACAGACCGCCTAGCGCAGGGCAATACTCGAAGTTCATACAGCCTCCAGATGCCAGGGCACAGTTCTTGCCATTGAAGACCTGACCAGGGGGGCACTGAGGTGGCTCAATAGCCACACACTCCTTCGTCTTCTTGTCGAAGACGGTACCAGGTTGGCAAGCAGGCGGCCTCTGCGCTACACACTTCTTGCCGTTGAACTTCATTCCAGTGGGACAGGCAGGTTCCTCAGGATGGGCACACTCCTCTCCGTCAAATATAAGTTTTTCAGGACAGTTGGGGACTTCTCCCACACATTCCTGACCGTTGAAGGTGGTTCCTGGAGCACACTCCGGCTTGCTATCGGAGATAAACTCGCCATTCACCATGCTATATCCTGGCTCACATTCCGTGTTCACCAGGTTGATACACTTGCCATTGCTCCACTGCTCCACTTGTGCTCTGGTGGACACTCCGGGTCCTTGGGGCTAATGCACTGCTTGGAGTCCCAAACCGTGCCCTTGGGGCAGGTGGGAATCCCAACAATGCAGCCGCCAGCAACCAAAGTAGACCCTGGAGCACATTGAGGGACGGAGCTCGTAAGACAGTCACCCTTGCCGTTATGGATAGAGCCGGACGGACAGGAAGGAGTGCTGGTAGAAACACAATGGGTACCATCGAATGTTGTATCTTCAGGGCAGGTTGGGATGTGTGGTGTGACGCAGTCCTCCCCATCTAGGGTGTTGCCCTCCTCAGCACATGTGGGAGTATGGGTTGTGGAGACGCAGTTAGCTCCATCGAAAATGAACCCTTCCTCACAAATCGGCGGGGAGACGCTCAAACAAATACCCTTCTCGAACTTAGTTCCAGGAGGGCAGCTAATTTCGACGGTAGAAATGCAATTTTCTCCAGAGAATGTTAAACCAGGAGGACATTCAGGGAGCTCCGTTAGAATACAGCGGTTACCATCCAATTTCGCGCCAGGGGGACATTGGGGAATCATCGCCACTTGCTTTTGGCAGTACTTGCCGACCTGGGTGAGGCCGAGGGGGCATTGACCGCTCGAATCAATTTCGAAGCGACAGACGTCACCATTCCAAGCCATACCGTCGGGACAACAGCGGGCAACGCCGGAAGCAAGATCAGTGGAGACGACATTACCGGAAGAGCACTGGGCCTCCTCACTAAGCACACACTTCTGCGAGTGGAGATCCAGTTCGGATCCAGCTGGGCAGGTCGGCTTCTTAGTTGACGTACACTTCACGGTGGCAGGGCTGAACGTGCTGCCCTCAGGACAGGATGGCGGGATATCAGACACACACTCGCCGTTCTTAAGCTGGCTTCCTTCGTCATACACGGGACCAACAATAGAAGCACACACTCCAAGTTCCTCCTTATACTCTGAGCCAGCAGGGCATCGTGTTGGCGTCTAGCTCTATGCAGGATGCCAAAGGCCTGTTCCAACCCCAGCAAGATGGATCTAGTTCTTTGTATCGGAGCCATGAACTTAATATCGGCGATCATCGCAATATAGGGGAAAGAGAGGGCGTGTGGCGAGCTGAGATACAATTCACGAGGGCTATGTCTCACTAGATCTCGGCATAGGTGACGGAAGTAAGTTGACTAGGGGCATTTAGCCCTGATATCCCACTATTCTGCTTCATACGGGCCGATCCATAGATCTCGATTAGGTTCGAGTCAAGTTGGTTGGTTGATGGATGGCCTCGTGGAGAATTGTTTGTCGTTAATTATACAAAGTACGTTGGCCGTGATTTGGATTTTCTCGCTGCAATAGGCCCCACTCAATCAGATATCTCCATTAACACTATCACCATCAGTGCAAGAGAGTTTCCTCCACGGCCAGACAAATCGAGCTTGATTCGCCGTCGGGCAGGAATCTCGGGACTCAGATCGCCATGTCTCCACCGGCCTGTGGGGTAGCTGAACTCGCTTCGGGAGCTGAAGATGAGTAGCATGCATCACTAGCTTTTTTATATGGAACGCGGTAGCCCAAACCAGAAAGCTGAAGAGCCAGAGCTCCTTGACTCTCGGCTCTCTTTTCCGCTGGTGGCCGAGTTCGCATCAACTTTGCAGCTCGACAGTGTAGACTAGTGAAACCTTAAACAGTTCGCGTGAAAAGTCCCAGCTATCTTCCCAGTTGACTCCAGTAGAAGCCTGGAAGGCATATTTCACAGATTTAGAGCTATCTTTTACATAACGTGATGGACTGAGGAGCTCGGGTTATATTTGTGAGCGTGGAAGTCTAGGGAATATGCAAAGTTCAGCTCCGGAATTCTATGGCTTACAACCCTTTCTTCCTGTCTGGTGCCTCTAGTAACTGATCGAGCAATTCCCCCCGGTCTTCTGTTCGGATCTTAGACTACTACGTAATTTGCAAGACCATCTTCAGAAGGAAAATTCGGAGGGTACGCACCAATCTTGATTGGAAACAAAATATTCCAAAGACTTCCTTGTTCGTTTGGCCCCAAAGCTCTCATGCGGTAGCTGAAAGGGCTCCCAGCTGGAATTACGCAGGGGTGCTGACCGCGAGCGACGCGCAGATCCGATGTTGAATGTACCTATCACACGCATTAAAAGCTCCACTACGGTGCTCTTGCGCGGCCACGTCCAATACAGCATAGGTAGGCCGATAACACACACAATATCTGATGTCCATCGTGGTATTTCGGTATTGAAAATGAACAGCCACCGGCATATATATTCGGGCGAACCCGATCTGCAATTCACACAATACATGGATCCATTAACTCTATTCGAGTTTAACTTGTAGCCCTCCCTTTGGTGAGGCTGAGGACCATGGGCTACTGAGGTCGCCGTGACAAGTGGGTCTGGACGATGCCTTTCCATGTCTAGCAACAACTACAGAACGGCCTAGAATAGCTACTGCTCCAGGGGAGGCACGTCCGGCAAAGGATCTGTCAACGGTGTCGAGTTCGCCTATTCCTGTGGAGAAGGCTCCGCTCAATCAGATCGAAAAAGTCGAATGCGAAAGGAAGATGGCCGGGACGTCCAAGGTTGAGACTTCTGAGACAGTCGCAGCATTAAAGAGACAGGTGCTGGAGAAACTGCCTCGCATGACGGTAACGATGTCGCTACCCAGCTAATGGATGTCGGCCCTACACCACAGCATAGCATTTGCCCGACGTCCAGTGGAAGAGAATTCACGACGACCACTTCGTCTGGAAACACTACCAGGTGGCCAGTCAACTGTAACAGGTTCGTTCCTGGCCATTGGTATGTTGATCGACGCTGCCCGACCGGTTCAATTGTTCAGATTCTGCGCGAGAGACAGGAAACCCGTGATTCCAAAGGTCTCTTGTGGAATCATGTGAACATCTGTCATGAAGTTATACCAACGCCTGGTACATCAGAGATGCATCTCAATACCACCCCGAACTATGAACATATCGATTAGACGTATTCAAGGACAGTGGTTCCATATGCTCTCGCAACTAGTTTGGCCCCCTCACAATGACAATAGGAGCGGACTGTTCCAGAGAATTAGTTCAAGATATTCAAAGTCGTAGTCCGCCTTCTGCACTAGAGATTCTGAGATAGCATGCGCAATTTGGGTCATCAGAAACCCCAGATAGTCCATACATACGTTGCAGGACCACACACCACTCCGAATCGAAGATGACGTGTCCAAATGGCCCCTCGTTGATCGACAGGGATCCTGCTGCATAGCGGCCAGTGAAGCTTCAAGATACAGTCAACTAAGTGGGTTCAGCGTGAGAATAGTACCTCTGCGAGCTCCACTCCCCAGTATTTAACACTTGTCAATGCTTCCGATCAGGAATAGAAAGTCTCATGGTCGCATTAGCTCTTCTCTCTTGTTCTCCATCGCGTTGCCGCATCTTCAGTGCCTTTTCCTCCTGGCACTTCTCTTAGTCCTTCTTCATTGTAACACTCCATTCAGCAAGCATATTGGGGCCCGCTCCCTTTGTGAAGTGTAGCTCTATGGCAATGGAGCAGTCCAGCGCAGCTTGGGACACGTTCCTCGCTCAGAATGATCGGGTCGAGTTTGTCTGGCTGCAGTTCATTACCTTGACGTCGAATCCCCTCATCCGCATGATTCCAAAAAAGAAATTCTCCGACATGCTCAAGAACGGTCAACTCCTCTCGATGACCAGTGCTGTTCTCCATCTCCTTCCGGGCGACCGGCTCGCCGAGGGTGCCAGCCCCACGGGGAAGCTGCACCTCCGGCCAGATCTTAGCACCGCATACTGTCAGTTCGGCTCAAATGGGACTCGTGCCGTGGTTAATGTGGACTGTGTTGATGAGCATGGCGTCCCCATCGCGGAATGTGCGCGGTCTAGACTTCGCGCATTGCACGATCTGCTGGAGCGTGACACTGGAACCGCTCTCCTGGTAGGGTTCGAGGTGGAAGTCATGTTCCTGCGACCAAGAGAAGAGGGGGACAAGGTTGTGGGCTTCGACGCAATCAATTGCGAGCATTCGTTCAGCAGCATGACTCCGCAAGACCGGACATACTTGGATCTGATCGAGGCTGTGGCCCGTGCATTGGCGACCGTAGGGATCGAGTTGGAACAGTTCCACGCCGAGGCAGCTCCTGGTCAGTGGGAGTTTGTGCTTCCGCCGGCACGCCCTCTCCAGGCGATCGATCTGCTCCTGCGGGCTCGCGAAACCATCATGATCGTGGCCCGAAGCTTTGGTCTACGGGCGACCGTCTCGACGCAGCCCATCCCCGACAAGCCATGTAATGGTGCCCATGTGCACCTGTCTGTCAACCCTTTGGAAGGCCAGGAAGAAGCCCAGATTCTGCCAAGCGTAGAGTCCTTTTTCGCCGGAATCATGACGCATCTTCCTGCAGTCCTGGCGTTTTCGCTTCCCCATGACATCAGCTACACTCGGGTTGCTACGGGGATCTGGAGTGGAGGTGAGTATGCGGCGTGGGGATGGGAAAATAAAGAGGTCGCACTACGCCGAATTAAACACAATCGGTTTGAACTGAAGTTAGTGGACGGCTTATCGAATCCGTACTTGGTTCTGTCGGCAATTCTCAGCGCTGGGATGGACGGGATGGCAACCCACTTGCCCCTGACTGGGGGCCACTGTCATACAGCTGCTGCTCGACTATCTTCGCAGGAACGTGAGAGCCTGGGTGTCAAGGTCATGTTGCCCACAACGCTAGATGAGGCTTTAGTGGCATTAGAAGCCGACCGTTGCATCCAAACTAGGATGGGAGACTTGGTGTCGGCCTATACCTGCCTCAAAAGAGGAGAGGCAGCATTTCTTCGTACGATGGACGACGATGAGCGGAGGCGCTGGCTCATTGCCCGGTACTAGAAAACAAATTAGTATCTCACGCTGCCGACTGTGGCTAGATCTTACGGTCCCACGCCACACCTTGCTCATCTCATCGCTGTCGAAATTGCGTGTAGGCTTACCCATCTATCTAGGCTCCAGATAGTTGTCTGCTATAAACACTCACATTGACGGGCACTCGGTGGTAAGAAAGTAAACTCTATGTCGAATAGATAATCTCACAAGGGATAAAATGAAGGACAGTGAGTAATCTACACTGAGCCAAGGAGAGCTGTAACTGTTACAACTCTGTGGGTGCTCTTGGGAGAGTTATGAGAGTTCACGATACGGGGATCACACATATTTAAGAACTGGCAGTTAGGAGTAGGCTAAATACTTGCAACCAATTTGCAACTACAATTCTAATAGTGGTCGGGAGGGTATGTCGTGCGATTTCTGTTGCACGCTTCTTCACGGGAGCATATATTCCTCTTCCAAAAGCAGTGTCAATCATGTAGATCCCCCCAGTGCACTGCCCCCGTCCTAACAACCCCTCCTGAATTGACCACAGTATATAAGCTTCTGGAGGTGGGGGACTGGATCGTTATCTCTGCATATTCGCAGTAAACCGTTCCGTCCAAATTGAGCTTTGTAGAGAGCTATGGTTGTAGACCAGGACGATGATCTGGATAGAACCAGTGGTGCCTATGTGCTCCCCTCGAGCGAACCAAATATGGTGACCAAGAAGGCAGAGGTTGAGCTCAACGGCGCTGCGAAGACCCTCCTCGTCACTCTTGTTGCCCGAGCCTATGCTTTCTCCACGCCTCGACCCATTCTCGGTGATCCATACGCTCAAGATGTGTTAGGGCGCCTTGACTTCGATGTCACCGCAATGACTATGACTCCTAACCAAATGGTGACCATCGCTGTCCGAACGAGACAATTTGACCGCTGGACTTCGCACTTCCTCCAACAAAATCCTAACACTACTGTTCTGCATCTGGCATGTGGCCTCGATAGCCGGATGGACCGTGTGAAATGGGGTAAAAACACTCGGTGGGTTGACATTGACCTTCCAGAGGTCATTGCGCTTCGCAGACAGGTTCAATCTACATCCTTCCCTAGCCACGATTACTCTCTTCTCGGAGTTGACGTCCTGAATGAGGATTGGATACATGGAATTTCCACTGATGGGCCGGTGCTTGTCGTGATGGAGGGATTCCTGCCCTATCTGCCTGAAGACGATGTGAGACGACTGATACAACGAGTGTGTGAAAGCTTCCGCCAGGGGGAACTACTTTTTGACTGCAATAATTCTGCTACTCTACAAAGCCTGAATGAAAGAATGCCAATACAGTCCATTCGCAGCACCGGCACAGAGTTTCGTTCCTCTGTGGACGATCCCAAGATGCTCGAGCTCCTCCATCCTGATTTGAAATTGGCTGGATCGATTCGTCTCCCAGAAGCTCCAGGGGTTCAACAGTTCCCTCTTGACTTTCGTGCGCTGATGTATTTACGTTCTTGGATGCCTGGGGTACGGGACAGCGCAAGGTTCTTGCGCTTCCAATTTGGCGAAATTGGCGCCGTTCCAGATGAATAGCGGACGCTCATCTTGATAGTCCTGCAGACACCTCAGGATAACGGAGCTATATGGATTGAAGATTCTCCACCAACAAGAAGAAGGGTGTTCAATAGATGTAATTGGCTGCGCAGGCTCTACTAGCTTGAGGGTCCGTTCATTTCCTAATACTTTGCCATCCCCCAGGTCCTGTACTTTCAAATTGAACCCTTTCAGCTTAGGCGTTTTCCAAGCTAGCTGGGAGCCTCATCACCTACACTCCTGTTAATGACATAACACTTAGGAAGACAATTCACCCTTGCGCCTCTCCAGGGTCCAACTATGTATGCTGAGATACTGGGGCAAATGAATTTTAATTACGAAAACGGCCGGAAATGGCAGGCATTATCAATAAGAAGCGAGTTGAGGCAACCCTTCATGCCGACTGTGTCAAATATATCATGTAGACCCTTGCTGCATAAGGAGATGAAATGACTCTTGAACATTTCGGACGCTAGACTCGAGCCCTGTTTCTATCGTGTAAGCAGGTATAGTGAATATGATTGGCCTGCTGTGTTTCCTTACCCCATTAAATTATCCACCTATCTACACTAACATACACCATGAGACTTTCACTTCTAGCAACTGTCTCCCCGAACAATCACGTTCCAGTTGTCAGAATGGAAGTCCTGTCCGGAAAGCTTTACTCCTCCTCTTTGGCAGTTGTTGAGAACTACCTGGGCTCCATCAGCGATATTGTTGAAGCTGGGAAGAACCTTGGTGAATGTGTTCTGTTCAAAATGTGAGTACAGCGCTTGGATACAGCTTGCTACGAGACTCACATCATTGCACCACCAGATGGCAGCGCCCCATGAGCAGCTGACCCGTCCACAGTTTCCAGGTCCAGGCCCGTTCGAAGGTTGTCCCGAAACCCCACGCAAGTGCTTGATACCGGCTTCGATATCACCACGGCGCGCCTTTGGCCAGTTGTTGCACTTGATATCGTCCCGTTTGTCAAGTACTGGTGTCTCCCGCTTCTCCAACACAGCGGCAAAGTCGTCATCATAATTGGGGTTGATCTCTAACAGCTGCGCGTGTACCTGCTGGACCGTTCCGTTGAGGATCATTTTGGGACCTCCTGGTGTCGTCTCAACCTCCCATGAGGGCTCCTGAACACCATATCCAGGGATTGGAGACTCGTCCAGCGCTTGAACCTGCGAAGAGGTGTTATGGAGAGCTCTAGGTTCCCATGCTGGTACCGATTGGGGGACTTACGGCAGCAACAAAGCCGGCGGCGAGGATAGAAGCAAACTGTGTCAATCTCATGGCTGCGAAGATATATCTAGATTCGAATACTAGTTATTAAAGGAATGGTGACAAGTCCTGCCGAATGAATTTCTCATGTGGGAGTGACCATCTTCCCTTTTATATTGCTGCAGTCACGATAAACGTAAGTCTATGTTCTTCGTTAGTTTCCACTGTAGTTGGTAACAAGCCACGATGACTTCACTTCAAGACACTGCTGCTCCATTTCCTCGCCCCCAACACCACTAAACAAGCATCCTGAGTAAATAATTGGAGGCCAATATAAGACATCTAAAACCGGTCGCTGGGAGATCCACATAGGCTGCAGTTGATAGGGTTGGATTTTTTCACGACAATTTTGCCCATATTGATCCTTGACTCATCTGGCAAACCATTCCTCCCCAAGTTACTAGACTACAGCACATTCAGAGAGTTCCTCCTCTATTGGCAGCAATTAATCGGCCCGGCCGGGTGCAGCTCCCATGCGTCGAGAACCAGGAGCCTTCTCAGCAGCCTTCTTCACAAAACTTGCGCCAGAGCCGTGAAGGTCGAGAAACAATGCTGATTATACTCCACCAGCTCAAACAGGACTCACGCCGTCAACTGCCAAGATGTGTCCACCGGCGGAATATACCGATTTGGATATTTCTTCGCCCAATTTCTGGTTACTTGTGGGGTGATTCTGCAACATTGCTGACAGTGGGGCATTTTGGAAATCTCGCTCTCTAGACTCTAACGCCGTCCAGGAACGGATCCCTGGTTGTTCTGGAACCCTGGTGCTTCTGTGGATCAAGCCATGGACACTAGGGCACATTTGCACTAAGGGCTGCTAGGGCCGTAATTGCATGACCATGGCAATGGTGTAGGGCTCTTTGCTAAATGTGACCCACTTATGGAGTCCTCTCGGCCCCCAAATCACCAAGTGGGCAACACGCTAACATGGCCAGCTATTTGTCCCTAGTTTCTTCTTTCCTTCTCGATATAGCTTTTGAAAAGCTAGCTGGGTGACGGCGTCGCCTTCACCTAAATATCCACTCATCAGAGGACTCGGCCCGATTATTGGTCTCGTGTCCTAACAGAGAGTAAAACTTTGAGAGCCTACATAGTTGCTATGTAATCGTCAGCTGTTCAGCTATATTAAAATTCAAAGTGATAATGCGCAATATTCGGTTGGGTAGTGTTATAGGTTCCTGCTTGGTCGGGTATATCAGGAACCTTTTCTGAGATATTATACTAATAAATTTATGTGGCTTTATGTAAACATTCAACGTCTTAGATTATTTCTTTTCTATGTCAGGTTAATACATGTAACAGTAGCATCAACATGGGTGATGATGGCTAAATTAGGGTCAACTAACCGGACGGTGGCTGAAAGCTAATCTCACTGAATGCCATACAGCACTGATTATAGGAGGTACACATTTCACCTTCGAAAACGTAAGTACGTTTTGAAATACAATGGTCATTGTGCCCAATTGAGGGGTAGTGGATGTGGAACAGTTCCTTGAATTGGCCTACCTTTCTCTGCGCCAAGAGCAGATCCGGAACCCAGGACTTTGTCTCAAAGGAGCCAACCTCCACGAGAGATTCGTTGCTGGAAGGTTTGGCATGCAGGGTAGTGTACGGACTTCAGCCGTCGACAGTCCTTCAATAGCTTTCCTCTAGGACCTTTAGATAAGGACCTTCTTTCCCGCTCCCTTTGACTATCAATGTAGCTTGGAATGGTCATTCCCATTTACTCTTAGAGCCCTTGATAGATTGCCAGGCTATATCTATTGTATTTACATACGCATATACAATAAATCTGTCTCTCTCTCTAGTAATGACGGAATGCCTTGCTCCAGAGTGGCCTCCACTTACCTTTCTCAGAGCTGCTGCTCCCTTAGAGCATAGCTTCAACACCGACCATCCCCAGCAGAGAATGATTGATGTCAGGATCAACTCCGAGGCCTGATCAAGCATTTCCTGAGAGACACAGACATTTGCCATTCGAGAACTCGCGAAATTATCAATTCACAACCCCGCTGTGATTTGCATTATATCTAGTGAGTTTAGTCTGAAAATGATATAGTTAAAGAATGAACACTGTTATCCATGATCAGCGTATGGCTATCAGGATATCTCAGCTTTTGCCCTCATTCTTTGCCAGCTCATCCAACCCTTGTCCACTACTCATCATGCTATCTTGCAGTTCCAGTTAGCACCACCAACAAACAGAATACATCGAAGATAGACGTCAAAGTAAGACAATGCAAAGAACCAACAGCGAAACGGCAGGGTAACGAACCAACAACCACACGGGACACCAGCGAGAAACAAACTTGACGGCAGCACTATTAGGCCCCTTCCACACCAGCCCGCCGGCGCTGCCCAGCACATCGTCGACAATGGAGGCGGCGAACTCATCGGCGGAGCAGCCTTTGGGGCCGGCTCGACCGGTCGCCCAGTCGGAGATGGTTTGTCGCACCGCTGCATATCGTGAGGTCGGCAGCAAGACTACCTCGGGCTCATTGGCATGAAACGCGGTGGTGATGGTGCCTATCATTAGGCAGACCACGCTGACCCCCAAGGGAGCTAACTCCAGGCGAAGAGTTTCGGACAGTTGTGTGACCGCGGCCTTGGATGAAGAATAGACGCCTAGTCATTGGTAGTTGAAGTTTAGCTCAAGAGAAAAATAAGAGAAAACAAATAAAGAAACAGCAAGCTTACCAATCCAGGGAGTATTGACGACAGCGCCCACACTGCTCATATTAATAATGCGTCCCTTGGAAGTGATGAGCAGGTCACTGCATGCTTGGATAAGCTGTAGCAGCCCCCACACATTCGCATCATAGACTTTCTTCGCGCGATCAAGGTCAGCCTCCAGTAAAGGCATAGTATACCCCGTCCCGGCATTGTTGACCAGAACATCGAGGCCATGGCCATGCTCCGTTACCGCGCGCAGAACCACGGCAATTGTGGTAGGGTCCGTCACATCCAGTGGCAGCACTTGTACGTTCGCCAGCGAAGCGAGGGTCCTCGGGACTTTCGCGGTGGATCGGGCTGTAGCGAAGATAAAGTGACCCTGCTGGGCGAGTTCGAGGGCCAGAGCTGCTCCGATCCCGTGAGCCGAGCAGCCGGTAATAAGGACGGTTCTAGAGCTAGAGGGCATCGTATGAGAGAATAATTTTCCGGGGGTGTGGCAGGCGTGGCTAGCACAGTAAAGAAAAGGTTGTGTATTTACGCAGAGAATACGACGTTGGGCAGGAATGGCAACCAGGGAAGCAAGGTGATGGGATTCTCTCTCCTTTTCTCTCCCCCTTTGTTCTCTTCAGCACAAAAGTACGCACAGGGCCAACATTTTCTGCAGGTCGTACTATACGGGGGGTTGCGAGCATGCCATAGGTGGCATTTCTTCCTAAAGTTAAGAGGCTGGGAGGCTAGAATCGAGGAGTAACTAGCGACTACTTAGTCCCGGAGTAGCTACTCAATCAAATTCTTCCAAAGCTTAGGAGAGCTTGGGCTAGGGCTTACAGGTGGCCAACTAACAAAGAAACTAGTTCCACTCTATGCAAGACCTAACATGGGTTTCGTGACATTGTGATGTGACAAAACAGTTGGAGATAAAGGGAAGGTCGACTGAAACTAAAGATAACATTAGAAGCTGGCTAACATAGAAGTATCTTTTTGGTTTAGCGTCCCCTCTGAACTATTTGTGTACGAGGCCGGGATTATACCTTCTCACAGACGGGCAAGTGTCCTGTCGGCTTGAAGCACAGAAAGATGGCTTCGTCGTATATCTGCAACTGCCCGGCAACTGGGGCTAGTTAGCAACGCGCATAAAAATCGATATACGGTTCACATCCCTGGCTAGTGCCATCATGGTCTTTAGCTCGCGATGTAATATCGTCATGGACAGCTGGACGCCATTTTGGCCGTTATACTGTCAAATCACAGTAAGAACACGGGGTCACTATAGTCCAATATCAACGACCAAGGGTTAGGAATCCTACCGCCAGACCCCAAAGCGGGACGCGCCCAACAAAACAATGCTGTGCCCCGAGAGCCAAAGCCTTAAAGGCGTCTGATCCACGTCGGATCCCACCCTCTAAGCCAATTTGGATCTTTCTTCGTGCGACAGGCTCACATTCTCTAAGGGCATCAATGGCAGCCGGAACGCCGTCTACCTGCCGTTCTCCGTGGTTGGAGATCACGACTCCATCGACCCCATATTCTATCGCCATTTCAACATCTTCCTTCATATTTACTGCACCCGTATCGTCAGATCCGAGATATAAGAGTGACATAATCGAGCTTGCAAACATACCCCCCTGAGGCCATATCGGTAAAGTTGTGTTTTGACGCAGTCACAGAATGAAGCTCTCCCACTCAAGACTCGCATCTAATCACTTAGCTACAATGGCGGGGCTTTTTTTTCGAATGGGCTTACCATAGGGCTTCCCACTATCCTCGTTGAAGAAACTGACCTTCCCACCGAAGTTGAGGTTTGGCCGTGACATATGCTCTGGCAGAACAAATCCACTGCGAGATTAATTCAATCGCTGGCCAATAAGAGGAAAGTCTACGGACAGAAAGAAGGCCCTATAGCCAGCTTCTATAGGAAAGTATAGTCAGTCCCAGGTAAGCTCGGCCACAGACCATCCCTTCTTCCTTCCACACGCTTTCAACTTATCCATTTCGTCAGGAGTATCCTTCGTACCTACTGAAACCAGGATCTAGGAAAAGGCACATAACCCTAGCATGGGCCTAATCACTCTCTCCAAGAAGCCGGTGAGAAAACGGGACAAAATCTTGATCGTCGGCAGCTGGTTGTTTGGCTTAACGTCCGCCTTGGAACTAAGAAAGCGAGGATACGACCATGTCACTGTTTTTGACCGGACTCTTCCTCCAGCTCCAGATGGACCAATCGTCGATACTTCTCGGCTAATTCGGGCCGACTGTGCGGACCCGTTTTACTCCAAGATGGCGTTTGAGGCAATGGAGCAGTGGGAGGCAGATTGGGGAAAGTAGTTCCACCGGAGCGGGTCCTCTCTTAGCTGTGAGTCTAGAGCGACTGTATCGCGCGAGGGATTTGCTCGCCTCAACGGCCTCCTATTGACTCAAAGAATGTCGCAGCAGTTCAACTTCGAAATGGTCTTAAACATCTAGTTGTAAGCGAAGGAGGTAATTGGGCGCCCATTGGGTTTGGAGCATTCGGAGCCGAGAGGGCACGAGCTGAGTGCAGCCAGTTCCCGGTGGGTTTGAACACGAGAATGATAGGGATCCTACACGAATAGCTTTATCCGGACACGTCTAGTCCCGTCATACCATTTGCGTATCACTGGACGATAGGACTAGACAGCAAATGTTGGGAAGTGGAAATTGAAGTTCGCCCAACCCCAATTAGAAAACAATCAATCCATCCCTGTCGACGGAGTTACAACTTCCATTTGGTAAAGTCCGCTATCTCCGTTAGGGCTTTCCGTATAAACCTAGCCTCTTCATCCTTTTGGGGATTACGCTCATGCCTTTAACTACAGTATATCTTTCCATCCATCATGGGCTCGAAGAAGCTCACCTGGCTCATCACCAGCTGCTCATCTGGCTTTGGCCTGTCCCTCACTCGCGCCGCTCAGGCTGGTGGCCACAGGGTCATCGCCACCTCGCGCAACCCTTCTCGCACCCCCGATCTGGTCGCAGAAGTCGAGGGGAAGGGAGGTAAATGGGTCCAACTCGATGTTGATAGCGCCGAGAGCAGCGATGTGATTACCGAGCTTGAGGAGGGCGGAGAACAGATTGACGTCCTTGTGAACAACGCGGGGGGTTCTATCTACGCACCCATTGAAACCAGTACCGATGAGGAGATTCGTGCCCAGATGGAGACCATGTACTTTGGGCCCCTGCGCCTTATCCGCGCAGTTCTGCCTCACATGCGGCAACGTCGATCCGGTGTCATTGTCAACATGAGCAGTGGCGCTTCCCTCGATGGGATCCCTACGATGGGAGTCTATGGGAGTGCTAAGGCTGGTCTGGACGGTATGTCAGATCCTCTACTCGCGGAAATTTTCGTTGTGGATCTTCCTTGTGACTCACAATGGCACTCTAGCTCTTACCAAGATCCTCGCCAAGGAGGTTGCTCCTTTCAAGATTCGTACACTGACTGTTGTTCTGGGGACTTTCAACACCAATATGCCCCAGTCTGTAGTGCTGGGCAAGGCCCCTCTGCCCGACGACTACAAGGGCACCGTTACTGAGCAGATCCAAGGGCTGCTGCTGAGCGGAAAGATTAAGCCCAATGGCGACAAAGACAAGGCCATGCAGGCGTTATATCAGATTGTAGTTGGCGAAGGTGAAGGCGAGGGACACGAGACGGAGAAACTGCTGCCATTGGGGAGTGATATGACTCTTCGCCTCAAGGGAGTCCAGAAATATCTCGACCATGCCCTACAGGTGTTTGACTCTGTGACCAACAGTGTTGTTGATGTGGTGGATAAATAGATTTATTTTATCAAACAAATGGCAAAACAAAAGGGAAAAAAAAGATCGGCCCGAACCCGGGATCGAACCGGGGACCTCGCGCAGTCAATGCTTGGGTTTCTCCCTAAGCGCGAATCATACCACTAGACCATCCGGGCGGTAGATATTTTATTCCTCCAAAGAAGCCTAGATAAATGGAATATAAAAAAAGTAGAATCTCCAACAAAATAGATCTGCGAGCAAACGCAGATTATTGGAAGACAAAGTGGTAGAGTTAATCCGTGTTTTCTCCCTTGGAAAGTATTTTCTGTCATACTTGAAGTTCTGATTGTAATGGTTGCGACTAGTTGCTGAGCCACGAAGTTCGGTCCTGGCTTCTCCTTATATATATTGTGAATTGGGGTCCAGTTCCCCATTGCACCTTCTCGTGAACATACGACCCCCGACCGCCAAAACTTCCCCAGAAGATATTAGCTCTGCTCTTTACAATCTTTGACACGTATATACCAACGCACCAAACATGCAGAACCCCAGGAGACACGAGTTCGGGTTCTCCACGACATCCGTGACGCGTTTTGTGCGAGTGGTGGTCGAATCAATAGACTGCCCCTTGTAGCAGGCGGTCACAGCCTCCAACGTGGATTGTCTTTCTCTCCTCAGGCATCCCGCGTTCTCCTTGTCTTGTCCGATGTTGGATCTTTCTTTGCTTTTCAGTCTAGACTCTAGGCAGTGTAGCAGCCTGGATGAATCGGTGGAAATGGTCTTGTCATCGGGTGGCCAGGCCACTACGCGGTGATATTCGTCCATTCATCCATGTATCAAAGGTCTAGTCCTATCAACGTCAAGGAGGTTGGGTTCGTTAATCTCCGTCTTCCAAAGACAAACCCATAGCAAGGACGGTGGTATATCACGTAGGGCTTCAAACACCATAACCATCCCATGCTCCCGACATCTCCTGGACGTCAATCTCAGCCTCGGCATTTCTAGCATTCTACTCATTGGGTCCCAAACCCCCGGATACCTATTAGATAGGCCGTGCTAATTGGGCCTCAGGATGCTGAACCTGGCCAAGATGATGCGTGCGATTGGCCCACCTTGTTAGCTCACCACGCGATTCTCATGTTGACCTGCTTCAAAATTGACCTAAAATAAACGAGTGGCTTTTAGCGCCGAGGAGTCCAATCACTCCCAGAGCCAACCCACCACCTGGATGTTCTACCACAGCCTTGCGGGGTAATGTTGACCTATATATATATATGCCGACTGAGGGATCTCCATCGCTGTCGCAGACAAGACTTGTCAAACCACCACACTGCGGAGAGAAAGCAAACATGAAATTGGACCCTCGTGCAGCAACGGTGCATGATGTTGATGACCATGACAATCCCATCCTGCATAGCAAGCGATCGGCAACGCGAGTGAAAAAGGAAACATCACCGTCTGCGATGCGGAAGAGCACTGTCCATCACGCCATACCCCCCAGGGGCATTATCGGCGAGTCCATCATCAGCGGCCCCATCGAGCACATGGTCAAGGCGCTTGGGACGCACCGGAGCAATCCGCTCACGATCTTTACAAGGGGTCGGGATCAGAGCCGCGAGTGGAATGAGATCGGGGGATGTCGGTTTCGGAAGGTTTTTTTTACGGGTAGGGTGCTACTCCGCTGGTTACCTCACTGGTGAAAAGACAGAAGCTGAACAGGTCCTGAACGTCAGATGAGACGGAAGTTTTGAAGCCCGATGCAGTCTATGAACGCCAGCGTTCCGTTCGTCTGACTGCCTTCATCCCGAAAAAGGATGAAACTCACCCAGACCCGAGGATCTATGTGGAACAAAGGGTTTACCGTGGAGGACAGGAACAGATCGTCTTGCATGAACTAGGCTTCAGAGGACGCATCCAAGTAGGGGTCGAGTATGTCTTCGCGGGATGTGGAGATGAACACGTCAACTGGGGGAAGCGCGATCTTCTGCTGCAAATCCAATCGGTACGTTGGACACATCTCTGAATCACCTAGCTTTCTTATTTACAGTAGAAAACAGCTGGATCAGGATATATTCGATAGCTATATGCACCGAGCGAAGTACTACGGATACGACCACACGTACTGCGTTTACGTGAATAGACACATGGTATCGAATGGGGTAAACCATAGGCTACCCATCCTGGATCAGAGGAGACGGTCGCCCTGCAACATCTGCTTTGATCCGGATGATCTTCAGGCTTTGTTGAAGGCCAAAGGTGTTATGCATTTCAATTGGGAAGGGCCCTCGACGGCAGAGATCGAGCTCCTGAAACTGCGTTTGCGCGGGCTTGGGGATTGTACGGAGGATGGCATGGCTTCGGGCGACCTCCATATCCGTATCATATACAAGCCTTGAAATAAGGGACTCGGATGCGCTTGATTCCTCCCAATATTGGTTGGAAATGTGTATTTGCAATGATTACCGTGTGATCAACTTTCATCTATAGTCAGAGTATTGTTTGTACCCGACAATGTCCATCTAATATTTGATTCAGCCACAGTTTGGACCGCATATCCACACTCAGTATGGCCGTGTCCATTTATTATATCTTTAGATGAACTCCCCATCGTTGGAGAACACGAACGAGGGATGGAAGAGGTCCGCTGTGGGACGGATTCAACAGAGCAACGATACTGACTCTTCCCAATCATAGCCTATACCGGAGATAACCATTACAACAGGTATTTTCGACTTAATTTAGATGATCACATCTATTTCGGGCGACGCCCCATGTTTCTTTAGACACAAGTTGGAATGAAGAAGCAGTCTTGACGTGGACACCAGCAGCAGCTCCATTGAAGGCTCATCAAACGCCTGCCGTTTTCCCAGCAATCATACTTTCCTGACCTGACGAAAGATGATATATAGACAACCCATTAAGAACGGTTTCTATGGATAGGGGTCAAATGCACATTCAACGGCCCCCGTTGCCACATTAAAATGTTTTTCTGCCGAATCCAATCCTGCGAATCGTCTGACAGCTTCATGTCAAAGTTGAAGATCATGAGGGCTAAAATCAGGCGCATCTCGCTATACGCGAGACTGAAAGAGGATCGGTCAGTTATCATCTGTCACTGGAGCCGAATAATCTACTTACTTGCGACCTAGACAGCTTCGGGGACCAATATGGAACGGTTGGAGGACGTCGCGTCGATCATTCAAGAACCGAGGGTCCCGGAGGAATCGTTCCGGGTGGAAAGTATGTGGATCTGAGAAATACTCCTCCCGTCGATAGAGAGCCCAATGATGAATCGAAACGTATGTCTATACTGCCGATATTAGCCATGAACGGACCCATCAACCGGATTGCAAATACTCTTGCTGGAATGCGAGCTCCTAAGATTTCCGCTCCACCCTTCGGAGTGACCCGAGGAGGGCCAACAGCACCAGGTGGATACATGCGCAATGCCTCGTCCAGACAGGCCAGCATGTACGGTAATTTAGCAACTGACAAGAGGTTGATCTCCTCCTCGCTGTTGAAAGCCGATCGCACTTCCTTTACCAGAGTCTGGTAGGCTTCCGGGTTTTTGAGAATGAGATATGTGACGCCGGAGAGCAAAGTAGCCATCGTCTCGGAGCCGGCGATAACCAAAGTCTCAGCATTCGCGGTGAGTTTGTCGACGGTCAAATTCTGGAGTAGTTCGTTAGTAGCTACCCCAGATCATCCAAGGGAAGTGTGTACCAGCTCTTCTTTCTTCTTTAAAAGCCCCTCGATCAAGTCAGGCCGCTCCTCCGCAATTGCCATCCGACGAAGCATCTTTTGCCGTGTGAATTCATTGAGGCGCTCACGCCTCTCGCGCACCGATTGGGGTACCAAGGCCAGCAAGACCTGTTTGAATAGGGGAGTGAATGACAGGGCCTGGAGAACAGTGGCGAAGCGTATCGCCATAAAGATACTCTCAATCCACTCGACGTAGCTGGAGCCCTTCAGACAGCCGAATGACTCACCGAATGATAGATCGCCGATGATATCAAAGGTTGTATAATTGTACCAGGCGGAAAGATCAACGGCCTTCTCCCCGCATCCAACTTTGCACAACCTCTGCAGCAGAAGATCAACATACCCCCGGATCATCGGCTCTTGATCTCTCATCCCCTTGTCCGAGAAGCTATGGGCCAATTGCCGCCGCAGACGACTGTGCTCTTCGCGGCTCTCATTGAAAATATGTGGTTGGTCATATTCCAGAGGTCTGTAGAACCAGCTAGCTTTTTCTAGATACAAACCTCCCTTGTTGTGGCCCAAGATATCCTTCCATGCGTCCGGGTGGGAGAAGGCTAGCTCGTCGGGGGCGATCCGAACAATGTCACCATAGCGTTGATGGAAGTCGAGCATATCAAATGGAAGAGTGCCCTTGAAGACACGGATGAAGTACGGGAGCCGTGAGGCGGCGTGCGATAACGGACCAGGATATCTGGCCAGCGGATGGAAAAAGATATTATAGACAGCATTGCTCACCACGTAAAGAGCGATCTGGGTCGATTAGAAAGAAACACCGCCATGTGTATAGGGCGAACCTACCGCTGCCGCACAAGTCACCGCCCATGAGATGGCATTGTAAGGGATATGAACACTGCTCAACATCATAGAAATACTCTAGACTTGGGAGGATGTTTGTCTGAGAAGAGATCGGAAGTGCGCGATTCAGCTCTACCTCGTACCTACCTACTCTCCTGCCCACAATCCGAATGACTGGATTAATGATGACAAAGGGTCCCAGTATTCCGATCTAGTAACCTGCAGGAATTAAATAGCGTAGTGGGAAAGCAAACGTTCCCCGTCACCGATCTTCGCGCTTGGACCGTGGGTACACCGCAAGCAGATTCTCACCTGCACCAGATGTTGATAGCTTAATTAGTTACCATAGATCAATCTCACGCAACTATTAAATTTCCAGGAGTGATATCTCACAGTAGTCTATGGATTATCCGCGCCTTGCTGTCTATCGATCGTGATATAGAATCTTTAGGGCTCTAAAGGGAGCTCAATGAAATCATTGACTTTGATTGATTGCTGCGCGGTCTAGGCGGCTGAGACTACTCAGGCCCTAACTACTTTCTGTCTAGATATTTTACTTGGCATTCTTTATGTATGCTTATTGGACTATTTGTTGACCGGAGAACTGTTCCGCAGTCCCATTGCATTCTGTGGATGAGACCAGTCTTATCCGCATGCGGCGAACAGGTTTATTTACCACAGTTGAGATACACGTCTCTGTCCCATTTCTACCAACCTTCACTGACCGGGGCATTGGAAGTGAAATGTGTACACGTCACACGTCAGCCAGCCTTCAACTCGAGAAAATGTGGAGATCAAAAGCCAACGGGAGAGTTGGGCCGGTATGCATCAAGGCTACCCTGCCCTTCTTTTCCCTCGAGACAGCTCTTCGGCATTGATCGTCGCTCCAATAGGTCCATCCTACAACAGAACATGTCATTATGGTTACATGGTATAACTCATCTGTACACTGCTTACATTAAGGGCTGTCTTTAATAATTTTAGCTTCCGTTTTCATGCGTGCACTGGCAGTCTTACTATCATCACTGCAAAAGTTCAGTCCCTAAAATGCAACATTCTACTGAACTTTCTTTCAATAAGATCGAGCATTCCCTACGCCTATTCTGAGCACCTCAAAAATTACATAGGTCTCCCTTTCTCTGTTTTCGCGGTATAATAGAGAGACAACATGGATCCCAGGTCCACGCTCTCTAACAACTATACGCTGAAGATCAAGAATCGCCTCAATGCCCAAGCAGATCATCTCCCATTCTCGGCGCGCAACACGAATCCAGAGGCATGGCGCCTGGTTGTCGAAAAGGGTCTTGGGCGTTTAAAATGGAAATATCTGACTTCCCAGAGTGAACGGGATTCTCATCCACAGGATCTAGTTTCGCGATTCTTTCTAGGACTTCCTCTGGTTTGTGCATAATTTCATCTCCTACCTTCTGCTGTGTGTCCGCTTGTCATTTAATCTTATTTCAATCTTATTTTAATTTTTTTTCTTCTTTCTTTTTCCTTTCTCCACCTCAATCTCTGAGAAAAAAAATATAATACTAACTCAATACCAGTCCATTCCAGATTTTGAGCCAGCAGAGAGCCCATCTCAATCCATATCCAATGGCCTGCGATTTCATAGCCGTCTCCAAGTCGCTGGACGGGGCTGCTGGGCGGCTGACTTGCAATGCATTCTCTTTGTCACTCCGATGCTTATCATGTCCTGGTACATCACTGGTGCGGAGATTGATGAGGCGTACGCAATTGAGATGGTCAAATATCTTTTTCAAAGTCAGGACCCAACAGACGGTGGATTTCCTACACACACCGGGGGTAAGACCACGCTTATGGGCACCATGTTGATCTATGTTGCTCTTCGACTAATGGGCGTGCCCTCGGACGAGGAGCACCTCATTAAAGCAAGAGCATGCTTCTTGGATATGGGCGGTGCGGCGTATCTACCCAGCTGGGCAAAGTTCTGGCTTGCTCTTCTTGGCTTGTATGGCTGGGAAGGAACCGACCCTTATCCCGTCGAACTCTGGTAAGGCTCATTTGACCTCTACCTCTTTCGCTTCGTTTCTATCTAAAGTCCCAGTTTTTATTAACAATTTTCGTCACAATCCCAAGGCTCCTCCCAGAGTGGACCCCGATCAGCCCATGGAGATGGTTCAACATTGTCCGCCAAGTCTATTTGCCCATGTGCTATCTCTCTAGTAAAAGGTTCACCATCCCATCAAACCCTCTTTTAGATGAAATTAGAGAAGAGATATTTACGCAGCCATATTCATCTCTCGACTTTGCCTCTCTGCGTGGATCCGTCCTCGAGTGTGAGCGTCACCAGCCGCAGGGCCGCCTTCTGCGCACGATTAATTGGACCTTGTCCAATGTGTGGAATCCGTGGTTACGTCCTAGAATCCTGACTGAGCATGCCGAGAAAACAGCCTTGGAAGTCGTGAAGGCGTCCGATAAAACATTCAACAGCACTGGAGCAATCAGTTTGGACTGTTTCTTGAATATGATTGTCTTCTATTGCGAGGAAGGGCCCAACTCCAAGAGGGTACAACAGAACCAAGACATAACTCTGGAATATCTTTGGATCAGTTCACAAGGCATGCAATCCCAGAGTATTCATGGCGGCCACGTTTGGGAGACTTCTTTTGCCCTTCAAACTTTTGCAATGTCCGGATTGGCAGACCATCCGGACCTGAGGTGCTGCATCGAAGATGCCTACAAATTCCTGCTTGAGCAGCAATTCCTTGAAGATTGGCCTGATTCACCTCCATGCTATCGTCCCAGTCGCCTAGGTGGGTGGCCATTCACCACGAGATATAATGGAACGACGTGCTCGGACTGTACCGGGGAGGCATTAAAAGCTATTCTGCTGGTGGAAAGTCAAACGAACATTCCTCGGCTTAGCATGGAGGGGAATATCCGGCTAGGAATCGATAATCTGCTCATGATCCAAAACGCAACTGGAGGGTATAGCGCTTTCGAGCCCATTCGCAGCGGCCCTTTCATGGAATGTTTGAATGGAACTGAGCTTTTTGCCAACGTGATGACGGAGTATGATTACACGGAATGCACTTCGTCCTGCATCACTGCACTGAGCCTCTTCAAGGAGCGCGATAGCACCTACCGAGCAGAGGAAGTGGCTCGCGCTATTGACCGTGGTGCTAACTTTATCCATCAGAACCAGCATCCTGATGGAGGTTGGCTTGCCTCTTGGGGGATTGCTTACACTTACGGTGCCTTTTTTGCCATGGAGGCTCTTCACTGTGTAGGGGAGACATACGAAAACCATCTTGTTGTCAGGAAAGGGTGCGACTTTCTCATTGGCAAGCAAAAAAAGGACGGCGGATGGGGGGAAACCATTGAGGTACGTCATCAAACTATTGAGTAGCGTACATGACTGCTAATCCAAACCATTTACAGTCCATTCTCAAGAAACGGTATGTGCAAGCAGAAGCATCCCATGTGGTTCAAACCGCCTGGTGCTGTATGGCACTGCTGTATGCCGACTATCCCGATCCTGAGCCCATCAAGAGAGGAATTCAGCTTATCATGAGCCGACAAAAGCCAAATGGCGAATGGGAACAGGAATCAGGCGTGGGAGCAGGAATCTTCACCTGGTAAGTCATGGAACCCCCTGGGGAATGAGATGGGATCCTGATGATGTTCTTTCCAGTCAACTATTATATCATAATTATACCTACTCGTTCCCCATCAGGGCCATTGCCCTCTACAAGCAGAGATATGGCGACGAGAAGCTGCTCTGATTCAGGGAGTATGCGTATCCAGTACTAGATCGCACTACATTCAGAGCATGCTAATATCACCTAGCTACTTGCGACTGGCTCGCGCTTAATCACCCGGTGAGATCAAGTCAGTTTAAGTAGCGAATAGCATACGGAGCGCTTGGTGAGAAGGTCAGATCCTCCACAAGAAAGGTAGTGCCCTCATGTTAGAGCGGAATGCTTTCGGTAGCTTTGTCAAAAGTATCTTGATTCTTCATGTCAGGACGTTGAGGCCCAATGGCAGCCTGATCCAGAAGTGGTGATCTACCAATTCTCTCTATCTTTAGTTAAGTAGAGTAAACAGTGCTGCACCGTCACCGGTCTGTGACTGAGCGTCCACTAAAAGGGCAGGGCAGTTTCGCCTTTGATTCCCACCAGTTTTCACCTTTCACTGCCTTGTTTTATGTATCCTCAAGCATCCTCATAATGGCCTGGTTCTTGGCAAACCAGTCCCAAAGCTGAGCTCCAGAGAGATCCATTTCCACCTCCACCTCCACATCCGCAAATGCCGTGTTCTGTAATGCCGTGGGCGCGACCAGCCCATTGACAAGTCCCATTCTGTCCCCGTCAGCTTCGTCATGAGACGCCATGTGTCCAGAGGCATCTGCAGTGTTTGTGGTCCCTGGGTCTCCCATGATTCCTCTAGAGTCCAATGTACCAAGCCAAGACCGTTCGAGGCCGTCCCGGCGAACAAATCGGCATCCTCCTGCCGAGCTATCGACCACATCTCCCCTGGCCCCCCATCCGCGCGGGATTTGGCCTCAAGATATTTGGCGGCGACGTCATACAACTCCCTGAAGAGGCGACGTTGCTTGCTGCATGTGACGTGTGCACGGGAGTTTGATGTAGATTCGAGCGTCTCGACGAGACATCTCACGTGCTCGAGGTCTGAGACTTCGAGCGTTTCGATGATGTGGCAAAACAGAATGATGAAAGGGATGAAGGGAGACTGGGTGATGGTCCTGTATCGCCATGTCAGAATAATCTGGTCGACAACGGAACGTGGTATCGTCGAAAACGAACCGGTTGATGTATGCTTCCGGGAACACCGTCTTTCCGCGCGCCTTTGTTATCACCGCGACGCATCAGTCGTGTTCTTGAAGGGTGTCTCTGGCGGCATCGAGGCATTCTTGACAAAATGTGGATGTCGATGGTTTCTCAGGGGCAATGCTCCGGTAGATGAGCGTAAGCATTGAAAGGCCAATGACTCTATCGGAACGTTTTGCAATTTCGTGGTAATCCGGTCCGAGCACTTGCCCTTTGCTCGCCTCGTAATGGCCCTGTGGCCAGTCAGCCGTCAGCATGGCATCGAGGGGTGATTGGGACAACTGCATCATCCTAAGCAGGTAGTCAGAACGAACTCACGTGGATGGCTTGCGCATGTTGCATGGCAGTTTTTAACTCCGACGCAAGAGCCCGGGCATGAGACGTCCGGATGTGCGCAGGCTGCCTGAGGGCTCCTGGACTGTAGATGTCATCGTATATCCGGCCCTGTATGCTGGCCATATTGATCCAAGCCCAGCGTGGTCCTACTGGACAAGGCGACGAGCGCCTTAGATACCGAGTCAGAGAAGCCCATTCAGGGCGCGCTACTGCAGGCAGCGTCATCCTGCAATCGTATCACCATTGCGGTGGCGCATCGCCTTTTGACCGTCCGCGACGCTAACTGCATCTTCGTCTTCTACGCTGGCAAGGTTGTGGAGGCCGGGACGCACAGCGAGCTGATTGGAAAAGGAGGCATGTATGCCAAGATGTGCGAGGCTCAGAAGCTTGACGGCACTGCATGATTATCTCACCCAATGTAAGTGTTTATTCAACTATAAATATGTATAGAAATCTACAAGTGAATCGCTCATTTTCATAAGAAGAGATCTACAAGATGTATCTAATCCCTGTATGGTTTCCTCCCAATCCGCCAGCTTCACCTTGATCGCTCTCCTGGGCCATGTCGAGACGCCTATTCATCCGGGCATGGACCATCCGAATGACAAATGCTAGGATTGCGACCAAGAGCGCGATACCGGCCGTAGCACTACCACCCGCGATGTACCGCGGACCGGCGGACGATGGCCACATGTAACTGCCATAGATGGACGCCGTGTTGCCAATCATATTTGCCGTCGCGATCGCTGCGGACCGTTTCACGAGGGGCCGGGGGAAGGAATTGGCCACCCATGCGATAATGATCTGGTAGGCGGAAACGGCGCCCATCGGCATTCTACACAGTCAGTCCTGTCGGCCTTGAGTGGACAGTGATACATACAGAAACATGCCAAAGAACTTGGCACCGATATTCGTGGTCGCGGTACAGATCACGCATCCGACTACACTGACGAGCATCAACGATATAATATGCAGACCGCGATCGTTCGTCCGGCCCGACGACCATGTCACTAGAAGAGAGACAATAAAGGTGGCAATCCAAACCGGCGCGGTGATCAGCAAAGTCTCGATATTCCCATAGCCGAGCGTCTGGACAATCGTTGGGAAGAAATACTGGAAGTTCTGCGACAGGAGCGAGGTGTGTTGGAGCAAGATGAACAGGTAGATGCGCTTGTCGGAAAATACCAGCCATAGCGCTTCGCGGAGATTGTTCGACTTGGCTTCGTCGGCTTCTCCCGCGTCATGGATGAGGCGCCATTGCGCATATAACTTCTCCGTCTCATCAAGCCAGGATGTGGTGGCAGGGTAATTCGGCAGAAGGAGACTGAACCGTTAGCATTTTCTTTGAGAAGGAGTACAATGCACCTACATGGACACCAGCGATATTCCCACAGTGACGCACCCTTCGATGATGAATAACCATCGCCATCCAGATATGTTATGGGCACCGTCTAGATTGCTTAGGACACCGGCACCGATCAAACCGCCAAATGCGTTGGCCAATGAGCTTCCGGCGTAAAACCAGGCAATTCGATGGCTCAGCTAAAGACGAGTCAGCATTCGGATCAGATCTGGGGCCGATGACCATCGAATCATACCTCTTGGCGGGTGTACCAACTCGACCTGATCTGATCAGCATCGTCCCATTGGCGGCCGATTTTGACTTACATGAGCATAATGGCCCCAGGAAAGAACGGGGCCTCCACAAAGCCGAGGAAGAATCGTGCGAGGACCAAGCCTGTAAAGGAATGGGTGGCAGCCTGACAGGCTGATATCACCCCCCAGATGGCCATTGTGATCCCCAGAAACAACGAAGGCCGCACCCGTGTGAGGAGGAGATTAGACGGTAGCTGCATGAGAAGGTATCCCACAAAGAGGATGCTGGTCGCGAGATTATAGTCTGTCCCTTTCATGCTCAGGTCCTTCTCCAGAGTGCCCAGTCGGGCTTGAGACAAATTGCTACTTTGTCAGTTTCGCCGCGGTGGATGATTGAGGAGCGTACCTACTTCCGATCCAGAAAGTTCAGCAAGTACATGACGATTAGGCATGGCAGGAGATGCACATCCACCTTGCGGAGGAGCTGTCGGGTCATCTTCCGGTGCCATTCCGGACTTTGGGAGACATAAGTCTGATAAATCACATCTTGTTCGGACTGCTCAACCTTTTGAGCGTTCTCATGATATTCGGCGAGAATGTCCTCCTGTTTTGTCATGTTGGGTGGTTGAAAGAATCACGTCAACCGGAATGACCCTGGATTTAGGATGTGTTGTGACTTTTCAATCGGCGCATGTCCGATTTCCCCGCAATGGCCGACGCGGGGGAAGCTTGCTCGGGGTAGCTTTGCCCCGGATCTGCCAATCCAGCACTCTGCATGATATCCACTACGGCGCGGGGTGTCTGGCGTTATATTGGTAAACGTGTTCGGGGTCTTCCTCGGCCATGTTCTCCTAGTGCCTACATGTATCAAAGAGGCTCATTGTGGACACACAAAAACTCTTCGTCTCCACCAGCCTTCCCCGGTATGCTTCAGTTCAACTGAGGTCGCTGTGCCGTCGAGGGCTGGCTTCAAGATGCGAAGAGCATAGTTCACGGAACTAAAGCCGGTAGCAAGAAACCTTTATCCCGGGATAGATAGCTATACTTCTCTGCTGCCATCAATGCAGAGATATGGCCAGTTGCAGGATTTGGTCGAAGGAGACAGTAATTAGGAAAACCACTCATAACAGAGCAATTATATGCGCCGGGTCCGTCGTACCGCATCCAATGCATTTCCAGAGTTCCTTCCTTGCCGTGCACGCGCATGTATGGAGAGAACTGGTTGGTTTGGAAGCCAGTGGCAAGAACGATGACATCTGCAGGGATGAATCCGTCTTTGGTTTTTAAACCACCCGGAGCTATCTCGGTGATTTTAGCGTCACTCAAAACGACCTTTTCGTTGTGCAAGGACTTGAAATATCCTGGATCAAAGATACGTCGCTTGCAGCCCACATCAAAGTCGGGGATTAGGAGGTCATGATATTTCTCTGGGGCAGTCTCGTGCATATACGTCTCTGTCGCCTTCCTTCGGCTCTCGCGGCGCTTTGCGGCCGCCTTTGTCATTGGGAATAAACGAAAGTCATTACCGGCCACCAAAACGATATGAAGACGATGGAGCGTCGTGGCTAGAGGAATATATTGGAATATCCATTGGAGAAGAGGAGGGTAGGTGAAGTTGGCAGCTGGAAGTACCCAGTGCCTGGAGCGGATGATCTGGTGGAGTGACTCCGTCTTATCAACAATTGCAGGAACAATTTGCGCAGCCGTGCCTGGAGTATGCTAGCCTCATGGGTAATATCCGGGACCACAAAACCAAACATCCATTCCCAAGCACAGCAATCTTCTTTCCCTCGAGAGACACATCATGTCTCCGCCTTGCCGAGTGGAAGATGGCTCCTCGAAATGTCTCAGCACCAGGGATGTCACAGGGGCGAGGCTCTACCAGCTGCCCCGTTGCAGCAAACGGTATTTGGCACTCGTGATAGGAGATATCCCCCGTTGTAAGGTTAACAAGGGTCAGACACCAAAGATTTGCATCCTCTCTCCAGACATATTCCCTGACTTCAGTGGAAAAGGTCATCTTGCCCCTCAGGCGGTAGGCTTCGACGGCTTCATCTTGGTATGCTTTTATTTCTTTGTATGAGGGCATTAACTTCGTCCATCTAGGATTTGGATGGAATAAGCATGAATAGAGCGCGGATGGGACATCACAGGCACAGCGTAGGCTCTACGGTTAGGAAAATTATGTCAAGCTGTGTGGTGAAGTATACCTGGGTAGGAGTTTCTGTGTCAAGTGCCGCCGCAATCGCTGTGACGTTCAAAGAAACGAACGTCTTCAAGGGAATACCATCTCTTAAGCATCACGCCTAATGCAATCATAGAGAGACCAGTTCCAATACGTGCGATTTGACTGTACGACGGGACTGTGAATTTCCCTGCTGGGTCACTCATAGTGGTGACTTTGGCTGTATAGGGAGACCTAGCTGCGGTCTTTTTGTCTCTGTAATACTTTCCCACCGTTTACATGATAGCCCACCTCATAGAAGTAAGCTCGTCAGATGATCCCCTGAATGATGCATGATGTTTGTCTAGTGTCCAGCTGGCGTAGGCTCCTCCACGGCACTTGATTTCTACCGAGGCTAACTGTGGAACGGATCGGTTCCGGTATAAGGATTGCGGGGTCGGGATGCACCCGCCCTCTAGAGTTCTATCAAATATCCAGAACTCCTGCGCCCAGCTTGCTCGATAAGTGGGTGGAAAATGGCTCGCAAATTGTCCCCTGTGGGGGGTCTACAGGTTCTCTTCAACTTCGTATTTTTCGTCTTGCCGTCAGCGACGGGTAGGATTGGGCGAGCCATTATCAGGGCTTGGCTGAGAAAGCTACCGATGAAGCCAGCTATCTGGAATGGATTTGCTGGTAGTTTGATGCTCAACATCTCTCCAGTGCAACTTCAGGCGATCCTACCTTCGACCTTTGACGCGTATAAAGAATGGATCACTTCGAGGGGGGATGACATTCGTGTGGATGTTGTCGCTGATAACTCCACCAGGCTGCTGTGGGTGGGCCCCCGAGGAGGGAAGAAGGTGCTCCTTTTCTTCCACGGTAATGTCTCCTAGCCATTTCCTACTATAACAGTTCTGACAACTTGTAGGTGGAGGATATGTGATGCCACTGTCCAAGGCCCACCTGGATTGGGTGGAACATATCCGAGAAGAAGTGTGCAACGCTGGTATCCAGCTTAGTACGTGCATTCTTGAATATGGTTCGTACAACTCCACGCTATAAGCATACCCCTGGTCGAAAAGCTGACATCTCAGACTTGATTCCTATGCATCCATATCCTCGACAAATGCTGCAGGCAATATTGGCTCTGAAGCACCTTTTGTCCGCAGGATATGAGCTGTCTGATGTAGGTGGTCGGATAGAGATATGTCTGAATAATAAGCTCACATCAAGCTCATTAGATTATATTCGGAGGAGACTCTGCGGGTGGTCACCTTTCTCTGTCTCTACTATCGCATATGCATCATCATCGTCCATTTGAAGGCCGTGAAGACTGTCGCGTTGATCGACATCATGGGGTACGAGGCTGCTTCCTCGTGTCCCCTCTATGCTCATTTAGTTTCAATACTCCCTCGTACAACAAATGGTTCAGCGTCGATGTTCTTGGAAAACAGGTAGTGAGTAAATGGGGTGAAGACTTGGTAGATGGCTCTCCCTGGCAGGAAGAGATTTCTGCCGGGAAAGGCTGGGGTATGGCACTAGATGTCCCGGAGAAGTGGTGGGAAGGTCTGGACGCGGCTGAGCGTATCCTTCTCACTGGGGGTTATGAGGAGGTCTTTAGCGATCATATTCAGGAGTTGGGGGCCACTCTTCAGAGAAATAGTACGGGTGAAGTGGAAATCTATATGGCTAACGAGGCCCACGATGGCCCGCTCATGGACTTCGCGGCTGGAAGACCTCCAAGTGAGACGACAAGAACCATTACCCATTTCATTGTATCTAGCTTCAAATAGTGATCCATGATACAATCATGTCGAGAAATAATTAAAGTACTGAGACGAAACACTATGTAAATACGCCTTTGATGTTACACTTGGCGTTTCGCGTCTTCCAACACTCCGAGGCGAGCTCCTTCCTCCATGATCAGTGCCATATGCTCCTGGCTTCTTGGCGTCACCTCGACCGGGAATGGCTCGTCTGTCATATGGTGGTTCAGGCGTTTCGAGTCGAAAGCGCCATTCTGTACCGTCAGTTATTCGATCTCCCACTCGTAAACTCAGGGCGTCTACTTACTGCTTTGTAGTTGTAGCAGAAAGCTAACCGAGCTATATTGATGAAGAGGCCCCTGAATGCCAATCTGTACCCTACGCATATACGCCGGCCACCACCGAATTGCCAGAGGCCATGGGCAGCATCGGTCTCGTGGCCGTCAAGCCAGCGCTCGGGTTGGAATTCTTCTGGATCGTCGCACTCATTGCACACAGGGATCTCATTGATCACGAACCCAACTCCGGCCGGGAAATGATAGCCTTCAAATTCCATATCTGAAGTCAATGTATGGTCAGGTGTAAAAGGAAAGATAGGGCGCCATCGGAGTAATTCCTTGATCATGGCACAAATATAGGGCAACTGTTCCATATCGTCGATCCCAGGGAGGCGCATCCCATTTGAATGACAAAGGCGATCTACCTCTTCCCTTGCTTTCTGGAACTTCTCCGGGTAGCATAAGGCAGACATCACAAAGATGTTCAACACTTCTCGGGTGGTATCACTCCCTGCCTCTAACAATTGAAGTGCGACGTACATGGCATCCCTGTCGTCCCCAGTGAACTTGGTATCCGGGTGGAGGAGAACATCGCGCACCCATGATGGAGGGGCAGTACCATTTTCAACCTTCTCTCTCGCCGGTATCCACCACGACTTGTAGACTTCTTCATTCCAATCCCCGAGCCTCTCCCAATGTTTACGCCAGGGCTGTAAGAAACGAGGAAGCTTGTCCAGCTCGGGAAACCAGTCAACCAAGCTACTGCCGATGCTCCCAACGAAGTAAGTGACCACATCTTGAAGATCAGCAAGCTCCTTTCCGGTCTTCACCAGCCTTTCGCCCAGGGCAATACGATGCACCACAGAGTTGGCATATCGGTAATGATGGCGGTACCAAAGTCGTGGATAAAAGTGATATTCGGCGAGCATCTGTGTGCTCTCGAGCTCTTGCCAGGAACCGTATTGCTTTAAAGCCGACCCACTGAGAAGGGAGTGCATTACTCGCCTTTTCTCTGTCCATCCCGAGGGAGGCAGCAGCAGGGAACGTCCGTTTCGGCTAACGATGCCGCTGGCTATAGGCATGGGGCTTCTGCCGTTCGTTAGAGAACCGCGCTTCGCAATGATCTCAGAAACCACGCGTTTGCTGTTCAACAGAACCCATGTCTTTGATCCAAGGTGGATTGTCGTCATTTCGCCATATCTGGCGAGTTCATTATGCTATGCAGTATTAGCTTCCATTCGTTAAGCCAGGAACAGATATCTAAACCATCTTGTAGTCTTTGTCACTGCGTGCTTTAGCCAATGCCCATAAACTGCCAAATATTGGGATTCCACGAGGGCCAGGCGGGAGATTCCATTTCTTTCCCGGGGGTGGTTTTCGCTTTCCAACAGGCGTAAAAATCTCCTGGATTACAAGGAATGTTGTTCCCAGGCAGATTGCGAGAGTGACGAGCGTAGCGGCGAGGGGATGTGCAGAAACAATGACCGAAAGTTGGACATGGATAGGGGTGCTCATTGTACTAGTTCCTCTGTTTATAATTATCTTTCCTTGCTATTATGGGTGTTTTTAAGTGCTTCGTTGCTGAGAGACCGGGTGTGTTCCGATGCTTACTTCGCAACTGTTGCCGTTGCCGCTGTTGGGCGCACGGGGCCCATATGCTCCTCTGGATGTCACAGTTTACTTAAGGCTACATACATTCCCATCTGTGGACGATGTTAGCGGCAGAATCTTCAAAATTATGCAATCGCCTACGTCGACAGCCCGGGTATCACGGCAACATGGCGGGTTTATGCACCCGGATAGACATGCCGTCGGGATGATCCCGATGTTCTTCTAAGAGGCGAATTATGTGGTCAGAGAGACAGATTTCACCACGGCTAACAGCAGCATGACGTGGCTTATGCATCCTCCCCCGCCGTGATGATCCCGGCGTTCGTTTAAGAGGCGAGCTGTGGGACCAGAGACGCAAGTTTCACCACAAGAATCATGCGGGTTGTTCTGTTGGCCCCTTTCACACTTCTCCTTCTAGTATATTTCCGCAAGAGAATTATTTCCAACGCCATGGGTGAGCACGCTTTTGACTGGCTTCGGGAGAAGGCGATCGGATGGAGTCACACACCTCCGGTCAACAAGATCGATACTCACCATCACTTCGTGCCACCGTTCTATGCAAAGGGTTCGTGATTCTGTTAGGCTGCCACAATGAGAGCTGATTTGACTTGAATGATTTAGCGATTGAGGATCAAGGAGGGGATCCTAGTGGTTGGCCGACTCCCCGCTGGTCCTCCTTGGCATCCAAGCTTCTGATGAAACGTGTCGGCGTCCAGACTGCTGTTCTCTCCGTGACAGCCCCGGGAGCTTGTATTCTTCCAGATCGTCAAAGACGTGCCCAGCTTGCACGCCAATTAAATGAATACGCAGCGGAGCTTCGGGACAAGGACCCCAGGTCTTTTGGCTTTTTCGTCTCTTTACCCAACATCCTGGACACTGAAGACGCCCTGGCAGAGATAAAGTACGGATTGGATACGCTGCATGCCGATGGAGTTACCCTTTTTACCCGATACGGTGACTCTAACACGTATCTTGGACACCCGGACGTGGAACCGATCTGGAGTGAGCTGAACAGGCGAGGCTGCGTCGTGTTCGTTCATCCAACACATCCAGTAGACACCAATCCCGTCAATTCCAAACTACCTCAGCCAAGTATCGACTATCCGCATGAGACCACCCGTACTGCCATGGACATGATCACCAATGGCACGCGCCTCAAGTACCCCAACTGCAAGGTTATTCTATCCCATGCTGGGGGGTCGTTACCATACATCATCTCCCGAGTTGCGACGCCGATGCGAAAAGCGCCAGACTTTGCGGTTTCGCACCGCATGGGAACAACCCATGACAAGACTATGGAAGCATTCCGCAGTTTCCATTACGATCTGGCATTAAGTGCCTCCCCACAAGTCATGGACCTTCTCCTCAAGATGGTTCCCCATGATCATATCTTGTACGGCAGTGATTTCCCATATGCACCGATAACTGCGTACCCTGCTTTCCTGGAGGAGTTGGAGTCTTATGAGATGAGCTGCGAGCTCCGGGACAAGATCAACTTTGGGAATGCAATGAAGTTGTTTCCCAGGCTGGTCTCAAGCCGTAATACGAACATCTAGTTCCCAATGAAATATATCCATGTACATCATACATTTGGTGGTCCAACAATAACCTAGCCTATAAAACTCTTGTATCTATCACTCTGATATAATTTTTATTTTTTTTTTCGATTTTATTCAATTAGAACCTACTTTATTCATCCCTATTCGGACTTCTGACTACCCAACGCCGTTCGGTGCGTATAACTGAGCAAACCCGAGGGACTCGACAAACTCCCTGTCGGAACGTTTCCGGCCCGCCCGGAACCAGCCCGAACAAAACCTCCTGGCTTACGTCGCGGATGGAATCCCTCCTTCCATGTCCTCAATGCAATACACATACGGCCCTGATGCAGTCACGCCAATCTGCGGTCCGTAAAAATGCGGGACCTCGTCGCCGGAAGATTGCCTTAGCATGCGAGCCATGCAGGACGAGGAAGGCTAGATGTGATGGCCAAAAACCGATCTGCGGTGCCTGCAGGGCGCGCGGACGGAACATTGATCAATGCCTATACAAGACAACGGACAATGCTAGATCGGCTAGTAATGATCAGTGCGTCATATGGCACGTAATGCAGAGTCCAAGATGCTGACATTTAGCGTAGGTATCTTCGGATGCTTCATCATCGTATCCGAGAGCTGGAGGAAACATGCACCAAAGCAGGGGTCCCCGTACCTGCATTTGGAGGCGAGAGCCTCATGGACAACTCTTTGACAGCTGAGAACGATTCGGGTGACGCCTCTGGGTTGCTGGATCAGGCCATATTGTCAACTACAACGAGCGCGCAAGCACAACAACATTCGCCTACACACCATACAGAGCCGGCCAGATCGCATCCCGTGAACAGTGACGTGCATATATATAGTCCTCCCGTGACTGAGACTGAGATCTACCCTTCGACCCCATTTGAACCTCATAGTAACGTCACTGGAATGGGCGCGATCAGTTCTGTCGATGAGTCTGGGAGACCTGTGAACGAATACTTTGGCAGCTCATCAGCCGTTTCTCTAATGCGACTACTGGCGAAGGGCTCAGGCAGACCTCACAACACAACAATTCGCAACATCGCAGAACATACTCCGAGTCCATTAAGTCGAAGGGAAGAGATGTCGTCCTTAACACAAGGTGCCGGGGCACCCCAAAGCAAATTTCAGGTAGATGAGCTTCTCCTTCCGCCAAGGGACTTAGCAGATCACCTATTGGACTGCTTCTGGGACCGGATCTACTGTCTCTACCCATTTTTTCACCGTCAGAGCTTACAAGACGCCTACGATAATCTATGGGTCGCGCGTGAGCAGCCCACCAAACCATTAAGCAACCTTGATATTGGACTGGGAAACAAAAATCATTCGGGGTCTCGATCGATCGTGTTCATCTGTGCGCTCAATATCATTTTTGCTCTTGGCTGCCACTTTGCCGATATGCCAGTCCACGAGCGAGAAGCGGCTGCCCATACCTTCTTTCTCAGGGCGAAGAGGTTTATTGGTCTTGACATTCTGGACATCTGCACAGTCGGCACTGTCCAATGCCTTCTACTGGCCGGATTATTTCTGCAGTCAACGCCCTACCCCCATCGATGCTGGCACTCCATAGGTGTGGCTTGCCGCGTGGCCCAGGGACTGGGCCTCCATGAAGCGCAATTGGATGACAATGTACATCCGCTCGAACAAGAAATCCAACGCCTCACTTGGCATGGATGCGTGATGATGGATATGTTTGTAAGCATGACTTACGGTCGGCCAACGATGACCTCCCATTTACCAAGTGTTCCACTCCCGGCATGCTCTGAAGCGGGATCCGGGGAAGACCAAAGCCCATCTGTGATGGTCTTCTACATTGCCACCATAGAATTGTACAGAATCCTAGACAGTATATTATCTGACGTGTATCAGGTCTGGTGGAGCAAAAGCAGTGCAACCCCGGGTGGCCCTACAGCAAAGCAGGGAGGCTTAGATGTTATTATCTCTTTGGAAGAGAAGCTGTTCGAGTACGAGTCCAACCTACCATCGTTCTTGAACTGGACGAAGCCAATGACGCCAGAACCTATGTCAGCCAAGCAGCTCATCTTGAGACGCCAGAGAAATGTGCTCCATGCAAGGTAAGCAGGAAGTAAACGCCAGTGAATAGGAGGTTGACTTGTCCCACCCGTCCAGATTTCTGTACCTCCATCTCCTTCTATATCGACCAATTTTCACACAGCTCTGTTCCGATAACCCTGGTCGCACCCATGACACAGACCGTCGCAGGACAACTCATAGCATGATAAAAACATCACTCTTGACGAAATGCGCTGCCGCTTGTGTCCAAGCAGCGATCAGTCTTATCTCCCTCGTCCATGACACCCATCTGGATCCAGCAACTGACACTTGGTGGTATAACGGGTTTTGTATGCGCCCCCCTTCAACATTTCAAATTATTAATCATCGATATTAACCCAGCCTAGATATATCGACCGCAGGGATGGTAATAATAATGTCTTACACCTGCCGCCCCATTTGGGACGAGCTAGACAAAGCAACCATCGACTCAACATGGGCTAAATGCGAGGAAATTCTACGAAGGATGGGATCATTCAGTGTGTCGGCCCGAAACACTATACAGTTCCTACAAGCCACGCGCAACCAAGTCCTGGCTACTCACCAGCAGAGACCATCCGCAGCGGCATGTAGCACTGCCAATAGTCAACAACAGCCTCAACACATCAGTTCACAGACCAACCAAATCCAGCTGACTGGCGTTGAGCCTCTACCACATGAAGGGGCCGGTGGGTTCACTTGGGATACTTCCACGGAAGCACTAGCATACGATCTGGGGTTTCTGGGACCCTTTGATTTCA